GGGGGAGTGCGTGGGGGGCCGGGCGGGCTTCACTCGCCCGCATATCGCCAACCAAGGGACGCTCAAGAAAGGAAAAGAAAAAAAAGCAACGAAGTGGAAGAAGAGGTAATAGTAGAAGGGAATGCGGTACAGTGCCCGCACGGTATTCTGTGAGAGGAGGAAGGGGGTCTTGGCAGGGGTCCAGGGCGGGACGCGGGTGATGACGACGACGTCGCCTCCTCCTCCTCCGCCGCCGACGACGACGACGACGAGGTCGACGACGGCGCTAGAGTACTAAGGTACGAACGATCGCCGCAAGGGTATGTATGTATGTATGTCCCGGGCGTGGAGAAGGGGGCGTGTGTATGGTGGTGGTGGAGGCAACCGGTCTGGGATGGGAGATGTGTACCTGATGGTCCTGACGTTTTTTTTTTTTTTTTGCTTGTTAAGGCGGATATAAGCAGGCAAAGCAAACTGAAAACCTTAGATGGATGAATGGATGAATGGATGGATGGATGGATGGATGGATGCTTTGCAGCTGGGGGCTGGGGCTGGGGCCTGCCTGCATGGTGGACGCCCACGGCCACGGTCACGCCCACGCCCCCCCTGTTGGCAGGCCCGAGAGAAGGCACGTCGTATAGACCGTACGCACATGCTTTCGTACGCATACACAGAGAGAAAAGCATGTTGGGTTGTCGCGAGATTGCGAAGTGCTGCTGCTGGTGGTGGTGGTGGTGGTGAGCACGGCGTACACGAAAGCTTAACGTACACACCGCCGGCATGCGACCGCCGCTGTAGCTCGCACCGCGCGCGCTTTTCGTACGTGGCCTGGCCCTCCCATGTGACAGACGGCCCCGGATATGCTGTGCCGGACGGAGTTACAGAGTGATGGTAGGTTCGAGGGCCTAGCAGTGTAAATGCGGTGGCAAAAACGATAGCTCTTTGGGCCCGAGCGATGTGGCGACGATGGCCGAGAATTTCGCTCGCCATCGGGGGAAACACCGCCAGGCTGCCAGGCTGGAAAGGATACCATGTACGAAGTAGGATACCACGACTGGCGGTGCCTTTCTGAGGATTCACGCGGGATGGGAAAAGGGGGTAAGCAGGCGGCGGAAAGGCTGTTGGTCACGAACCGTGCAAGTGAGAACCCAAGCTCTGGATACGTTCCATTGCGATGCGTTTGCGTGCCGTACGACTACTTCACACTCCGTACGAATGTACAAGGTAGCACTCCTACTCAGCCCCCATCCCCCTGTTCACCCCTCTTCCTGATGCCCTCTCACGTCCCGCTCCCCTGACCCAGCAATCTGGATCGTCTTGGCATTACCAAGTACGCAGGTAGGCGCATACGTACATACGTATGTACCAGTCGAACCCACGTTTCCCGCCCCCATCACCCGCTCGGTGAGCAGACGGGGGGGCTAAAGATGGGCAAAATGTGGGCAAAATAAAAAAGAGGACCACCTTTTGACGCCTCCTCGCCCGGGGGTCTGTAGAAGACACATGGGGCCAGGGTCCTCCCTTTGAGCCAAGGGCCCGTGGCTTGCGTAGGGGACATGGAGGGGGGCCAGCCACCCAGCTGAGAGGCGTCCCGGCATATCCAAGAGGGCAGGTTTCTAGAATGGGAGGGAGGCGTTCCGTCCGATTCTCCACGAGGGGAGGGGGGAGCCTACGTACGTACGTACGTACAGCTAGTACAGGGATGGGGGAGGGGGGCCGCTGCCGCTCTCGAGGCCCAGTCGACGCACATGCAGGGAGTATACGAACCAGGGCGAAGGGGAAGGGGGATCTGCCCACACCCTTTGGGAAGGAGGGCGTTTTGGGGGCCGCGAGTCATCATCGTCACGGGGCAAAAGCCCAGGCATCTCGCTGGAGCGGGAATAAGCTTTGGGGATATGTAATGATGGAGTTTAGCGCTCATGGTGCTTGGGTGTGCAGCTGTGTGAAGCCCGGGCAATATTCTTGCTTGGAAAGGTAGGGGAAACGAGCAACAAGGCAGTGTGACTGGCGGACAAGTATTTTGGGTTTACTCTCCGAAAAGGTGTACTTGATGGTGGTGGTGCTGGTGGTGGTGGTGGCTGGCTGACCTGTTGTTGGTCGTCCCAGCGCCCCCCGGCACAAACAAGGTTTCCCGAAGGGCCCAAAAGTGTGTGTGGGTAAATCTCGCCCACGCGGGAACGCAGGGAGGGAAAGGAAGTAAGCGGAGCCCATAGCGGAAGTACGGAAAGCCGTGTGTGTACCGGGTACATTACACCTTTGGGGTTTCCCCGTTGTTGGGCGTGCGGGTGTTGCTTTGCTTTGCTGTTGCGTCTTTGCTGCTCCGATGCGTAAGTTTGGCTGTCGTGTATTGGCATGAGATTCAGGCGCTTGGCGCAGCGTGATACTTTTCTTCCCTGTCTCGTTATTATTTTAATTTTCTTTTGCTCATCCTTTGCCGGCTGACCGGCCACAGCGACATCAGGGCGGGTGATGGGCCTCCTCTGAAAAAAACAAAAATAGAGTGTCAACGCTGAAGCTTGGGGGGGGNAGTGGTGTCCTCTTTTGGGGAGCCCACCCGGCGGAACTCTGCTCGTAAAGACGTAAATGCGTGGCAAAAGCCAAAAACGAGATCACTCACTGTTTGGGGGTGGTGGCCCGCCCACCTGCCCGCGCATGAAAAGATGCGACGAAAGTTCGGGACTAGGGGAGAGAGTGAGAGAGAGCGAGCATGGGGGTTGCGCGGTGAGCGAGACCTTTTTTTTTAAGCTGACGAAACGGGGCCGGGGGGGTCGACGGCGGACGGGCGGGCGGAGGGAAGACGTTCCGGGACGGAGCGGTTGCCCGATCGGGGGAGGCGTGATATACTTTTTGCTCTCAGACTCTACGGGTTGGTTCGTGTGTTTCAAGACGGCTTGCTGTACTACTGCGCCGTAGATGGCCGGAGCTGATATCGCGGCACTTGATGCCGGAGCACATGCTCGCTCACATTGCTAGCGGACACGGGGCGAACAAGCACAGCTTGCCAGGGGGCCCGGGACGTCCTTTTCCTTGGAAGCGGTGGTGAGACGACAAAGACAGCAGGTTTATCTTTTTTATCTTTGCCTGGATCTTACGATGCGACGACTCACCGCAAAAGCGTATCCGTTCCAAGGTTTCGCACAAGGGGGGCCCGCGTGACGCGAATAGGCTTCCTGGGCGGTCGCAGCCAGTCGCCTTCTTGTTAAATTAGAAACGGCCGCCGAGAAAAGGTGAAGTCTCATTCCCGACAAGGGCTCGGATTTAAACCTTGGGGCGGGGAGGCAACGTGGGAATGTAAAAACAAGAGCTGATGTGGTTGCCAAGAAGGGGGGTCCCCTCCCGCGGTGAAGAAGGGAAGGTGGACACCCTCCCCCCCGGGCGACGATCATGGGCCGGGGTGGGTTGGAATCGGCGGTACGATGTGGCAAGGCCCCCACGGGACCGGGGACCGGGGGATCGGGAGGAGTGGGCTGTATGGCGTGCATTGCCCGGGCCCTCGGCGCCCGGGGGTTCGCATGGGATGAGTGGCCCCGGGAGGTGTCGTGGTCCGTCGGCGCGGGATGGGACGGCGGACGGGACGGCGGAGGAAATGTGGGGCCCATGCCGGGCGGCGCGCCGGGCCGGTGGGTATCGGGGCCGTGCTCGGGCGCGCCGTGTCGCGGGACGCGCTAGGCCCGAACCGGCGCGGAGAGCTTCACACTCGCAGAGCGCAGGAAAAAGCCATGTCGTGCGGAGGATACGTAGCCAGTGCGCGCAATGCGCCAATTGAGCAGACAGGAGCACCGGCAGGGCATGCGAGTAACAGCTGGCCGCGCGGTGTTTGTAAACCGCGCGTTGTCGATTTCCTTTCGTGCGCGCCGATGTGAAGGCGACGAGGGGAGGCCGGCAGACGGGCCGTGGGCAACGCTTGGTGCCGCCGGGCGATCGAGCTGGTGCGGCGGCGCGAAACGATGACGACACCACCCCAGCAGCGCAACGCAACGCAACGCAACGCAACGCAGGAACGTGATGCCGCCCTCCCGGGCCATCCCACGGGGAGTCACGCCGTCGTGGCGGGTGGGCGGGCAGCAGCAGCGGCAGCAGCCCATCGAGGCTCAAACTGGCTTCCCGGCGGTCCCGGATGGGTGGACGGGTGTCGAGGCAGCGTCGATGTGACGCCATCGGCAGCCCACGAGGGCGACGGACAGCTGGGCCAGCCTCCCTCACCTCCCTCCATCGCTCCCTCGCCGCCCCCGCCCCGAAGCAGCAACGGACCAGGCGGGTGGTTCCACTAGGCAAAGGCGTTCGCCGCCGCCGCCCCCGCCGCACGTCGCCAAGTCAACGAACGAGGGTTTGCGCCTTGGCCCTATCCGTCGGTTTTACTTCAAAGCTGCTGCTGGGGGACCCAGACGGAGGCCAGACCTCACCTCAGCCGACGTACGGAGTACGGGCCATCGGATAGACGCGCGCCGCCGCGCGAGAACACGCAAGAACACGCAACACGAACGCTAGGAGCGGAGCGGAGGGAGGACGCGCAAGACACGGGGAACACATCTGAGACAGGTTCATTGGGATTGGGTGCAGAGCGAGGTTCTGGATGCACCGCCTCGGTGTAGTCGCGCGCTGTGCATTTCTCTGGGCGTCTCGCCGTGCACGGGGGAGCGGGGGCCGTTTCAGAGGGCAGTTCGGCGCGTGTGTGTGTGGTGTGCGTCGACCTGGGAATAAGTCGTAGGCTGAGAAGCGCTCCCTCGCACCGCTGAGGTGGTACCAGGCGAGCCCATCCTGGGGTAGCAGCAGCGGTCACCTGCGCCGTCGCCCGCAAACAGATTGGCGCGCAAGCGCTGTAGGGGCAGCCCTACCTACGCGGTGGAGACTCGCCGGGAACCTGGAAACTCGTTGGACGTCCAGCGATGCGCTGCAGCTCTACAGGCTGGGTCGTCTCGGCACCTAGCGGCCGCTGGCGCTGCTGCTCCCCCCCCAGCCAATGGAGCCCTCGCGCGCGGCAGCCCAGTGAGGTCATCGCACCCGCAACTGCCGATGGCTCCGGGCGGGCGCTGGATGGGGTGACTGCGGTGACTGACTGACTGACAGGACAGCCCCGATGCCAGACCAAACCATACCATCATCATAGAACCGGCACGGCCTCCCTCGCACCTGCGCGTGCGTGTTGCGCTGCTGCCGCTGCTTAAACTCGAGCCCGTCCGTGGCCGTTGCCGTTGCCGCCGTGACGCAGCCTTAAACCGGAACCCCCCTCCTCCTCCTCCCACCTCTTATTAACTTGACAAGCCTATTACGCATGCTAATTGACCTTGCTTTCCCTCTTCCTCTTTTTTTTTTTTACTTCCCTTGCCTCTCCCACCACGCACGCCTGCCTTCTGCTCCCGTTGGGATAGTAACAGCTTTCTGAAGCTCCTCCTCACCTGCTGCTGATTGGGTCGTCGCAACCGCCCTTGTTTACATCGCCAGCTACGACAGGAATTGAAAAAATTACCTGTGCCCGCAGACGAACGGTTCAACTCAGCAAGGGAAGCTCTTAATCACGCCCGTCGACACCGCGGCTCTCGATTCGTGAACCACAGGTGTGTGCGCGCCGCTTGAGGACTGTCGCCCGTCGCACGCAGCGCTCGCCAAGCTACATCCGGCGCACCCGACGCAGCATCACCGCAGCCTTCATCAGACACAACACAAAACAGCAACAACAGTTACAACATCCGCAATGACTGGCATCCTCAACGCCATCGTCCGGAGCATCGCCCTGCTCTGGACGCTCCTCATCACCGCCCTCATCGGCAACGTCATCGCCTCGGAGACGCACGCCGCGACGTCGGCCAACGCCGCCATCAACTTCACCATGTTCGTGGCCGCGCTCTCGTGGGTCGTCTGCCTCTACGGCCTCGCCGCCGCCTTCTTCACCGCGCTGGCCTCGGCCGTCATCCTGCTGCCCCTCGACATCCTCGGCGTGCTCTTCACCTTCATCAACGCCATCGTCCTGGCCGCCAAGCTGCGCGCCCCCAACTGCGGCAACATCCCCGGCGCCAACCTGCCCAGCAACTGGATCGGCTACGGCTCCAACAACGACGAGAAGCGCTGCCGCGAGATCCAGGCCAGCACCGCCTTCATGTGGTTCCTCTGGGCCTGCTTCAGCGTCTGCCTCTTCTTCACCATCAAGGACTCGCGCGGCGGGCTCGGCGGCGGCTTCCGTCGCTCCGGCAGGCCCAGCATGTCTCAGGTCGGCGTATAAGGCGAGCGTGCTGCAAGGCGACTTGCGTCGTGTTACCTCGCCGCGCCCCGAGCACGCGCCGCGTTGCGTTCTTTCTGCGCTGCGATGCTTCGTTGCCAGCCGATGACGTCAACCGCGACCAACACCCGGCGTGCAATGTCGTTGACTGATATGAGCCTGGCGCTCCTCCCGTCCGTCACCACCGGGGCCCCCCAGCGGGTGACGCGACATGAATAATGCTGGGGTATCCTTTGCTTTGCAGGGCGAGACTAAAAGGAGCTGTGTATCAGACGGGGTCGACATCGCAGGATGCGTTTCGCGATATGGAAGTTTTATCTCGGTTTTCGTGTATACAGGGTTAGTGAATTACTTACGGCTGTCACGGGAGGACTCCGTCCCGGCGCCGCGGACGAGTATGATTGTTTGCGTTTAATTAATGTACCTGTTCTAAATGGCACGTTTGCATGCCATAGACTATGTGTTGTGCTTGCGCTCAGCTCGTGATACATGCGCCAAGCCGCGCCGACGTCGCAGTTGACATTGGCTGTGAACGAGTCTTGTCCTACACCTCAAGCACACACCTCGAATAGTTGAGAGGTGTAAGATTGGCCCGCCGCACGATGCCGCTGCCGCTCCGCTGCCGGCATGGCGCGGCGCGGCATGCGTCGTCTATCTCTAGGCCCAGGTCTCTCCGCGTTTAAATCAGCCACTGGCGGCCCCTGGAACATCTTCTATAACGTCGCGGCCGCCTCGACAGCGCCCACGACCTTGAACGCCTTCTTGTTGGTCCACCGGATCTCGACGTTGTGCATCCATTCCATGTAGCGAGCCCAGCCTGCACGTTGTCGTCAGCCTCTGGTCACAGTCCCTATGCGCAGCCTGGTTCCTGACGAGGAGAGATGGGGACACGGGAAGGGGGTCGGGGCTTACTCCAAAAGGCAAACTTGCGGCCAAAATACTTGCCCATCCAGGGGACAATCATCATGGTGAGGATGAGCTGCAGCTGCTCGAGGCTGCGGTCCCACTCGGCCTGGGCCTCGGAGTCGGCGTCCGAGTAGATGTCGCTCGTGGATGTGGAGGGCAGGGAGTCGACGTCGTCCCTGTCGTCGGAGAGGGACGACTCGTGCAGGTCCAGGAGGGACTCGGCGGAGGCGGCCATGGCGAGAGGATTGGGGATGGGCGTCGGGTTCGTGGCCTCGGCCGGGAACTCGTCTCGGATGTGGGCGTTGGAGCTCGGCGCTGGGGGACGGAGCCGGAGGGAGTGATGGGAGGCTGGTTCAGGGTCGCCGGCGAGATATTGAGCCCATTTGCTGAGTGTGTCACCGCCGCAGGTCGCGCCTCGAGATATTCATCAGGGATGCGTATCCGTGGCGAGGCAACTCTGCGTGATGATGCGTTCGTCGTCTGGCGTCGGTCGGGCGGGTGGTGACGACGGGGCCACCGCAACGCTCCGATGGAGCTCCGCGTCGAGGGAGCTGGCCGCCGCCCGCGTGTAGCCGTGATTGGTGGACGCGCGGGGGCGAGGGTCACGTGCCCTCGGGCGTGACCGTTGGGGCGTCCCCCCCATGCGTCACAGCCCAGCGTCACCCTCGGCCGCTGCTCTGCTGGATATGAAATGACGCCTGCCTGACGCACCCGACGAAACAGCAACTCATCGACCGTCAACCTTGGCAAGCAAGCACTGCAAGGCAACATCCCTACCGCAAGGATCCGACTCGGCCACGCGCTTTTGGACTCGCCGGACCACGCATCAGGCTTCCACGTTAGGACCGTCCACCCAGGAGATCGACAGGCGGCGCGGACCATCGATCGGGTTGGCCTCGTTCTCTGCAGCCCAGCAGACAAACTCGCAGCCCACAGGACAGGACAACTCAAACCGCCCCGGGAACCAAGGGAAAAGGGAATCTTCCAGGCTCGCTCGCTCGCCCGCTCTCGCGCCGGCGCAAACCGCAATCATGGCGGACATTCAAGTGAGTACCTAGCTTCCTTTTGATGCATCTCATACCACCAGTGCCGATGCGAGTTGCCGCCGCGCCGTCGCGGCGATTGTTTGTCGTCGTCTTCATCATCGCCCGCGCCCCGTCATCAGTCACATTCATTCATGCACACATAACACATGCCGTCCGTTCTTCGCAGGCGCCGGCAGCGGGCAGCCAGCCAATCCAGTGTTGGCGCGCGCCTTGGGCGACGCCCGTCCGTCAAGTCAGGCTGCTCCAGTGGCTTCCACCAGCGACCAGTCCCTGCCAGACGCTCTGCCCCCTCCACTAGCTGCCCCTCCAACAGCCCGCAACGCACACCTCACCCCCGACACAAGCCCCAAGTGCCACACATCACAGCGCAGCAGCACCTACACACTCCACCACCGCACTACCAATTTTGCCCCGCTCTCACTGGCCCATTGGCAATTCCTCCACCTTTCGGCGCCCCGATCCCTCCCTCACCTCACCACCACACCAAATATCCTCGTGTCACAGACGCAAACACTTTCTTGACTCATCCTCTGTCCATCCCCTTCCGCCCATCCAGCCGCCGCGCGCGCCCGCATTTCTAATCATCGCACGCGCTACTTGTACGAACCGCCCCTCGCGTCGACAGCCTCGCCCTCGATATTTCTTTTTCGCCCCTGTCTCGCACAGTTCGTCCCGCTGACCGTGTTTTCCACTTTTTTTCTCCATCGCAGGAACAGCCCCCCGCCGAACGAAAGTCTCGCAAGTCCGTCGCCTTTACCGACGAACAAGTAGTTGTCGACGCCGACGGTTCAGTCACCATGGTGAACGCTACCGAGGAGCCCAAGGAGACGGCCCTGTCGCACACGCCTCGTACGCCGCCGCTCTCCGCCGCCCTGGGTGCCTTTGCTGATCCCTCATCTCAAGCCGGCGCCGCCGACGATGCGCCCCCTGCCGAGGATGCTGGCCTCGACCTGTCCCTCATGAAGAAGAAGAAGAAGAAGTCCAAGAAGCCCGAGGATGGCGAAGCCCCCGCCGAGGATGACGACGCCCCCGCCGCCGAGGACGGCGGCCTCGACCTGACCCTCAAGAAGAAGAAGAAGAAGGTCAAGAAGGACGCCTCCGCCGACGACGACTTCGCCGCCAAGCTCAAGCAGCTCGAGGTCAAGGACACCGACGAGGCCCCCGAGGTCGAGGAGGAGACGGGCGACATGGACGCCGGCACCGGCATCTGGTCCCACGACGAGACCAAGGCCATTGGCTATACCCTCCTGCTCGACCGCTTCTTCAGCCAGCTGTCCCAGAAGAACCCCGACCACGCCCTCAGCGGCACCAAGAGCTACAAGATCCCTCCTCCCCAGTGCATGCGCGAAGGCAACAGGAAAACCGTCTTTGCCAACATTGCCGACATCTGCAAGCGCATGAAGCGTACCGAGGAGCACTTGACCGCCTACCTGTTTGCCGAGTTGGGCACCAACGGCTCCGTTGACGGCAGCAGGAGACTGGTCATCAAGGGCCGATTCCAACAGAAACAGATTGAGAACATGGTCAGGAAATACATCAGTACGTCCCCTGTCCCACCTTCGTGGCTCCCATGATGCTAACTAGCTGTTCCACAGTCGAATACGTCACCTGCAAGACGTGCAAGTCCCCCGACACCGAGCTCAGCAAGGGTGAGAACCGTCTCTACTTCATCACTTGCAACAACTGCGGATCGCGACGAAGTGTCACGGCCATCAAGACTGGTTTCTCGGCCCAGGTCGGCAAGAGAAGAAAGATGAAGGTCTAAGCTGCGGCACGCGCACGCACGCTCCCGGTGTCGCCATGGGATCTCCTGCTCCATATCCTCCGGGCGCCATTCCCCACGCCCGCTTTCCCCGCAGTCTTCATCTTTTCAATGGCTACCCGTTTCGCCGCTCGTTTGGTTTAGAAAGCGACTCATCCCGTGGTTTCGGGCCCCGGGAGGACGAGGTACAGGCATAGGCATTTGGAGGAAGGGGGGGAATCACGGCGTCTGGGTGGTATCAAAAAGTTGCTCTACTGGATGATGGGTGGTGATGATGATGATGGGGGGGACATGATGTTCAGCGTGGCAACCCGTTCCCTGTGAGGGACGGGCCCTCGGCACATTTGAGATGCTGGCCGTAAATAGCGCCGAAATGATGATATTCGACACCACTGCTCCGTGTGCCCCGGGAATCAACCAAGGTCTGGCCATTGTCACCTGCAATGAATGGAACAAAACACTGCATCATCATATGGACGACGGGCAGTTACAAAGGCGAGCGTGCATGTCGCACACCGTCAAGTGTATTCTGACAAAGCAGAAAATGAGCGTTCTGTATCTGTAGTTCCCGGCCCATCTCCATACCTAACCATTCGATTTCCTTGGTCTTTTTGAACCCGTCGTCATTACGCGCACGTGTCCAGCTCTGCCTGCGAAATGTCCTGCTCCCCGCCGCTACTCATCTTGTGCTCTAATGGAGGTCTCTCGAGCTCTCGCCCCGATCCTCTCTGTGTGCCTGTAATGTACATGCCCCGACGTGAAACCACCATCCGCCCCTGTGTACACCTGTACGGAAAGGAGAAGAAGAAAACAAAGAGACAGATATAGAATCAAGCAGAACGCCGCCCAATGCGGGGAGGGCCACTCGCCCGGCTTTTCGCCGCCCGCTTAGTCCTCAGAGTCAAAGAGAGTGTTGTTGCCGACGCCGGCCGTGGTGCTGGACCGGCGCCCAAACGGCGGGAACGGCTCGCGGGCCTCGACGGCCGAGATGCCCGCGCGGGTTGCCTCCTCGGTGATGTTTTCCACTTCTGCTTGGGCGGTCTCGAATGTCGTCCGCACCCACTCCGCCAGGCGGTTCTTGGACGTGTACTGGGTCAGGGTCTTGTCCTCCCAGCGCATGGCGTCAATCAGCTTCGCCTGCTCGCCTTGAGAGAATGACTGAAACCGGCGATCCAGACTGTCGGTGAATACGCCCAGCACCTCATCGGGCGTCGTGCATCGGAATGGCTCACGGGCATCCTCTGCAAAACTCGTTAGCATGCAAACTTTGTCGCGAGATATGGATCAACTCACGGTATCGGATGCAGTCCGTGAACATGGCGAACAGCTCGGTATCGGCGATGCGCGTCACGACTTCCTCGTCATCTTTGCCCGTGGTATCGTTGATCTTGGCCCAATCATCACGGATAAACAATCGCCTCCAGATGAGTTTCTTGGCAGCCTTCACCTCGTCGGTGTGGCATGCCGTGTCGGCGACCTTGAGCGCCATCCAGAAGGGATGTGGAATCTCTTCTCTCGACTCTGCGGGGAGCGAGATCAGGGTCAGCAGGTCGATGAGGTACATCGGGTCGAGCGCCTGGTGGTCCAGCAGCCTCTCCATGCCTTCAGTGAACAGTTGGAGAAGCGCCTTTTGGCGGCGAGGAATGTTCGTGCTGTGTTGCTCGAGAGCGAAGTTAAGAGCGGCGGCGCTGTCAACGGCGTCGATGGTGCTCGGAAGCACCTGGCCGTAGAGTTGGTCTTGGATCTTAACGACAACCAACTCGTCGTCGACACGCTGGAGTGTCTCCTCGCGACGAGCCTCATCGCCCTTGACTGTGAACGAGGGTCTTGCTTGCGGCTTCCGTTCGTTCTCTGCCAGCAGCGCCAGCTTGCCGAGGCTGAGCTCGACCTTCTTCTTCCAGACTTGGCTCTCCATGTTGAGGGCCAGATCGATAAGAGTCTCGGACGCGTGCTCCACATCTTGCTCTTGCTGGATATCGTTGATCCAAGATACCCGAGCCAAGTGCGGCCTACTCCGCAGGAAGCGAGTCTTGAAACCAAGGGTGTCCAGTCCGAAATCCAAAACGGACGAGACACCGTGCTTGTCGATGAGGTACTCGTAGACGGGAAATGCGAACGGTTCGCCGTATTTGCTGAACGAGTCCTCCAGCTGAGTCTTCTTGGCCTGGCGCAGCGCATTCAGACTCTTGATTTCGGCGCCCGAAATATCTTCCGCCGCCAACTGAGCCTCCAGCGTTTCGATGTGCTCGAGCAGAATAACTGCGAGGGCACTCAGACAACCGTGTTTCTCGGCAATCTTTGCCCCTTGCTCCCATTTCCCGTACCGGGCCAGGAAGACAGGCTTGTTATGCCGTTCAGAGTCGTATGTCTTGACGTATTCTTGGGCCACTGATTTGTTGTCCGAGTTGGCAAGGCCCCATCGCGCATGCTCCAGGACAGCAGTGAGCATAGCGTCGGTCAGAGCAGGCAGGTCATCGTAAAGTTTGATGATGAGTTGGGGATCCAGCTGATTCGGTGCCTTCTGTTCAAACCGCCGCTGCTCGTGCTTTCTGAACCATTGGTCGCAAAGGTCTGTCAGGCGCTTCAGGTTGTTCGCAATGTACATGCAGCCTGTCCAGGGTTCTGGGAGGCCCTCGTAGCCGTCCCGCAGGATTCCCATCCGCAATTGCTCGTTTTCCAGGCCGTAAAAGGCCAGGTTACTGCGTCGGAATTCGTGCGCTCCAAGATGAGTGCAGATGTTGATTTGCATGGCCTCGTACATGAGCGTCGTGATCTTCACGTCGTCCAAGCATTTGTCTCGGTATAGGACCTTGATGACTTCGTACGACCAAGCGACAAAGAGCTCGATTCGGTAAATGTCGTTGACGAACCAGTGACGCACAGCATCGACCTCGCCCTTCTTAGGGGCAGGGTTATGCTTTTGGTCCTCGTGAATGAAATCGACTACCAAGGAGACCAAGCTCTTCTTATCCTCGGCGGGCCTGTTGGCGGTGAAGGCTTCGTGCAGTTTCCAGAGCTGGGCGGCGACATGCATCTTCTCTGCGTTGAACAGGAGTTGCCAGCGCGTCTTGCGATCGAGCTCAGTACCGACTGCTCGCAAATGTGTCATGAGCCTTTGCAGGGCCTCGGATCGCGCGAACAGGTTGTCTTCTATCGAGGCGGGCAATGTCGAGATGTACGACGTAGACGAGCTGAGGATCTCGTGGCTCACCGCCAGCGCAGCATCAGAGAGGTCCTCTGGGGAGAACTTGAGATCTTGCCGCCCGTCGAAGATGAGCGGGTTGTCCTTCTTAAGGCCAAAGAAGACGGCTTGTTCTAGTTTGCTCTTGGCGGAGACTTGAGGCGGTTGGTCGCTGGCAAACTTGTCGACATCTGTCGTGACGATCCGCACCACACCAGCACCGCGCACCAAGAGGACGACCGCTGGATTCTTGGTTTTCAGTCGACTTGACCGGCTTTCGTCGTGTCCGTTGAGCGTTGATGTCTCCTCGAAGCCCGAGCCGACGATTTCGTGAACGTTGTCCTCTCTGAAGTCGACGACGTCCTCGAACGAAGGGGGCAAGATGTGGCTGTCTGATTGCAACTGCGATTCAGGAGACTCAGGGGCCAGAGCCACGGAGGCAATGATGGCAGCACGGTCAAACACAACAAATGCCACCAGTGCTGGCCGAGGCAGATACACACGGGGTCGTTGAGATTGTGTCGGGTCGGAAGAGTCGAAAGGCGTCGAGTATGAGGTGATGGGCCGGATCATGCCGATTTGGCAGTCTGATGAAGTCAAGATGATCTCGACCAAGGCATAGCGGGATTTGTTCGATCTTGTCATGCTGACGAGTAGTAAAAGATGTTGTACTGTAGGGTTGTCGGTCGCCATTGCGTCGCTGAGCCTGCTCAATTCCAGGTATTTCGGTTCAAGACCCTTCGGAACAAAGCTGAAGTCCAGCGTCTCCAGAGACTCCACCGGGTAGTCTTCGATTTGGGGATCGGCTTCTCTGAGGGCTGAGGCAAGGCGGTCCCGAATATCCGCCTCTCCCAGAGATTCGTTGTGGCCCCCGCGATGGACCCTCCAGGACTGCAGCTTGCCCTTGCTGGTGAGGGCAACAATGTTGCGCTCGCCAACACGAGCAGAGCGATCAGCGCGAACGGCCGCAATGTCGCCTCGGAGGGAGAGGTGCGAGAAAGCATGGCGAATGCTCCCAAGAAAGCCGCTGCTGGAGGCCGTCAGGCCAGCTCGGAGAAACTGGACCGAAATCGCGGGCCGTCCGTGGCTGTCCCTGACCGTCATGTACGCCAATCTTCCGGAGTTGAACGTGAGAATGAAGCCGGCCGACTCCGCATTTGTAATGCCGACGACTTTTTCGCCAGACGACATGCCTGAGATCAGGTACTCGACTCCGGAACGGTCCTTCTTGATGAACGCGAAGGTCGCCGCGCTGGAGATCGATTCCCAGAAAACCACTTTTCCACTGCCGGACATGACGACAACGAGCCCAGGCTCTGTCGACGACGCGGAGGGGGAGACGAGACATCCCACGGGCAACGGATCGGAAGGTTTCGAGGCGGATGGCAGGGTAAAGGTAAAGGTCTCGGGAGACTGCGATGTCGAGTTGTAGGGCCAGACCATGGCATGTGCTGGGGTCAGTGCCAGAGCATATCCCGAAGACGAAAAGATCTGTGCGCTTATGTTTCCTGCCGACACGACACGTTAGCCCGTGGGCGTTTACTGCTTCGATGGGGGAGCACGTACCCGACGAGTCCTGTCGGATCCTGTCTGGCAAAGCAGGCAGTTTTGAGACGGTGAAAGCATTGTTGCTTGTCTTGAGGGAGGCCTGTCAGCAATCGCTTCATCGCTGCCATGTCGTATGAGTAGGAGAGACGCACCAGAACAAGGCTTCCGTCGCCCTTGTTGGCGGCCCGATCTCCGTGTTTGGACTTCTTGGTCCTCACGGTGGATTCTCGCCGCATCACGGGGTGGAAAATTTCCGTTGGTGTGTCGCGGCCCTTGGCTTCGACGGCCGCCGGCCGGGCCTCAGGTTTGGGTTCGGGCTTGGACTCGACCGGTTCGGCCTGGGCCTCGGGCTGCGCAAATGTCTGCTCGGTGAGCGGCAGGCGCTGGCGCTTGGCCTTGGGCGGCGGGACCAGGCTCTCGGAGCTCTTGGGCCGCTGGCGACGGCGTGATCGAGTCGCCGTGGCCGGGCCACCCTCGGCGGCGGCGGCGGGAGAGAACATGCTGAGGGACGTGACGGGAGCTCGCGGGGTTCGGGTCGGGCGGTGACGTGACGAGGGCGATGACGCCGCGATGAACGGCGATGGATTGTCGTGGCGGGATCAGTGCCGCATCGCGGGACGGCCAGCGGTAGAGACTGGTGCGCGCGGGAAGGGCTGCAGGATGAGCGATGATGGAAGCCGGCTGCTGGTGTCGGAATGCCGTGCTGCGATGAAGGGGTGTAGGCGATGGATGGGTGACGGTGGAGGGCGAGCGTGAAGAAGCACCTCGACACGCACACAGCTATTGGGCGGTGGTGCGAAAAACAAATCCAGTCCAACGGCAGAACGAGCGGCCAGCTGCCAAGCTCTGGGTGACCGCCTTGGGTTTGTTTGGTTTGTAGCGCCCGCCGGGGGGACCTGCTGCCATTATTAGTGGTCGGGAGCGCTGAGTTGCGGCTCCACGCCCGCTGAGGTAGGTTGGGTTGCTGGGCGGTGGGGCCGCTGGGCGTCGAGCTATTGGCGGTAGCGGATACCCGGCCGTTGCGGGACGTTTCGTGCGGGCGGAGGTCACTTCTCATCGACCCTCTGCCGCGACCTCGTCGGTGACTTCATGAGCACATCGCCGGCATACAGCCAGTCCAGGTCGTGCAACGATCCTTGCATGCCGGACGCACAGCGACCTTGGACCAAGGAAGCCAGTGTGCATGTCTGGGACATTTGTGTTTGCCCGTCAAAACGTTCATATCGCCGCTGGCCCCTCGGCGTCAAGCTACATCTTCAAAGTCGACGCCACCTGCAGCGCCATCGCAACCGAGACACCCTCGGCTCATCACGTTCTCATCGACACGGCCTCAGCAATCACTCTACGCAGTGGGCACATTGGCCCAAGAAAGCCTGGTCCAAGCCTATGCCATAGGTCTGCTATTCTGCGGTCTGAAGAAGGCTCGGAGCCGAAACACGGCAGCTCCGTAGAGACATCAAGCCCCCGGCCATGATACCAACCACGCACGCACAGCAGCATGAGGCGCTTCTCGACCGCAGTCACCATCACAGACCCGCTGGTCAAATACCAGACATTGGTCAAGTCTGGCATATACTCGCCCGACCCGGCACAGCACCGGCTGGCTAGACACCTGCGAGACATTTACCTGCGCGTCAAAGACTACTCGCCACAGGTCGAGTACAAGCAAAGGCTCCGCGAAGTAGCCCGTCTGACCGAGACGAGGATCCCAGAGGACGACGAGGCGCATGGTATCCTTGCCCTGAAAAACCATGCCATCTGGCGCAACCCACTCTTCAAGCACTTGCTGCCGGCCAGCGAGTCGCGGGACAGCCTGGCCCTGACTAGGGTACTGAACAGCCATGAGATGGCCATCGAGATTGACTCTCCAAAGGGGCTCTTCTTGTCTGGCGAAGTGGGCACCGGAAAGTCAATGTTGCTGGATCTCTTAGCGGACGGCCTGCCAACCCACCGCAAGAGGAGGTGGCACTTTAATACATTTATGCTCTACACGCTCTCGCAGCTGGAGAAGCACAGAGAAACTTACAGGAACAACTCTGCGGCCAACTCTGAGTATTCCATTGCCTGGATGGCAAAGAAGCTCGTCGACGAATCGCCCATACTCTTCTTGGACGAGTTCCAGCTTCCGGACCGGGCGGCCAGCAAAATCCTCAGCCACCTCTTCATCGCCTTCTTCCAGCTCGGCGGGATCCTGGTCGCCTCCTCTAACCGCATGCCTGAGGAGCTCCAAAAGGCCACTGGCGTAGACTACGCACCGGGTCCGGCGCGGGGGTTGATGAGCAAGATCTTTGGTGCCCGCGGGAGGGGGGAGCTCTACGGGCCGAGCAGCGACTTTGCAAATTTTCTCGAGGTCCTCAAAGCAAGGTGCGACTTTTGGCAGATGGAAGGCGCCCAGGACTGGAGAAGAAAGGAAGAGCTTGACAGCCCCGAGACTACGATGAGCGACCGAGCTGCTACGTTCACCGTCGCCACAGAGCCTGCAAGCGCCGCGAATCCTACCAACACCCCAGAAGACAAGGGCGAGGCACGAAAGCGCCCGTACTTCTACTATCTCCTGGGTGAGGAAGACGCTTCTTGGCAGGAGAGCATTCGAAACGCCCTTTCTTGGACAGGCGCTGAGGCAGTCCCCTGGGGCCCTTCGACCCGCGTCGTCTACGGACGCAAGGTCATCACTCCGCTGCACCACGAAGGCCACGTCTTCTGGGAGTTTGACAAGCTGGTCGAGTCCTTCGGGCCGGCAGACTACATCTCCATGGCCTCCTCGTACCACACATTCATCATCGACAAGGTGCCGGTCCTGACAGTCCTCCAAAAGAACGAGGCGCGGCGCTTCATCACCTTGCTCGACGCGCTCTACGAGGCGCGCTGCAAGCTCGTCATCCGGGCGGCGAGCCCGCCGGACGACCTATTCTTCCCCGAGACGCCACGCAGCGCCGCCAAAGATGCAAGCAGCAAGGGAACCACCGGCGCCGAAGACGCAGACGGCGACGCCACCTACTCCGAGACCGTGGCCGAGGTATACCAGGACCAAATGGCCCCGTTCAGGCCCAACGTGTCGTACTACGACACCCGGTCCGCGACGGCCAGGTACGACCCGGACCAGGACTCCGACTTTGGCCTGCAGAGCCAGAGCCAGCGGCAGGGTGGCGTCGTCGACTTTGGCAAGACGGGCGCCTTTACGGGCGAGGACGAGCGCTTCGCGTACAAGCGCGCCACATCGCGGCTGTGGGAGCTGTGCAGCGCGCGATGGCACTCGCGGACGGGTGACTGGTGGCAGCCGCTGCCGGCCGCGGCGCGGCACTGGGAGGGCGGCGCCGTGTCTCTCCCGATAGGGGAGCACGTCGCGGTGAGGAGTGAGAGCACCGGCGAGGGCATGGGCGAGAGCGTGGAGGTTGAGGAGCTGGCGGGGCTGTCCAAGTGGAGGGTCGAGCATTTCAGGAAACAAAGCGAATGAGCATAGAGCAACCATCTTTGGATGAGCATCACATCACCGAGCGCGAGCTTGGAGGTCAAGTCATATTAGAGACAAGACGCAAAGTCAGGATATACAGCGGGGAAAATATAGTGTCTGTTAAGATGATGCCTTGGCCATCTCAGAAGCCGAACCGGAACGCCATGCAATGAACCACTCATGCCACCCCAAGGGGACGGTCCTCGCCCTCTCCCACTTTACAGATTCGTCACGCCGGGCGTCCAACCCTCACCTATCCTCTTCATGTCCTCGCCAAACTTCCTGCTCGTGATCCTCTTCCCGCCACGTCCCCCCAGCGGCGCATGCTCATCCGGCTCAAAGAACGGGTTCTGCAGCAACCGCACATACGCCGTCTGCATCGCCCTAAACACGGGCTTGAGCTCCGCGTCCCTCAGCCCCGCGGTCAGGGAGCGCCCCCCGCCGCCGCCGCCGCCCAACGCAGGCGAAGACGAGCCCGCGGCCATCGCACCGCCTGCGCCGCCGCCAACGGCAGATCCGCCGCTCCCCGCGTGCGCAGCGTCGACGCGCCGGCCGCGCATGTCCACGACGCAGACCATGCGGACGCCCGTGTTGGTCTCGAAGCCGTACGCGGCGAGGCGGTCGTCCACGGCGTGCAGCAGGCCCACGTCGCCCGAGAGGCCGACGCCCGCGGCGGCGTTTTGCTTGGCGCGCAGGTCGAAGACGTCGATGGTGGAGGAGAGGAGGAGGGAGAACTGCAGCGGCGTGCGGATCGGCGCGAAGGCGTTGGTCGAGGGGTCGTGCGACGGGAAGATGGACATGTGCAGCGGGTTGTTCTGGCGCGTGTTCCGTGGTTAGCTTCTCTCCGCGCGCGTCGAGAGGGGGGAGTCCGCGGGCGGGGGCGATGGAGATGGGAGGATGCTCACGTTGCGCCCGATGACGCCGAGGCAGGCGATTGACGGTATGGCGGTCGTCATGGCTGGGCTGGGCGCCGTCGTGATGGGCGATGGAGAGCAAGGAGGTGGATGGAGGTTGAGTGGGGAGCACCAGCTTGGAGGTTTGGAGCTCCTTCAACTGCTCCAGCCGGGGCTGTTCATAGCGATGGTGGGGTCGTTGTTACAGGGGTCGTGTTCCGCCGCCATTCAGCAACGCCCCAATGAAGGGCATGGGGATGCCGTGAAAACACTTCACAAAAATAGAATGCACCTTAAGTTGATGTTAAGTGAGTGTACTGAGTGTGCCATCGGTTTTGCCGCTTCAAATTCAGAATTGAATCGCTAATGACCGCTGTGCGCCCCTCAACCGCCATGGCCGTCATCCGTGTAAGTGTCCGATGAGGCTCTAGTGGCCCGCAGCTGTCACTCTTCCAGATTCCAGATCGAGGCATCGACCACAACCAGAGCCCGCCGCTTGACAATATGTTCGTGATTGATTGCTCAGACGAAGGGTTTATACATGGCAGGAGTGCAGAGACACGGCACTGTAGTCCGTGAAGCCCCGTGGTACTCGCGCCGGGGCTGGACACGGCCAACCGTTTCCCACGCACCAGCCCTCTTACAGCATCTAAGTTAGTAACCTTCTTCGTCAACGATACCGGCCGTCTCCTCGAGGCCCCTCAGCACCTCCTCGACCTCGGAGGGGTCCGTAATGGCCCACACGCCGCCGCCCTTGACCAGGTCCCGGCCTCTGACGCCCACCTCCTTGCCGACCAGGTTGCGGCCGACCTTGCCGGGCCCGATGCCGACCCAGCGCCGCACCTTGGCTCTCTGGTCCAGGTAGCGGATGCTGTCCCACCAGCGCACCGTCTCGAGGCAGCCGCGGGCCAGCAGCTCCTTGAGCTGCTCCTTGCTCTGGAACGGCCGTGCCGTGACGTTGCTGATGCACGGGATCTTCGCGGGGAACGTCACCATGTCCTCGCCCTCGCGGCCCGCGACGCGGCTCTTGCGGTCCAGCAGCGTGCGCATAACGGCCACTGCGGGCTTCATGATGGGGCTGTGGAAGGGGCTGTCGCTATGCAGGCGCACGGCCCGCGGATCGTGCCCGAGGAACTGGCGCACGTGCGCGATGAGCGTCTTGATGCGCTCGAGGTTGCCGCTCAGGACGATCTGGTTCTTGCTGTTGATGTTGGCAATGAGGACCTGCTCGATGGGGGGCACGTCCTCGCTGCTCTCGGCCTTGCCGCCCTCGCTCGAGTGGCCGACAAAGGCGCGGATGGCGTCGATGAGCCCCGTCAGGTACTCGGGCTCGGTGATGACGGCCACCATGCCGTACTCGCCGCCGTAGTCGTGCACCGCGCGACGCGTCGCCTCGGACATGGCCTCCGCGCGGCGCTGCACCAGGTACAGGCTGTCCTCGAAGTGCATGTACCCGCCCGCGACAAGCGCGGCGAACTCGCCGAGGGAGTGGCCGAGCGTGTAGTCGAAGTGGTCGGCGGCGCGGAAGCCGAACTCGCGCTCGAGGATCCGCAGGATGCAGATGGACGTGGCCATGATGGCGGGCTGCGCGTTGGTCGTCTGCGTCAGGACCTTGGACGGCCCGTGCTGGATCACGTCGGACAGCTTGTACCCGACGTGGTGGTCGATCTCGTCGATGATGTGGGACGCGGTGGAGGGGAAGGCCTCGAGCCAGGGCGTGAGCATGCCGACCTTTTGCGTGCCTTGGCCTTTTGGACGCGGGCGAGTTAGCAATCAGACGCTTACTGACGAGATGTCGCGCTGCTCTGCTCACCTGGAAAGAAGATGGCCGTCCGCGGCCTCGCCGGGCGCGTCTTGGAGGAGATGCATCTCTGGTGCTGCTCGCCGGCGGCGGCTGTGACCCGGCCGCGGGGTGGTTCGCGCGTCGGCGTCGTTGTCGTCGTAGTCGTCGCCGCGCCTCGGCGCCGCAGCGCAGATGCACCAAAGCGCTTCATAGCCGTGCCACGGCTGGGTTGCAGCTGGCGAGTTCAGTGCAGTGCGTGGCTCATGGCTGTCGACGAGAAGACGAAGACCGAGAGAGGCGGACGAAGTGAACGAGGAGGAGAAGGAGTGGTGGTGGTCGAGCTTCCTTTGTTGGAGTGGCCAGCTGCGCGCCGATGGCTGCCCAGCACGGCAATCGAAGGTACAACAGCGCCTCCCGTCAGTGGATGACATGGAGAGCCCAGCGCCAACGTCAAGCTGGAACCAACACGTGGGGCCTCTCGGCCTCGACGGGTGGAGCTGAAGGCCCCCCTGAGCCGAACCGGGCGCCGCACCGTCGCGGCCTCGACAGCGCAGCGTCTGCCGCTGGACCGAGATTGCCGGGCCCGGGTGGTGTCCACCGCAGCACCACAGCAGTGTCTCCGGCTGACGCTCCCTTGCACTTGGGCCGGCCGGCCGCCAGACGCGTTTCGGCTGAATGCCGTGCGTTGGAAGAGACCTGTTCACCCAAGCACAGTACAATAGACGACAGTCGCGTAATTCACTAGCTTCGTTAATTATTGTGCTCATGCATAAGCTGATGCAGCTACATGGTAGCTAGCAGCGAATCTCGACGCCGCCCTTGCTGACCGTCAGGTACTTGACGCCCTTGTATGGCTTCACTCCCTCTCCTAGGCCACGGCTCTTCCTCGTGTCTATTGCGATGCTGTCCACCTTGAGCCCGCTCGCCAACCACCCCTTCACCGAGAAGCTGACCGATGCGGAGCTCGGCATCAGAATCTTGTTCTGTGCCACCCGCTTCGCGTCCTGCTCGTCGGCCGCGTCGTCTTTCTGCGGCTTCGCTTTGGCCGATGGTGAGCTTTGATAAGGCCCGCTGTACGAATACTCGTTGCCGAACCCGAAGCCACTGGGGTCGAACTCTTGCTCCTCTTCGTCCACCAACGGTCCGACCACCGTGCATCGCAGCCCGAAATGTGATGTAGGGCCCGACAACTCCTTGGCCGGAACGTGCCATTCCAGCGCCCTCTCCCCTGGATTGAAGCTCGCGTCGCCCCTGCTAGGCCGGATATCGGATAGATTCCTCACGTCGTCCGGTAGGGGGATCGTGATTTTGAGGTCGTCCAGTAACGGTGCCGCAGGTGTTCCTGGGTGTGGGCCACCGAGTCTACCGGAGTTGCTGCCGCGTCCCAGCTGGCCACCGGATGATGAACTCGAGCTACCGAATATCTTGTTGACTTGTAGCCGGACCTCAAACTCGGACCCGGCTGTGCCAAGACCCGTCTTCATGTCCAGGTTGACCGGCAGCTTGAGATTGTTTGCACTCAAGCTGCCGCTCTTGCCACTCGTAAAGGGCAGCAAGTCCACTTCATACCCAGCCAGAATGAAGCGGCCGTCTGGCGGTATGAAGCTCAGCTCCCCCGGCCGCTCCTTCCACCTATTTAACCGGACGCACGGGTGGAATACCGGCAGCTCCACGATGCCAGCCAGGTTGTGTCTGCCGGATGGGCCCGAGAGGCTGAGCGTAATGTCCGGCACCCCGGACACCTTGGCCGTAAAGGCGATCGTCCCGTTGGCAAAGGCCGCGAGGGGTCTGCCTGACGGCGCAAGCGTAACGGACAGTGTCTCGACGACATCGGCGTACATTTCGTTTGATGTGTGCCGTACATTTGCCCTTCTCCATGGCAAGGCCGGTGTGTTGGAAGCAACGAGTGATGGCGCGCTTGGGTTCGACAAGTTGTTACCGAGAGGGGTTTTCCTAGAAAGTGGTCAGTCGGGGCTCTTCCTCGGATAGGGATCTTGCACGCACCCAGGAAGGGTTATGCTCCCCAGGAGCTTGCCCACCCAGCCCTCAATCTCCACGACCTCCCGCAGGGCATTCGGTTCCGTCGTGCTTATCGTGCCCGCGTCGCACATCTCCGTCAGCAATTGGGCAACGATGTCGTAGTTGTTCTCGATCTTGACGGCCAGGAGCGGGGCGCCGAGGAAGTCCTCGAGGGCATCAACGATGCGGTGGAGGAACTCGAGCACGAGCAGCGGCTCGATCTCGGTCGACGAGGTGGCGAGGAGGAGCAGGTTCGCGTGCGACAGGCTGAACACGAGGGTCGGCGGGCTCGTGTTGGGGAGGTATATCAGGTTCGGTCTCGGGGCGGGATGCTCGAGGTAGAGGGGCAACAGGTGCGCCGCCGACAGCGGTCGCCCCGTGTAGGTGTGCGAGAGCAGTGCATTTCTGCGGGCCGAGGGTCAGAACTGAGCAATATGCGGTGGGCAGCGAGAGGGCCTACCTGTTGTCGTCGTAGACATGAACCGCCTCAATAACCCCGTTCATGGCTGCGACGGTCGCCTTTCCAAGGCGTTGCCAGACGGAGCAACGAGGACGAAGCTACCGCGCAGACAGACAGCCCACCTAAGCCACTTCGCAACGTCGCAGAGGGTGCTAACCCAATGACGAAATTAAATGTTAGTGCTGCTGACTAACTCCACCACGCCCACCACAGCCACTGGGGGCTGTCTCCATTACAGGCGCCCAGCGCAGCAGCAACACCAGACTGAAGCTTCCTGGATCATCCCACTCAGGGCAACCTCTGCCGCACCATCGCGGTCGCCCCTTCAAGATGGCCGGCGACAAGGTCCCGACGCTGCACTCCCTGGAGAAGCCAGAGGACCTCAAGCAGCTCATGCGCCAGGACCGTGGCGACGACTGCTTGAGCTGCAAAATCGTCGGCAAGTTGCGACGCTCAAACGCGACGATGAACCCTCTTACGCTGACCTTGAATCTTCGCTGCAGGCAGCGGTGCATTTTTTGGCTTGGCCGCGTACAGTTACTTGTCTGGCATGTCGCAACTCGAAAAGCAGCGTGCCGTCATACTGCAGAAGAACTCCATGTTTGGCATGCGCAGCCGGAAGCTGGGCATCGCAGGCATCTCGCTCGGACTGGTGTGGATGGGGATGTGGAGGGCGTTTCGGTGAGGGCCGGCCGTTGGCTCATCAGCTAGGGTTCCCGAGGGTCAGTCAGATATCAGGGCCCTGGGCGGGTGAGTGCCGGTTGTATAAATCTTGTACCATATGTGTCACCACGGATGCTGTACCACTATCAGGGGAAGCAGGCTCGGGGACCGCTCTTCAAAGGTCTCATGGAGGAAGGACCTGTGACCATCGAAGGCAATCACTCCCTTCAGATTTTAATGTCGCGAGACGATATACTCAATTCATCAATTTACTTGTGATGTACATGACTGCATCCTGAGCCTTCGCACGGCGCCAGTGCAGGCTGCCAGGGACCAGGACATGTAGCAAGAAAAAGGGACCCCATATCGTGGAAAAGTTCAGGTCTATCCTTTTGAAGGAACATAAATTCGTTTCATCGCGTATGAATGAGTTTGCGCCGAAGCGCGGAGGGCATCTAGTTGCGCCAGACTGGGTTGAATCAAGGTTGGGTGCTTGCACTGGCAGACAGCAAGTGCAACACCAGCCAGAAAAGCTCACCTCGACGGCCCCACATCAACCTCAATTTCACATCTCAACTTCAACACCCATCCGCGACACACTTCAACCACACGGCAAACACGCCCTCCCATCTCACGACGCAGTCAAACAAAAACTCATCCGGCGCATCGATTGACGAATCGACTCATACGTGTCGCCACTCCTGTCGGGCCTGCCGCCCCCTTCCGCCGGGGCAAGACACTCCCGCCCACCTCACCCTGCGAAAACCTCACATCTCATCTATCCGCCATGCCCATCACAATCCTCCAGCCCCGGCCCGCGCCGTCGCGGCCCCTCGGCGCGTCCGCCCACGCGGCACACGGCGGCTCTGACTACGACTCGGACTCGGACTCGGACTCGGACGGCGGCGGCGCGGACCTCCAGGGCGACGTGCCGATGCGCGCGCCCAAGCGCCGTCGCGCGAGCCTCGACGACGACGACGACGATGGCACCGACGCCGACGAGATTCTCACGCCGGGCAGCGTCATCACCTCGAACCCGCAATGGATGCGGTAAGCAATCCCTTCGCACCTCACCCCGGGCCTCCACATGAGACACACGTGCGAGGGAGATGAAAGAAGTTTGTGTGCTGACATGCCGTCCGCAGCGGCCACGGCACATACGTGCCCCCCAACTCCACAGACATCACCTCCTCCCTCGCCGGCACCCTCACCAAGACCAACAAGCTCCTGTCGGTGCGTCCCCTGCGCGCGCGCTACACGCCCGAGATCGGCGACCTGGTGGTCGGCCGCATCGTCGAGGTGCAGGCCCGGCGGTGGCGCGTCGACGTCGCCGCCTCGCAGCTCGCCATCCTGCAGATCTCGGCCATCAACCTCCCCGGCGGCATCCTGCGCAAGCGCACCGAGACCGACGAGCTCCAGATCCGCTCCTTCTTCGCCGAGGGCGACCTCGTCGTCGCCGAGGTCCAGCAGCTGCACCAGGACGGCGCCGCCAGCCTCCACACCCGCAGCCTCAAGTACGGCAAGCTCCGCAACGGCGTCTTCGTCGGCGTGACCGGCACCGGCGGCGGCGGCGGCGTCGTCCGCTCCAAGAGGCAGGTCTGGACCACCGAGGCGGCCAACGGCGCGGGCAAGATTGACGTCCTGCTCGGCGTCAACGGGTACATCTGGATTAGCAGGCATGTCGAGGGCGACCCCGCCGCCGAGGCTGCCGGCATCAACCGCATGGAGGAGACGGTCAGCAGCAAGGTCTACTCGAGCCAAAACGACGACATTGACGTCGCCACCATGCGGGAGATTGCTCGCTTCCGGAGCGTCATCCTGGCGCTCGTGGAGAATGGGCTGCGCGTCGACGAGGATACGGTGACGAGGGCATATCACGAGGCTGTCGAGATTGGCCGGGAATCGGCAGACGACGACCTGTACTTGGGGGGAGAAAGGGGCAAGAGGTTGGCTGCCATCATCGCCAGCCGGTAGGTCTTGAGAGAATACAAATCACAAGTCATCACAAGTCACTCACACACTTATTGGGGTGTTCACGTCTTCCTTCATTCGAGTGATACTAATACCGTCGTCCATCTCAGTAAACCTCGCCCTTGGCTCCTCTCCCTCGAGCGAGTGTAACTATGCTCCTCCAACAATCGTACATGCACATCCACATCGACCCCGTGACAAAAGAAAACATCGCTAGGTAGCAAGTACAGGCACCACTGCGCGTCGCCTGCGGGTATGTCTTTCACGCCTCTCGTTTTTACGTCCTACCAAAAACACACACATCACACACGCGTCTACTAAAGACGTGCTTGAGGCGGCGGCGCGTCGGTGCCATTTACAGGCCTAGCGAGCTTCTCTTCAGCCCAAGGAACGAAAGGACGGCAACGAGAATCCCCCACCTTAGAGCGGCCGAGGACGCACTCTTGCCGCCGAGGCCGAAGACGAGGCCGACCCAGTACTTGAGCCCCCGCACGACGTTGCCGTCGCGGTCAAAGTTGGGCTTGGGCGCCGAGAGCTTCTTGTAGCGCTCGAGCTCGCCCCACGTGTAGGGCATGTAGCGCACGCGGAGCACCTTTTCGGCCCAGGCGGGCACGTTGGCGATGCAGCGCTGGTGGCTGAAGGCCTTGAACGAGTAGTAGCCGTGGTAGTTGCCCATGCCGGACGAGCCGACGCCGCCGATGGGCGACGCGTTGACCATGCAGTGGAAGAAGGCGTCGTTGGCCGTGGCACCGCCAGAGGTGACGTTCTCGAGCACTGCGGCGGTCAGCAATCTCGTCTGCGAAAGTATAGGAGTATGAGCACTTTACCTTTCTTGTTCTCTGCGTCCGAGCCAAAGGTGTACAGCGCCAGGGGCGTGGGGTCGACCTGGTTGGCAATGTCGATGGCCTCGTCGAGGCTGTCGACGGGCATGATGGACCAGACGGGGCCGAAGCTCTCCTCGGCCATCATGGTGTCGTCGATGCTGTCGACCAGCACGACGGTCGGCTCGATGAAGAACTCGGACTCGTCGGTAGCACCGCCCATGACAATCTTGCCCTTGGTGTTGTCCACCATGGCCTTGATGCGGTCAAAGTGCATCTTGTTGACGATGCGGGAGAAGTCGGGGCTCTTCTTGGCGCCCTGGGGCATGAAGGTGCGGTACGCGGAGTTGACCTCGCCGATGAACTTGGAGACGAGGCTGCGGTCGATGAGGACGTAGTTGTGCGACAGGCAGACCTGGCCGGCGTTGAGGCACTTTTGCCACAGCAGACGCCGGGCGGCAAGCTTCAGGTCGGTGTGCTTGGTGATGAAGGCGGGGTTCTGGCCTCCCAGCTCGAGCAGGACGGGGGTCAGAGACTGCGCGGCCTTGGTGGCAATGATGGCGCCCGTCTTCTTGCCGCCGGTGAAGACGACCTTGTCGAACTTGAGGTCCATGACGAACTTTGTCTCCTCCAGCGCGCCGTTGACGCAGACGTAGCACTCGGGGTCGAGGTACTCGTCGAAGAGCTTCTTGAGGACCATGGCCGAGTGCGGCGAGTGCTCCGAGGGCTTGAGGATGACGGTGTTGCCGGCGGCGATGGCGCCGACGACGGGCGTGATGTTGAGCTGGTAAGGGTAGTTGTAGGCGCCAATCATGAGGATGGTGCCGAGGGGCTCGCTCCTCATGCGCATCTTCATGGGCCAGTACTGCAGGGGCAGGTCGGCGACGGGCTCGTCCTTGGCCCAGGCGTCGAGCTTGTTGGCGACGTTGACGCACTCCGTCTTGCACCACTCGAGCTCCGTGACGTGCGCCTCGTACCTGCACTTGCCCATGTCCTTCATGAGGGCCTCCTCGATGAGGGGCGCGCAGTCGACGAGACCCCAGTAGAGGCGGCGGATCTGCTTCTTGCGGTACTCAAAGTCCTTGGTGCGGTTGGTGCGGTACGTCTTGCGCAGGGTGTCGTACTTGGCCTGGATCTCCTCCAGGGGCGTCGCCTCGAAGGGCGCGATGCCGCCTTTGATGGAACCCATGGTGGCGATGGCGGGGGGTGAGCGCCGAAGATGTGTAGTCAACGGAAACGGTGCGGTTGAGGATGCGCGGCGACACGTGTTGGTCGGCGCAAGGATGCTGCAACGGCTGTATAGCGTGAGCCGGCGAACAAGGGCTGGGGGAAGAGTTCCAGGTCAGCGTTCCAACTTCAGACGAAATCACGACGGCGAAAAGGACTAGGAAAGATAGGCGCGACATTGCGCGAGCGTGGCCCGTGCCTCGTCCCACGAAGGGTTCGCGGGCACGCGCCGCGGTGCTCATCCACGAATGTCTCGACAGCCCGGGCAAAGCAAAAAGGTGGGCGATCTGACCACTCACGTCTTTGTCGTGTTAGTGCAGCAGCTTGGCGATGGCCAAAAGCTCTCCAAGAATCGGCCGACGACGGGACGGAAATCGCACAGCTACAGGAGGGAACACGGCGAGCGTCGCGGATCCCGAGAGGAAGGAAGGGAAAGAGAAATAAGGTAGGGAGCAGCAGCGGGACGGAGAGGGGACGGGGAGTAGGAGTATTTTCACAAGCGGCCGAGTCAAAATGAGGGGCCTCCGCAGGACCAGCGAAAGGGACGGGGCACGGGGATGGGGGATGGGACGGGATGAGATGGATGGAGGGCAGGACGGGAGCTTCTTCCAAGGTTCCAGGTTCCCCAGCAGCAGGACAAGCAGCTCGGCAAACGTTCAGAAGCTGCCTGGGAGACAGCTCCAGGGACCGAAGTGACGACTAAGTTCACTGAAGCAATGGAGCCTTGAGGCGGTTGCCACGGACAGCCTCAGGCTTGCTGCAGTAGCGCTGTGGGCGGAAGCGGCGTCGGGGCTCGGGATGATGAACCACCAAAAACGTGCGCCGCCGTCCCCACACTGCCAGGTGCCCACTGCCTAGGCTCTGCCAGGGATCGTCTGGGCAGCGGCCGGGTCGAACTCCTGTCCCGTCCGTCTCCTCTCACAGCAGAGAAAGCCACAGTGCCGGACAGCAAATCCACATTGCTCGCACGTACGTACGAGCAGGGGGTGGGCCTGCCTACCTGGACAAGGAAAAAGCCGAGCTACCAAGTACATGGTGGTGGTGCTGTTACAGTGCTGATGAAGGCGCGCTTCGCGCTCGGCGGGTCGGACAGTCGGCGGGCCTACAATCTCCAGCGGCATTGACGCCAGCATCCAGCCAAGGGGGGACCGCCCGGGGTGGAGGACGGAGATGCGGGCCAACTGGCTGCCACCCACGGCGTGCGCCATCCTCCGCCCCGACCTTCCATGCCCAGGTGGCTTGGACGGGGCCCCTGCTGCTGTTGCATGCTGCCCGCGACTGAGTCGCAGCCGATACCTACATGAGGTGCCCGCGCCTCCGGCGGGCGGACCGTCCGCACAGGAAGACGACGCATCAAGGTTCTGACATTGCTGCTCGTTGGCCTACTAACTTACCTTGCTTACCTATCGGCGAGCCACCCTCGGCACCCCAGACGGAGTCCATATTTCACGGCCCGTCTCACCTCACCTCGACTTATGCCCCGTGCTGCGTGGTTAGCGCACATGCCTTTTTTGCGAGGGCCCCTGCGCTGGCGCGCCCTGCCAGGTGCCGAGGCTCCCTCGCTCGCCTGGCTGTCCGCTGGCAAATGGAAACCAACCCGCCCCGACGGCGCGGCGCCACTGACCGACCCCACCATGCACGCGATCCCTGGTGTGCCACCCACCCACCCAGCGAACTTCAAACCCACCGGGCCGCCATCTTTTCCATGCACCTCACCCATCCAGCGGACATGTATGGGGGCGCGCCGAAAGCACTGTACCAAGTCCACCGCCGTAAAATGTAAGGTAGCACACGAGCGCAGTTATATCTATGCCTTCTAGTGTTCTGCAATGAGCTTGCCCGCTCTCTCTTGGCCACTCGCATGGCGATCACATCGGGCATACGGTATGCCACATCCATGAGCAAAGCAAGTCGCATATTGTACTCGTCCTTGATGCCCCCCCGGCTGCACCTACTATCCCGATCCCATCAAACCCGGCCCATACCAGGGGTAACGCCACCCCGTCCCGACCTGGGAGCAGCAACCAGCAACCCGCAACCAGCCCAGATCCCGGCCCGCCGACGGGGTCCTCTCTGCTGCCAACAGATCAAACAAGCCTCGGTTGCTACCCATGGCAGCCAGCCGCCCCCGCCCCCCGCAACCTGCAAACTTGACAATCATGGCTGGCCCTGAACGATACAGTCGTCGCGGCGGTCGTTGTGCCAGGTCTTACAAAGCACACGTCTCGCCATCATTCGCAAGCTCACGTGCACACGATGCTGTGCGCCCAATGTCTCACCCCTGGCTTCCACGGCGCGAATATCTGGCGCTACAAACGGCCCTCGTGCAACCCGCGATGGACGAGTGAAACGGTTCGGTCTGAACCTGTGTCCCGTATGCATCTCAGAGACTTGGACGGCGAGCTTGGGCAATCCAGCCTCCTTGACGCGTAGAACTGGGAACACCACAGGCATCTTGTTCAGTGCTTCTTGGTCCTAAATCGTACACATACTCCCTACAGTACGTCGTCTTCTATGTCCGGTATTTATACACGCCAATGTTGATATGCGGGCTTCACCTCCGCGCTCGGTTCGCGCCGCCCGACGACTTGCCGCCCTTGGGCGCAGCCGCCACCAGCTCGGCCACCTTCTGCTTCTCCTGCTCCTCTGCCATCTTCTGCATGAGGTACCCGTCGATGGCCTTCTTGCCATCCACCAGCAGCCCGCCCTCCGCCCTCTTCATGTCCTCGAGCGCCGCGCGTTGCCGCTGCTCGTCGAGCTGCAGCCGTCGCTCGCCCGTGAGACGCCACTCCTGTGGGAAGCGAGGTTTCGCCTTGATTTGGTGGTGCCGCAGGTCCAGCGGCACGTCCTCGAACGTGTCCTTGGGGTCCTTGGCCGCCGCGATCAGGTCGTCGACCAGGTTCGACAGGTACCGCTTGTTCTGCGCCTGGTGCTCGAAACTCTCGCAGCTCATCTTGATCAGCTCCGTCTCGGGGTTGTACCGGGGGCCCGCCAGCTTCCGCAGCTTGTCGGTTTGCACCGGCGTCAGCTTGAGGTCGTCGGGCGCAAACTGCACCACCACCTTCTTCTCCGCCGGATGTGACTCGCCCATGTAGGTCGTGTACCGCCACCGCAGGACCTCGTTGTCTTTCGGGGGCACGAATGGCTTCGCGAACTCTGCGTGGGCGCATTGGTTAGCTGGCTGGTTCCCCGGCCGACATGCATGCTCAGGTAGACTCACTGGCAAGGAGCGGCATCTCCCAGACGGCAAGGCGGGCGTAGTGTCTCATCTCCCGAACCTCCTCCAGCTTTCCGTGCGCCATTGATGTAATGTCGTCCTCGTCGAACTCGTCGTGCTCCTCCGTGTTGGTCTCGGGGTCCTCCTCGTCGAACCAAAACGACGACTTGTTCGGCTTGTCGCCCTGGTCGTCCTTGAACAGCTCCTCCTCCAGCGCTCTGTCCTCCGACGCCCAGCCGGGCGCCTCCCGTAGCCGCGATTCTAAGAATTCGTCGATGGTGCCGTAGCCGTTGCTCTTGGCCAGCTCGTCCAGCTGCCGCAGGCCTTCGGGGGTCGCCGTCTCAGCGAATGCCTTGTTCATCGTCTTCAGATCCAGCTTCTGGTATGCCTCTGCGTCCGCGTCATCCTTCTCCTTCCCGGCCTTGTCGTCGGCCCGTCTCGCCGGCGTCGTGCTAAAAGCTCGGTGCGAGACTGCGCATGGTCGGCCCAGTTGCTGCACCCGCGGCAGTTGCTGCACCCGCGGCAGTTGCTGCGGTCGGGCCGACCGGCGGCATGCTATCATGCATAGCCTCGCGGCGCCTGGAGCCGAAGCCATGTCGAATTGAAGGAGTTGCGACGACAACCGCGAGAGTCTGTCGCGTGGGAGATGCGTTGCGCCTCAAAAATTTGGCTGGCGTCGAGGTTGCTCTCAGGGATGGAAATTGCCGAAGCTTTGCCGCCAAACTCTCCACCTTGGAGGGTGTCCCGGGCAGCTGCCAAAAAGTGGGGCGCTCCAGTGAGCTTCCTCAACCGCCGTGATGGAACACCGTGTAAGACCAGGTTCATTCATCAACCGCACTTCTGAGCTGAGCGCCCAGTGCTCCTCTCGCCAACATCTCCCCAGTATGACGGCGGATGAGCGGCCGTCCGGGCGCTACTGCCTGATCACGGTCGGCGCCACGGTTGGCTTCGAACAGCTGACCAAAGCAGCACTTGAGCCGTCATTCTGGCAGTTCCTCCGGGACAAGGGCTTCAGCAACCTCCGTATCCAGTGCGGCCCCGACATACCCTGGGCCACCGACAAACTATCACAGCTCGAGCATGAGATCCCGCCGGGCTTCTCTGTTGATGTATTTGACGTCAGGAAGAACTTGATGCTCGAGGAAATGGTCCTTTGCAAGCCCGCCGAGGGTCAACGCGGGCAGGGCCTCATCATCTCCCATGCAGGTGAGTGAATCACTCTGGCAGACACCCTTCAGCCCGCTGATGGAAAATAAGGCACCGGCACTATACTCGATGCCTGGAAAGTTGGCGTTCCACTCATCGTCGTCCCCAACACCAGCCTGCTCGACGACCATCAAACGGAGATGGCAAAACATCTCGCCCGCGAGGGCTACGCAACCATGGCTAAGCCCAGGTGCGCTCCCCCTACCCATCTCGTGATACCTGCATCAGCTCTGACTATTCCTTAGCCGCCGCGACCTTCAAGAGGCCATCGATAAGGCGGAGCTTCTTGTCGAGGAGAACAGGACGCGCTGGCCGCCTCACCAGGTAAGCAACCAGCAAGGTGGCGCGGCTCGACTATGGGACATCAAGCCCATCGAGGTCAAGGCAGAGGAGGTCTCTCAGATGACACACGATTAGATGTTGGGGGTCAAGGGTGCTCCGAGGCAGCGTCAAGAGGTTCAAGTTATTTGAGGGCGTTGATGGACTTGGTCTTGTATTTACTCGTTCCACTGCTTATCGAGATACCCACCACCACGTTCGACTTTCTCGCATGTTGTCGCTTCTACGGCAGATTCGTCACGTTCCAGATCTTGACGGTCGCGTCTCCGCCGGCGCTTGCCACCTTGCCTCCCTCTACCCAGCTGATGCCACTCACCCCATCCTTGTGGGCGTTGGCCGCCTTGATCCTCTTGCCCTGGTTCTTCTTCTCCAGGCACCAGACAAACACGTTGGTGTCCAAGCTGCCGCTGGCGGCATACGCCCCCGAGTCATCCCACGCGATGCACGTCACGCGAGCAGTGTGGGCTGACCACCTGTCGGCAACCGTCTCCCAAGAGCCAGTCTTGTAGACGTAAATCTTGCCGACGCTGTTGCCAGCGGCGAGGTGCGACCCATCTTTGGAAAAGGCCAGTGCGGAGGTGGTACCCGTAGGGTTGGCAATCGCCTGGACCTGCTCCAGGCCGCCGCTGGGGTCGGCTTTATATATGCGGACAGAGTTTTGGTCCGCCCCGACCGCCACGAAAGAACCTGAAGTCGCAATGGCGCCAGGGGTGTAGCTGAGGGAGGTCTCCTTTAGGAGAGCGTCGTTGCTGTACGCCGCGATGCCAGAGACGGTGGCGACGTATACGATCTTGTCCCCTGCGCTCGCACCCTTCGGCTGCGCAGAGAGCTTGATGGACTGTCCCAAAAACGTCTTGGCCGACTCGTCAACAATTTTCAACGTATCGTCCCAGCCGGCGCTATAGATCTTTCCGGCGCTACCGGTAAGCTGCGCGACCTGGTTGGTGTGAGGCTCGCCATCGACGACCGCAGCGGTCCCTGTAGCCACATCCCAGCTGCAAACTCGGCCATCAAAGCTTCCGGTCCACACCGCGCTGCCCTTGCCGTCTGAGGAAGGGGTCAGCGCCGTGATGCCCTTGTTGTGGCCGTGCACAATCTTGACGGGCTCTGTTTTGCCCTCGTTGAGATAGATGAGCTCGCCCCTCAAGCTGACACTGATGATGAGGCCATCCGTTCGGCCGTGCGGGATGACGACGCCGACTTGTTGATCCGCCACGCTGACACCATCGCCAAACTTCCAGGTCTGGATGACGGTGCCGGCGTCAGCGTCCCAGAGCTTGACAGTCTGATCCGCGCTGGCCGTGGCGAACTTCTTGCCGTCCTGGGACCACGACAGGGCAAAGATGCTGCCGGTGTGCTCTCCATCGCCTAGTTGCTTCGTAGGCTGACCAGTCTTTCCGTCGTAAAGCTGTATCCTCTTGTCGGCACCGACCGTCGCCAGCGTGTTCCCGTCAGGCGAGTACGCGGCCCCAAGAACGAACCCCTTGTGCATCGAGTTCTTTTCATTGAACTTGTAGGGAGCTCCATGGTAGAAAACCATGTTGGCGTCGTCACCAACAGTGGCTGCTCGGAACGGACGCTGGGCCTTCATGGCAACCGCATTGACGGACTTGGAGTGGCCAATAATCTCGCCGACCGAGTTGCCGCTGTCGGCCGTAATGCAGCGTCCAAACTGCTCCTTGCCGTCACCGACAGCAATGATGCGTTGTGAGTCGCCATCCCAGGCAATATCGTTCAGGCGTCCGGAGATGATACCATACTCGCCCCTCGTGCTCTCGATGCTCTCGGGCTCCCAGACGCGCAGCATGCCGCTGGCGTCACCGCTGGCCACCTTGAACCCATTCGGCGCGAAGCGGGCGACGGTCGTGGGGGCGGTGTGGCCGGTGTACTCTTTGCAGTCGGCCGGGTTGTCGATTGAGCGGACAAAGATGGACTTGCCAGACTGCAGTGATCCAGAAGTCAGGGGTTGCTCGATGCGACACTGTTGCACTCGGGACTCACCGCGTAAGCTATCCGCTGGCCCTTTGAATCGGCGGACAGCTGCGTGGGCTGACCGCGCGTGGTGGCCGGCACAGCGGCCAGGATGCGCTCGATGGTAATAGACGGAGAAGCCATTGCAGCGGACTCGTCGCGATGCGGTTGAGCTGCTGTCCGTACGGGACGCTTCGGGAGGCGGAGGATTGAGTTTCAGGGACGGATGGAGGGGCTGAGGGGGGGCAGTCAGCTGTGAGGCTCGATGGCAGCTTGTGGCCTGCGGTGCTGCCGCTGTCGTGCTGGACAGGGCAGCCCAAGTACGTACCCCTGGAGGGTGACTGCGGGGCAGCAGGTCGAAATGGATCCCACCCAGGATGACGTCGGGTCCTGCCGCAGCTTTGGAGCTCGGGACAGCTTGGATGCTCGGGCTCTCAGCCAAACTTGATGAAAATGTCCGGGTCCGATTCTCTCCCAATCCTTTCCTCCGTTACAGTACCCACTGGATTTTCATGTGAAAGGCCTCTTCAGACCTTCCATCTGGCTGGGAAGAGAAACTTATACCCATCCTCGTTTCGGGACCCCGTCGGCGCTGGCATCGCTTCTGCCTAACGCAGCATGAGAGCATCATGGCAGCAAGGCAGCAGCATCAACGACCAGAACCGCGCGTCCCAACGCGCTCTTCTTTTCAGAGCCGCCGTTCGTGCCGTGATTTATGGCGGGCAGTGATAAGGCAATTGGCCTGCCTGGCCTGAGGAACCTGCAATCGTCAACGCCGAGAACCAAAGAGCGGGCGGGGGTTTTCAAGCCATGGCCGCCGCACCTGCCAAACCGTCGAAAGCTTATTTACGGACCATTTAGCCGTCGGCTGAGACGGGGCTGGCTTGTTGTCCAGCGATTATGGATCGACGGCAACGAGCAACAACAGCTTCTTCTCAGGTCCGTTGCCGTGTGTTGCGCGACAGCCGCGCCAGTGGACGCCGTATCTGCAGCCACATAACTTACACGAGACGCACACAGGGGCAGGGCAGCACACAGGGGCAACGGCGCCGCCGCCGCCACCGGACAGACAGCTCCCGCGCGCGCGCGCAGCGGCGATGTCTGCTGGACCAGACCAGACCAGACCTCTCGCCGGCCAGGGCTTTTTTCCTTTCCCCCCCGTCGCAGGCGCATTGAGACAAGCCCATTTCCCGCTGTCTCTCCCCCCCGCGTCGACCAGCACTTGGGGGCAAACACCAAGCTGCCACAACTCGCCAGGCAGAAGAAAGAAAAACAGTGCCGGAGGCTCCAGCATGCCAGCCGTCAAGCACTAGCACGAGGGAATGGTGAGCCCGTTTTGCCAAAGAAAACACGGGGATGGCAAGTGGAGCGGCCTGCCTGGGGGGGGAGGGAGCTCCTAATCCGGCTACGGCCGCAGCGGCCCACCACGATGGCATGTTGGCCGGCGGCACGGCAGACGAAACCCTCCCCCCCTGCGCAACATCCGGTACGAGTCCCGAGTCTGCATGCTGCCTTGTTCGCCCGGCGAGACGGGCAGAGTGATGGCCAATGGGGCCCCTCTGTCACCAGAGGGAAACATCCGGTTGCGTGGGTGCTGCCTCGCGCAGACGACGCACCACACCAATCTCGCGATCGTACGAAGCACCAGCTCCCAAGCATCAGTTATACCAAGCGAATGTGCCGACCACCTGCCTGTGCCTCGTCCCTCTTCCCCCTCCCCCATCCCCGAGGGACATGCGTGGGCCGGCAACAGCGTCACACCTCACCGCAACCCGCACCGTCAGGCGGACAATAGGGGAGGCGAGAGAGACGCCAGCCAGCTCCCCCTCCCCCCTTGTTCTAGACAGCCCGTCCACACACATGTCGTGGCCCCCAAAAGGAAAACAGCCACACTTGCCTTGACGAAACGTCAACAACGGTTCGAGGGCCATCATCACAAACCAAAAAAAGTTGGTCGCACCAGAATGAGGGCGGGCCAGCCCAGTTCCAGCCCAGTCTCTCCGCCGCAGGGGCCCCGTTGGGTCTTGGTCACAGAGGCCCTCAACTCATTTGCCCTCCGTCCGGGGGCAACTGTCCCGGCTGTCCTTTTCGTATCCCAGACAATGATAAAGCGATGCCCTCGCCCACATTCCATCTCTCGTGCTTTTGTTTGCAATTTCCACCCTCCCGCCAGAGCCAATCCTCGCCCGTCATTTTGCCCATATATCCCTAAGCGAGGCTTCTTCTACCACTCGCGACTCTCGCTCTCTTCGTCCCTCTCTCCCCTCTCTCTCCGCCCGCACGCCCATTCCGTTCGTTTCGTCCCCTCAACGTCCTTGCCCTCGACGACGACGGCCCCCCCATTTCGCCCGCCCAAGATGAAGTTCCTCGTCCCTCTGGCCCTGCTCGTCGCCGCCGGCGTGTCTGCCGACGACAAGACGGGCGGCGACAGCAAGAGCGGCTGCCTTGCCGACTACATCGTCACCAACTGCCTCGCCAGCGAGACCAAGAAGGTCAGATCACATTCATCCATATCCCGCGTCCCCCTGGGGCCAATTGAACATCGTGGGATGATGAGGACAATTTGTGCTAACGTCCGAGCTTGGAACAGGCCGAGGGCTGCGCAGCCGCAGACTGGGACTGCATGTGCGCCGCATACGAAGCCATCGCTACGTACGTCTCCTCCTGTCGTTGAACCCCCCCGTCTTACACGCGCCCACGCGTAGTGGCATCACCACCACTACTACTACTAGCCGCAAGCCACCACCACCACCACCACCACCACCACCACCATCCCCGCTTGTCTTCGCACTCCTCCTCCTCCTCCTCCTCCTCCTCCACCTCCACAAGAGAACGCAAAACAAAAGTAAGCTAACCGCTCAACGTTGCCGCATCAAACAGCTGCTACAACAACTGCCCCAACGACCCCCGCGCCGGTCCCGCCCGCCAGCAAGTCTCGACCTACTGCGCCAACGCCTCCCTCTACGGCTCAAAGGCCATGGCCTCCAAGACGGCCACCGGGTCCGTCACCAGCTCCGCCGCCGTCGCCTCCGCCTCGGCCACCGACGCCTCCAGCTCCATCAGCGGCACCGAGATCTTCCCCACCAAGACGACTACTGGCGCCTCCGCCGCTGCCTCCAAGACGAACGCCGCGGAGCCCCTCGCCGGCAACGCGGGCGGCCTGTTCGTCGCCGTCGCTGGTGCCGTCGCCGCTCTGCTGTAAATTTTCATGGGGCCGGCGCGGTGCATGTCTTCTCGGGGAACTCGTTAATACTTTAATAATAAATTCACGTATAACGTATCATGTCAATCACCATCAGACCGTTTCTTCCCTTGCGTCCCGCTCCATCGGTGCTCTCCGTACAATGTCACATGTAAACTCTTCTCACAAGCAGTCTGTTGGAACATTCGAGTAATGCGTGTAGCTCTTCAGAGCTACATCGTCTTCATTTGCTCGCGGCTTGCCTAGCATTTCTATGGTACACCTCGCCAGGCTTCCCACACTGTCGTCGGCATCCTACACACTATCGCGCCATGTTGCCTTGCTCCGTCGCAACGCGATCGTGAAAATGAGAAAAACAACGGCCCAATTCCCATACAGGCCCTTTGCGCCATAACGTCTCTAGCAAAGCAAACGCATGCCAACCAACAATGATACCCATGGCCCCCGATAATAATCTCGATCCTCGTGGGGCTGTGTGTGAACCCCGTTCCTGAACTTGCTTGTTTGGTCGCCGTCTCAGCGGCGGCCGTTCGTTCCTTTTAAAAATGTAAGGCGTGATGGCGAAGGGATGCAACTAAACAGTGTACGAGTGGTAATCGTCAGACGCGTCAAAGCTGACATGCATCCGAGGAACCAGTGAGCCTTTCGAGGGGAGGGTCGAAAGGCCGCTGGAACATATATGCAGAGAATCGGAAATCGCAGAACGGAAGAGTGGTGATTGTGAGGCGGCTTCACGCCAACAATCATCCCTAGACGCGGCGGGACCTTCGCTGCTTGGCACTGTTCTTCACGGGGCTCATGAAGGTGACATGCTTCGCGTCGTCCTTTCGGAGTTTCACGGGCCCCGCCACGCTGTTGGATCCACGGCGTAGAGCTCGAGGCTCGTGCTCGTCATCCAACGTGATCTCAGCAACGTCCGACATGGAGGCGTCTTCCAGGTTATCGCTAGACCCAGAAACCGATGAGCCCTCATCGGAGTCATCATACTCGCCGTCGTCACTAACGAGAGACGGCGCGTTGTTGCTGATCAGTGTGTTGGGGCTGAGGTTTGCGTCGTCCATGTCAATGTCCTCATCGGATAGCACCGCATTGGACCCGCCTTTCGGCATCACAGCGTCATCGGTTGGAGACATGAGGTGCGCATCAAGATGGCGACCCTTGCTGCTCGTCGGGCGTCCCGACCCGGCATTCACTGCCGGTGACTTGCCGCTACCGGCCGGCACTCGCATAACAACCGGTGTTCGTGCGGTAGGAGCGCCAAGACCGCCCGGGAAGCCGTACGGAGGAGTCTCAGACGCGTCTGAGTCTTCGTCAGGAGTGATATCCTCGAACGACACCTTGGTCTTCGCGTCGGCGACGAGATCATGCAGGCTGCCACTGAAGTTTCGGCTTTCCATCAAGCGAGACAAGTACGGGGCGTCTGAAGCGGCCGCGAACTTGGATGGTCTGGTTTTTTGAGTGCTTGGGCCGGTTGGGGTGCCCTGCGCACGACGAGATGACGGTATGCGATCGACGCCAGGCAGCTTACCAGCATGATACAGCTTGAGGGATTCTTGGATCCTGGAGCGGAGCGCAAGGTACGCCTCCTGGTCCGACATGTCTTGCCGGGCGAGCGGATGCACGAAGGCGGTGCTCGACGCCGGCGTAGGGGTCTTGTCTTCGGCGGCAGAAGAAGGGTTGGGTTCGGCGACATCGATGGGCTGGCCGCTCTGCATGGCAGCCTCCTCGTGGCTTTTGAAGTCACGCTTGTGCGCTATCCGGCAATGGTTGATGAAACCCTGCGTGCTTGAGAAGTTCTCACGGTTGCAGTCCAGGCACACAAGCTTGACCGTTTGCCCATCGGAGCGCTTCAAGACACAAGGGCCGGCCTTGTCCTTAGTCTGAGGATAGCCGTTAGACAAGGCCTGCAGCTTCTGGCCTGCGATGCCCCGAATGGGTCGGCCCTTGCCAGTGATTGCTGGCTCGGTGAAGCTGTTCCTCGTCGTCCTGCCTTCGGTGACGGCGGTCCGCCCACGCGCGTACTCTGCGGTAAACTGCCACTCGGGCTGCATGCCATCAAAGGACGGGTCTGGGATGAGCCACTTCGCGTAATGCCGAGCGTACGGACCGTCAACCACGCCAAATGGAGGAGCCCACCTGGGAACCGGCTCGCCAGGCTGGCCTGCCAGTGCAGGGCCCTTTCCGCTGCTGATGTCCAGCATCTGATCCGGAGTAGGGCAGCTCTGAGGGTACGGGATAAGGTGGCATCGTCGCAACTGTTCAAGAGCGACCTGGCACTTGGCCAGCTCTTGGTTGATTAGTCTCAACTCATTGTGTTTGAGAAGCACCTCGAGCCCGAACTGATGTTCGATGATGTCTTGCGCCTGTTCGAGAGCGCAGGGCGCACCGGTCGAGGCAGACGACAGGCTGTCGCGAGACGTCTCCGAGTCTTCGGGCGAGCTGTCCGAGTCGAACCTGGCTCGTTTCGCCGGCAAGAGGTCCTCTAGCGACGCATCCGAGTCTTCGTCGCAGTCCCGACTTCTCTTGGAAGCCGAGACGCGCACGGCGGCTGTCGCAGGCTTGGGTATCGGTACGGCAGTTTGAGGAAGATGCGGTCTTGGAACTGGCGTTGCAGCCTTCTTCTCGCTTCCCCGGGGGTCGGACTTGAAGAACGCAAACATGGAGGCGCCCTGGGATGGGGAGCCGACGTCCAAAGTCTGCGCCGCGACAAGAAGACCCGGTGCGATGCGTCGTCTCGCGTATGTCGGACGACGAGACGGGCCAAGGCAGGAGTGGTGATGTCGCGACAGGTGGGTCGCGATGGGGCGATGGGGCGACGAGGCTGACGTAATCAGGCTGGGTCGTCAGATGCGGGTTGGGCAAAGGGGGGGTGATGATGTGGCCCTCGGGCAAGTCGGACACGCCTCAAGTGACCAGAGCGCAGCGCGCGCGACAAGGGGTCGGCGACGGCGACGGCGACGGCGACGCGATGCGAGCCGGTTGCGAGGGACGCCAGCGAGCGGTTGCGTTCGAGTGCTAGCGAAAGCCTCGAACCGTGGCTCCAGTGACGCAAACAAGCGACTGAGAGTGAGAGAGCGAGAGAAGGGAAAAGGGTGAGGAGAAGGGGAGAATTAACGGGGTTTGCAGAGCAAAGGAAGGTGCAAATGGGAGGCAAATGGAGAGAAGGGGGAGGAATCGGAGGCGTTGCTGGCGCGCGGTTTGTTTTGCCAGCTGCTGAGGGCGCTGGCGCTGGGGGGGGAGGGAGGGCGAGGGAAGACGACGGAACCTGGAACGACCCAGGCTTCAAGGTTGGGAAGGGGGCGGCGAGGAGCGCAGACGGCGCAGGCGGCAGCCAGACGAAGTGCAGCAGCAGCAGCAGCAGCAATGGCGAAGCGGGCTAGTGGCGGCGACCGAGAGGGCAGGCGGGACGGCGGAGGACAGAGACGGACCCAGGCAGGCGGGCGGACGCAACGCAATGGCGGCTGGATGGCTGGATGGATGGATGAATGGGCGCCGGGCCAGTGTGACTGGGCCGGGGGAGGCGAAAACGAAGCCCGGCGGCCAGTCAATCAGCGCCTCAGTTGCGTGCGCAGCGACGAATGGCGAGGCGGCCGCGAGGTGTGGTGGAGGACGAGGAGAGGGCCGAAAAGCGCCTTTGCGCCTTGGCCTCGCCCTCTGGACGAGAGATTGTTTGGGGGGTGGAACCGTCCGCGTCGCCCTGCAAGGGGGGTGTGGAGGCCGACTCAGACAAAGATGGCGAGATGGTGGCCGCCGCGGGCAAATGAAGACGCACCTACGCTGGGGGTGGCCGCCGGGGGGGATGCTGCCTGGGCGGGCTGGTGCCGGGGGGGGAGGAAGGCCCCTGTGAGCCGGTGAACCTGCCCTGCGCTTTTGCCTGCGAGGGTTGGCGGGCCCTCCACTGCGAGCGAGCTCAGGCCTGCCTGGCTGCCGTGCCGTGCCTGCAAGTGGCTCCCCGGTTGGGTCCTGGTGATCCACCAACAGCTGGAGGCGCGCTGCGAGGTGGTGCGCTGCGGTGCGGCGCGCGCAGGGTACCCAAGCAAGCCAAGGTTGCCTGTTTGCTGATGGGGGTGTCTCGACAAGGATCTTCTGAGCAGGGCCGCCAGGGTACCTCGCAACTTCGGACCTCCTCCGCAGGCGTCGCCTTGTTGCCGTGCAGGCGACGGCGACGGGTTCTGGCTGATGGTACCGCGTGCGTGAGGTACAGTTACTGTATCACAAGGTTCAACAAGCGTTATGTTCGTCCCCGCGCCGGCTGGTACTGTGCCGTACAAAGTCACAGCTAGAAACTCGTACAGAGCGTGTGTGCGTGTGTGTCGGGCGGGCCCTGATGAGCCGGCTCGCGTCGCAGCAGAAGCAAAATACTGAGCCGAGGGCAGAGCTTATCGGCGACACACGAATGTTGCGAGAGCATGAGAGTTTTGGAGTCGCACCACTTTTCTCGGCCGCGGTTCAGTTACGAGGCGGCGAGGAGGAGTAGGTCGGGGCTCCAGACGGGGAAAGCATCCGCCCTGTGCCTTGCCCTGATGACTGGCGTCCCGTCACCACCAGCCTGCAGTCAGTGGTTCGCTCGTCACTACTGCTTCTGCTGATGCTGCTGCTGCTGCTGGCCAGCCAGATTGACGCACAACCTCATGCGCGCAGCGACTAAGGCACCTGCTCGACGCCATCGTCGGCTATTCTACCACAACGGCCAAGACAGATCAAAGGCCGCCGCCGCCGCTCGACACTGTCGCGATGGAACCCCATCGCGGCTTCTGCACCAGATCGCCGCCACGGAGACGACCGCGATAAGCCGCGTCGCTGCTAGGGGCGTGCAGGACAAAGGCATCTCGCCATCCCCTGCAGCCACCCACACTAGCAGCGTCTATCTGCTGCTAGCGCATGGGCGAGCCTCCTCCTTTGTGACGACAGCCGACTCTGGCCCCATGTTTCACAGTCGCCTCAAAAGTCCAGTGTCAGCAATGCTAGACACCTTCTGTGCAAGATCGTCGTTGCGGATGTGGACGAGGAGATGCTGTGACTGTATTATGTATTTGAGTGATGAACTGGGCATCGAAGGACGGCGAAATATGCGCAGCATCAGCGTGAACCGCCGACGCGCAGTACTCGTGCGAAATTCGTATCTCGCCGACACCAACCCACACAGTCGAGCCTAGATAAGAGATACATGCATCAACCCCAAAATTATGTGTCTATTTGTGTACCCCCGCAACACCACCAGTCCCACCCATCCTCATCGCTACCCCGGCGGTTAAGCTCCAGAATGACAGCAACCTGCAGCACCCGATCGTGAATTCATCGAGCTAGCATCACTGGGCCCACTGCCTCGGAGCACCTCACATGTTGTAAGCTGATTCCACACCGGGGAGACTCTCCTCGGCACCGCGCGCTCTCAGGTAATAGCGTCGTCGATGCGTATGCATCCACTCAACCATCTCGACTGGAATCCCCCGCGGATTGCTCGGCATGTTGCGACGCATTCCGCGACGCCCACTCGTGGGGAAAATTGCCCCGTGAGAGGAGCATGGGGTGCCGAGAGGCGCGAGCTGTGCGCCCACCTTGGACGCTCGGTTCGACAAGGACACAGTCGAGCATCAAGGAGATGCGGCACACGGCGGTGGCAGGGTGTCGGTCCGTTCCCTGCCCCAGCCATGTCGGTCCGTTCCCTGCCCCAGCCACGCGCTCTGTCGAGTCGCGGTTGGCAAGATCGTCTCTTCTGTCCCTCACATATCAGCAACCGGTACTTTGTATTACTATTTCTGTCGACACCGTCGTCGGGTGCAACAAGAACGGGCCGACAAACCATCGTGGTTGGGTGAGGTATAGGGTAGCCACTTTTGCCGCTTACACCACCTCCGGACTCTTTCCCATGTTGGAAGGGCTGCAAAGAATATGACCACGAGCCCAATGGTGATGGAAATAATGGCCTCGGGACGTAGTTCCATGTCGGGTCGTCGAAAGCTGTAGACGGATGGGAGAGGGGGGGCTGCAGACGAGTACCGAGCGTAAGCCTCGGCAGCTCAGCTTGACGCCAACGACAGTCGGCCAGAGTTGGTGATGGCGAGCAACATGACGCACGACATTGTCGACCACATCATGTCTTTATGAAGCTATGCCCAGTCCAACGGCGAGCGCTGCCATGGATTATCATGAATAACCACAGCCAGTTTCCGCCGCGTGTTAAGCTTGCCAAAGAACACGTTCTGACAGGTATGGCAACCTCACTTTGGTGTACCCCGTACTCGTTGATGAAAGCAGCGCCCTACCCCATTCTGCGTCCGAACGCCTGACAGGGGCGGCGCCATTAACAGGAAATGGGAACGAAAGCAGTTTCCTGGGCTCGTTGCAGACCACAACGCCAGACAGGGGCGGCGGTATCAACAAAAGAAAATGGGAACAAAAGCAGTTTCCTGAGCTCGTTGCACACCACAACCAGACAAGGGCGGCGTTATCAACACAAAATGGGAATAACAGCAGATTCCTGAGCTCGGTGCACACCACAACGCCAGACAGGGGCCGGCGCCATCAACAGAAAGTGGGAATAAAAGCAGTTTCCCGAGCCCGATCTGCGTTACGATGCGGGTCGGGGGCAGCGTTATCAACACAAAATGGGAATCAGAGCAGTTTCCCGCGCTCGCTCTGCATCATAACGCGCGTCAGGGGCGGCATTATCAACAGTCCCATGTAAGAAGCAGCAGCATCCTGCTCCGTTCTGTGCCTCAGCACGCATAGGCGTGGCGTTATGGACACTCAAATTCGTCCACAGAGCAGACATTGGCGACAAGATGTCGGCAGAAAGAGGGCATTCACACCATCAGGGGGCCGGGGTAGATCAGTTGCACGGCATCTGCGCCGCAGCTCAAAAGGGTCGGACTCACAGGGGATGTGATGCCGGCCCTTGCTGGTATAACCCGAGTCCTTGCCGTGGCTTGCCATGGGTCATGAGGGATGTGATGCTGGCCCTTGCTGTATAACTCGAGACCCTACCATGGCTTGCCATGGGTCAAGCAGCCCTTGTCTCGGGACCGTGCCTCTCTGTGTAGTCGATCCAAACTGGACTTCATGAACTTCTGGCGCTGCGCATAGCTCTCAGGGAGTGCGGGTTCCGTTTCGCCATAGCAACCAGTTGCAAAACTCTAGCTCGTGCTCCCGAGTCCCGAAGCCTCAAATTGACCACCGGAACCCGGCAGGTAAAAGGCGGTGTCAAACAGCGGACGCCGGGAGCTGTAATTGCTGGAGACAGAATGGGCTCCCCAGGCGCTCACAAGCCGGCACCCGCTCCATTCGGACCGACAATCTGTCACGGTACACGACAGAAACATGCATGCAATGGGGCCAGGGTTGTCGACAAGGGGCGCGCCATGGGCAAGTTGGGGAGTTCAGAAATGGCTGTCCGTCGTTATACGTACCCAAAGGGGCAAAGAGAGACGTCGGTGTGCGCGGAAGGGTGGATGTTGTCGGTGGACGGGAAGGGTGGGGCCCGCCAACGAATTGTTTGAACCACGCTCTTCCAAGGCACTTTCTTGACGTCCAACATCCCCCCCAAACACACCTCGCTCACCGCAACAATGTCAACCACCACAGGCGGAAGGAACTCAAAGAAGCGCAAAGAAGCAACAGACGCAACAGACGACGCGTCAAAGGCGCCCAAGAAGCGGCGCTCGCAGGAGCCCGAACCGACCAAGTCTCCCCTTATCGGGCCGCACGAATCCATCATCGCCGACCTGCAGCCCAAATACGATGTCCTCGTCGCATCCGTGATCTCCTCGACGCAGATCCGCAAGCGCGTCAGCCAGGCCACGGCGCATGTCGGCGCGCCGGCGGCGGCGGAGAAGAAGAAGCCGCGCGTCGTCCTGTTCCACGCGCGGCCTGCGGAGGTGTGCAAGCTGGTCACCATCGTCGAGCACTGCAAGCGGGTTCTCGCCGACGAGGGGAAGGCTTGGTTCCAGTACAACGAGCTGTTCGAATTGCCGCCCGACGCAAAGAAGGCGAAGAAAACGGCGGACGTGGTGGAGGAGACGGTTCTGCGGGGGGATGGCGCCGAGGAGGATTCGGACGACGGCGAATTCGAAACCATGAACAGTACTCGGTTCGAGAAAGCTACCATGCCGCCCCCGCCCCGAACCATCAGATCGTTGAGGGTATTCTTCGCGTCAGAGTCAATACCGGAGCTGAAGAGCAAGAGTAGCGTGACGGTGCAGTCGGCCGAGTCTTGACATTGAAGAGGTCGGCTCGTCACACTTGCCGATAGGACTTGTTCAGACAACAAAACATGCATGGGAGGCGTTCAAGGTTCACGTTGGTAGACAGGCCAAAGCTATGATACCCAAGACAAATTGCATTTCACGCTGATAGTACACCATTATCCTATTCTCATCTTCAAAAATGTGACGACCGCCGAAACTCCTCCTCCTCGTACCGGTGCCGGATGCTTCTTCAGCAGCACTACAACCTGCCGGCTCCAATCACTTCGCAGAGTCCTTGTACAGCCATGTCCTTCAACAGGTGCGGAAGACGGACCTCTAGCCGTGCTTCTGCTTATTGGACTGGTCCGTGATGCGGAGGACAAAGTTGACGACGACGGCCAGCAACAGGATGATGGCCAGGAAGGTCGGGCCGAACCGGTCGTCGAAGCCGGCCTGGCCCCTCACTCGTATTGACTTTGCTCTCCAATGGTACGTCACCAGCGCATATATCATGGTCAGCATGGCGACGCCCGTGAAGAGGAAGGCCGAGATGAAGGCCACCCGGTCACCAAAGTTGAGCATGCCAATGGCCAGCGCGCCGAGGATCACAGTGAAGTTGAGCCATGACAGGAAGGTTCGCTCGTTGGCGAAGAAGACCTTGGGCTCGACGCGGGTCGGCAGGGCGATGCGCTTGCCTGGAAGAGAGGGTCAGCCGGGCGTGCTCGTGTGGCACAGCGAGGGGGCCACGCATAAGCGCGTTGCGTACCTGGCGCAGTCTGGAGAAGCGGCTGGGAGGACATTGTAACGGCTCTATGGTCGCACAGTCGCTTGGGTAGTCGTTTCGGAGCGAGTTATAGGTCGGTTAAACAGCAGCGTCTCGTGTCGATTGGCCAGTAGCAGGTAGCTTCAACACCCGCAGCTGTATTCAATTGCGCACCCGGTGGTAGATCGTCGGTTCGCTGGCGAAAGTCCCTGCCGGGGCCAAATGTGAGACACGATTAGGACAGGAAGGATTAAGTATGGAATCGGCGTACAAAGGAGGGAAAAAATCGAAAGCCTCGAGGACTGTGAACAAAGGCGGTTCGATGGGAAGCCAGTGATGGTTCCCCCCCACTTTCTGATGCTGCTTTGGGAGAGCTCAGGTGCACGTGGGCAGGCTGGTTGGCTGCCGGTCACGTGCCGGTTGCCCCGCGAAGCAGTCTGGTGAGGAACTGGCCCAAAGGGGAAAACGATCAGGCACGGACGTTTCGTCGCGATAGACACATGCACAGCGCCGACGACGTTGCCCCAGGTAGGCCCGACGCCGGATGATTCCCTACGCGGCCCCGTGGAAAGTCTGACAAGTTACGCCTCGCGGCACGCAGATTGACAGCAAGAGACGAACCGCGGCCCTGACGGAAGACGATTGTTTACCGGAACCCCTCAATCGCTGCCTGTCCCCCGATCGAGCCCCTTTTCGAACAGAACTCGCCCAAGATGGCCACTCCTGTATGCTCAGCGACCGATGATGATGTCAAAGGATTGTGGACTGATATTGGAACAGCCCGTTCCCTTCAACCGGCTCAAGCAGATCGCCACCGACGTATGTATTGACCAGCGTGGCTTGTTTACCAGGGGCAGCCTGCCAGACGTTACTCCGCATGCTCGTATCTCACACTCCATCGCAGGTCTGCAACAGTGCCATTGGCAACGCCGAGTTCTACGACCACGCAAAGACCGAGCAATGGAACTCCAGCATCATTGTAAGACTCCCCTCTCGGCTGGCCTGCCGTCCATGACCGCGACTGACCATCCCCCACCAGAGCTCGATGCTCAAGGCAGTCATCTCCGAGTCGACTCCCCAGGGCGCGTCGGCACCCTCGTTCAAGTTTGCTTGCAACAGCACCATCGTCCAGCACCTCGTCCCGACGTCTTCCCTGAACAAGGCCCGCGGCGGCACCGACGTCAAGACGGAGGAGCCGCACATCTCAACGAGCACAGAGGCCACGGCCACGGACGGCAAGCCGCACGTCGGGCGACGCGGCATGCACAGCGCCACGGGTGCGTACTGGGACGAGAAGAAGGACGGCATGTGGACGTTCAAGTACGACGGCGGCGAGGGCAAGGGCATGGACGTGGTCATTATGCTCATCTGGGTTGCCATCTGATGCGGGCGGCGGCAGCAGCAGCAGCCGTGTCAGGGCTTCCTCGGATAGCATTCGATCGATACATACTGGCGGGCTTTCTACCACTGCAGGAGAGTACGGCGTTTCAGGAGCTGAGGCGCGGGCAAAACGTCCCTCCGATAGGCCTCGACGGTTGAATTTCTAGCAATTGTTGGGTGCGTGCGTGACATCTAATAGAGACCAACTCTGCAATGTGCTCGGCCTGGACGTGTTCGGTTTGTTCTCATCGGCCTTGACCGGTTCCTATGAACAAGTAGTTGTGAGCGACCGTGGTGGGCTACATGTCTACTCTCGTGGCACTGCCTCTGGCTCCGTGCTCCTGTCATAATGCGGCGGTATAGAGTGGCCGTAATTTAGGCCTCAATATTTGCAACGCTCATTTGAGTACGCAGGCATTGCCCTTGACACGCTGCGGAAGCGGCACGACGGGTCCATTGCGTCTACCATCAGGCCACCCAGGGTCCTTCGTCGCCCGATCCGCAGGCATTTCGCGGGGTCGCGGGAGAGAAGAACCGCCTTGCCCCTGACATGGACGATTGACGACTGCTATGTGCATTCAAGCTCCTGCGGCGGATGGCATGGCACTGCAAGAATCACGAGTTTTTTCTGCCAGCACGTGGATGAGACATGGCTGCATGTCAAGGGCGCTACCCATGCAACCAGCACATGTCTTTGGCGGCAAGGGCAAGGCATGTCCCTGCCGCGCAGGCGGCGGAATGATTCTAGAAGGGCAGGAAGGGTCTCGATTTGAGGCTCAGCTGCGGTGTGACGGCACAATTGCAGACCTCGCAACGTCTTTGCCGTCGCCCATCGTGGCCTCGTCCTTGATGCAGTCGGCCACGCCGGTCACTTGCTTTGCAAGACGGCCCGCTGTACAGCGTCGTTCCATCTGCACTCATCATACCGAGATCACCGCGCAGCACTGCAAAGGCGCCAGCGATAAAGCACCGCGCCGCAGCATTCCACTCGCTGCAAAGTCAATGCATTACCAAGAGATCTTCCGGGAGGACCTGCCCGTCCTGTGCCGTCCCAGACGATCACACACACAGCCAAGGGTCCGCGTCTGTCAGCGAGGCCCGCAATGATGCCGTCGTGCAGACGCACGATCCCCGGGCTGGTGGAGACCGTGGGGAGCTGGAGCGGCCGCTTGACGCCGTCGAAACCGCCTCTGACGATTGGCATCCGCAAAGAGGACCGCGGGACCCATTCCCGCCGTCATTCGATGCCGCCGCCGAGAGTTCGAGGCAGCGGCCGCCGTCACCTGCTGGATCCTGGACGCTGGTGGGCTGACGGCGCGCCGTGCGGATGGCCCCGTCCAGCGACCCTTCGGGGTAGCTCGGAATTCGACGCCACCGGTCGGACACCCGATGGAAGCACCCAGCCCGCACTGTCGCTGCCGCCGACTCTTTCCCATTCGCCCTGTCCCTGTCGATCGAGCGCCGTGGCTGCGCGCTGCGCCGAATGCCTGGAATCAAAAGCAATTCTGCCGATTCGCAACGACGACGAAGTGACGCTTCTTGCGATGCTGCATTTCGCCAGTTAACGTTCGGCGCCGAGGAACCGTATCGTGACGCCCCGAAACGTTGGCAGTGAGACTCCACGGGTCTGACGCAGGTGGAAGGGAAAACGCCAGGGAATGCCCACCGAGTCAGGCCCACCATTGTCGAGGTCACCCAATTCGCATTCACTTGCCAGGCTAACCGACTCCACAATAGACCCGTTGGACCAACGATCAATGGATCGGGTTTCCCCTCCTGGGAGTCGGGTGACTGGGGGCGTCTTTGCCACTTTGTGGGAGGGCGGTTGAGTTGCGTCGAGTCGAGTCGAGGTGTCGGACGCCTGTCGCCTGCTGCGCCTGCTGCGCCTGCGTGCGCCGTCGGTCGCCCGGCTGGACCCTGAAAAAATCTCACGGCGGATGGGCGGCTCGCCATGACGCCACCGGCTCCGACGTTGGCGGTTTGGCGTGCCTCGGGCGACTAGCAGCCACGGCCCCAAGTCCGTCGGCCGCGCCAACGGATGGGATGGGATGGGCTGGGATGGGACGGAGGGCCGCTTGGGCTTGGTCAGGTCAGGGGAAAATTTCCCACGATGGCCCGCCCGTCCCCATAGCACCGCTGGGTCCGACCGAGACCGCCGTTCGCTGACCCCGACCTTTCCCCATGTTCTTTATAACCCATCGTGGCCCCGGCTGTGGCGCGCCCTCGCGTGCTGTTGGATCAATCTCCGTACTCTTCACCGCGCCATTGTCTAGCGGAAACCTCTATTCAACAGTCAGCCTCGTGCCGATACACCACAGTACGCCATACTGCGCCGGCACGCATCTGTCAGCCACTGTTCCGAATCGTCGGCAGTACCTACGAGCGGGACGACAGACCCCCTTTCCCGTTGGTCGAACTTGAGGCGTCTCCAGCCGGAGAAAAATCAGGCGACAACCTATATACATCAGGCGACCGCCAACATGGTCCAACTACTGGCAGACCTCACACACTCGCAGAGTGGAACTCCTATACAGGAGAAGGAGGAACCCACTATGTCGAGGGAGGAGCACGCCCAGAGAATGCGGGAGCTGAACATGAAGCGGAGCATGATGAGGGCTCCAAGGCGGGGATGGAGCATGACGGATTATCAGGGCGACCACGCCCCTACCCATTCGTTTCATGCCACCGCGGCACACGTCGATCGCCAGGTATCGATACCAGAGAACGCAGTTCTCCCTTCTCCTGCAATGCCTCCGGCAAGCTCGACAATGGACGAGAGTGTCCAGATCCCTCGCCGACCAAAGATGCCCCCGCCGCGTCGGTCGTACTCGGTGACAGATAAGGAACCGGAGCCTGTCGCGCCGGGCCAGCCGCGACCGTCAGGGCGCATGACTATCCTGGATCTCCCTTCCGAACTCCACTACTCTTTGTTCGACTTTCTCGACCCGATCGATGGCGTCTGCTTGGGGCTCGCCCACTCGAGGCTGTATGCCATTCACAAGCGAAAGTACGGCAAGGTCCCGCTGTGCAGCAGGTACTCGGGGCCCAACGATAGAGAATGGGCCTGGCGAGGCGCTGGCCCGCTCATCCGCCCGATGGAGCAGAAGCGCGACAAGGCTCCCGGCGGTCTGGACCAGCTTCGTGTCAAGGGTCAGGTGTATTGCCGAAAGTGCGGCGTCTCTCGATGCGAGCTGCACCGGCATCTGAAGGACTGGATGGGCGACGGGTACGAGTACTGCGGCATCAAGCAGATCTTCGGCAAGCCGGCGGGCGAAGACGCGAAGCCGTACTGCTTCATGAGCTCACCGAAGAACCCTCATCGGTGCGGGCGCCATGGGAGGAGAATTGTGTGAGGGCGCTCGGACGACGCCCGGCGTTGGTGTGCCTCAGCTTCGAGCGTTGGTGGATGGGGACTGTATGATATCCGGCGGAGGACAGGGCATCTGGGCGGCGTTTGGGGCATTTCGAGGGTTCATCGAGCTCGAAGTTTTGGGAAGCGATTCATCCCGTTTGATCTGAGCGGTTGATTTTGAAGGCGAGGCACAGATTCATGAGGCATGACGGGTTGTATATGAAGAACGAAGCGGCGACGAGATGGCCGTAGATGTATAACTTTCACGAGAACGAAACAAATATCAGATGATATATATCATTTTAGATTGCAAACGAGGCGGCTTCCAAACGGCTCGAGAGAAATGGCCAGGATCGAGAGGCCATCTTAATGACCCGCTCCCGCTCCCGAGCACAAGCCGTCGTTCCACCACCACATCGGGCCGGCTCCCACCTTTTAACGTAGCCCACGAATCTACATCAACAAGGGGTCCAAGGGTCCATCCATGTATGGGATTTACACATGCCGCACCACCGGGGGAAGCGAACTGCCGCCCCAAAGGGCCCAGCTGGCAGCAGATCAACACGTTTTCGACCTCGGCCCGTCCCGCCGGCGGCGGCTCGCTCGGGCGCTTGTGCCAGGCAGGGGCGGCGGTGTTTTTCGGGAGAAATCGCGACGGGGGGGCTTTTGCTTTGCTCTGCTTCATGTGAACTGCCGCCGCCGCCGCCGCCGCCGCCGCTGCCGCCGCCGTTCCCCCTGTCCGTCCGGTCCGTCGTCACGCCATGTCATGTCCAGCCTGGGCTTTCAGGGAATAAGTCCGGCTCGGATCGACAAAGAGTAAGGGACATCATCTACCTTCGTACTTCGCAGGTAGTAATTAGAAACGCGCCGCAGCAGGCGCCGTGTAACAGAACGGCGCAGGGCAGTGCACCGGCTCTAGTCGTATGCGGTTCACTTGAAAAGTCCGTACTACGCGGATGGGCTCGCCTGACGGCTGCACATGATGAGCCCTGATGCGGTGTTACGAGCGCATGCCCCGGACCCAACACGACAAGGAGCGCTGCCCACGTCCGCGGTTGGGCTCTGCTGCTGATACCCAATCTACGTAGGGTGATGTAGTACGGAGTCGTGAGCGAAGAGACGGCGGCCGCAAAGGGCGCCACTGTATGCTTTCTCTCTATGGAGCGGATGTATCCCGGGTCCTCTTTTGCACCGAGGTGCCCCCTGCCCATCTTCTGTCTGTCTGTCTGTCTGTCTCTTGTCTATGCTTAAAACCCATAGCCTTCCAAAACATGGTATTACCCCCAAACTCCGTGCCGTACATGCTGTGCCGTCCTTGGATCCTTTCAAGAGACCGTAAATGCCCTGCTTGCGCCATCAAAGGGAGTAATGCGCCCGGTGATGGACTTGTAATCTCCGTAGTATCGCAGCCTGTATTCACCAGACGGAGCCCATGACTCGATTCTCCAGGCAATCGTCACCTCGCTGGTGCCGCGGATGTTGCTGGTCCGCCTCCAGTGAAATGTCAAATCCCAGTCTGAGTCGTCGCGGACGCGCTCCCAGGCACCGTGCGGCGACGGGCGGTACTCCACGGCGGCATACGTTTGCTCCAGCCGCAGGTTGTTGCGCGGGTTGGCTCCGACGAACACGGCTTGCGCTGTCTCAGAGCGCGTAAAGCGTAGCTTGCTGACATTGACGTCTGTGACGACATCGCCAAACGAGAGGCCCCGTGGCGTCCTATCGTAGAGAACACCCGGGATAAAGCTGAAAGATCGATTGCTATTGTCAGGAGGCAGCACCATAGACGCTGCCAACTTCCGCGCGGGAGCGTTGTGGCTTCGCAAATGTTGCAACGACGAGACAGTCCGGTCAATATATGCTGCCAGTGTGTGCGGCCCATACAGTGTAGAAGATCCCTCATAACGTTGAACGCTGTGTCTGTCAGTTTCGGTGCATCCAGCATGCAATTTGAGAGCGATCGACTTACCCATACTCCTCCTCCGTCGTAATGTAATGGGTGTAGCTGTTGCTCGGCCCCCCAAGAACGACAAGAGGCTCTCTGTCGGCGAGGTCGTCGGCCAAGGTGCGGGCGCCATGTTTGGCCACGGCTTCTTTCCACCGCCTGCCAGCCATCGTGGTCGCTTCGCCGGGACTCACAATGATGAAAAGCTGGCCGACTCGGAACGTCTGAACGTCGACAACGTTTGGGGTCCACTCGTACGGTCGCATCACCTCGCCCACGTCCAGCAAGATGTGCTTCGGCGCCTGACACTCGATCTGATCCTGGCCAGGCGCCTTCAGGAGCCAAGTGACGATCCTCCAGAAGAACGAGGATTTTGCCTTGGTGGACACGTGCTGGACGATATCGTAGGCGCCGGGTTCATCCCACGTTCCAGCCCCGAAAGAATAGCCCAGAGCGGCAGCACATGTCCGAACCGTTGAGCCGTTGGGAAGAGCAAAGTGGAAGTTGGACATGTCATGGAACTCGTGGAAAGCCTTGACACCCTTGCCCTGAATGTTGATGGGTTCTTCGGTGTTCAGAGACTCGTAAAGCCGCAAAGCTCCTTCGTATTGCCGTTTGCCGATCTCGAGACAAGAGGATGCGCCGTGGTCATCCTGTTCGGATCCCGGGCCCTTGGCACGGCAGGAATTGCATCTTCCGTTGCCGCAGGTGCTGTCCTCAAAGCTGCACTGCTGCCCCGAGCCGTCCTCGCACCACGCCCCGAGAACGTTGGGGCTGACATCTCCCATGTTAGCCTGCGAAAAGCCGGCGACAAAGTCGTCAGTTTCCATCTCGCCACCGCGGACTGCCTTTTCGAACATGTCTGCCGCGACGCCCTTGTTGTCGCCCGTGATCAGGGTGTTGTTGGCCTGCATGGAAGTTCCATGCGTGGGAAACCAGGTCAGCACGCCAATGTTCTTGCCGTCCGAGGTTCGCTGAAACTTGAGCGCCGTCATGTCCATCTCGACCGAGCCATCGTCATGAGCGCTGGTGTTGTATCGGGCACGCTCCTCGGCGGGGTTGGCGAGGTATGCGTACAGGCTCCGGTTGATGCCGGCATGGGGGATCTTGGTCTTGCCGAAGCTCAAGGACCCAGGCTCGAGGCTTTCGTGGGCGCGCCGGATCGAGAGAATACAGCCCTCGACGATGGCGCGGTAGCTCTGCTTGTCAAACCCTTTGCTGGTGATTTGGGGGAGCAGGTAGTTGAGCCAGGCGCCAGGCCCAGAGTGGGAGTGAGTCGCACTCACGGCCACGTTGTCGTGGCCATACATAGAGTATCGGGGACCGAGAGCCTGGAGACCCCTTATTATGCCGTATCGCACTGCCGTATCGCCGGACTGGACATCGAGAACGAGGTAGACGAAGCGGTCGGATGGGTTATGAAGATCGCCGACGATGAAGGCTCGCGAATATAGTCTTTGTCGCAGACCGCTGCCGATCTGGGCAAAGTCTGCGTACCCCATCATGTTCAACTCGACGACGGGTCCGGTGATGTCGGCCTTGCCAACGCCGAGCAGATACTGGTCCTCGGGCCAGTCGCCAGCGGGCAGGGCGTCGCTCGCCCACACGTTTGTCTGGGCATCGCCGGATATGTTGTGCCAGACGCTGTGCAATGATGCGTCGGAGGAGAGCAAGGGAGCACCCGTCCAGGCGGGGGCTCGGAAGTAGGCGAGGACAAAGGCGCACAAAAGGACGACGACGACCGCCAGATGACGTCGCAGATGGGTTCTCGAGCGTCGCCGGGGATCCTCGCGTGTCCCTCGTGGCACAGAAGGCTGCGACCAATTACTGGCCTTGGGTTCGTCCCGGCTCGGCGCCATGACGGCCCTAGCTCGAGGCAACGACCGGGGAGGACGCGGGGATGGTGTTGTTGGGGCCGGGAGTCGACAGAGGGCGTCGAGATTGAGGCATGTCGTGGCGCTGGCCAGGACGCGCGGAGAGAGGGAAGTGGCGGTTTAAGGCACAGACGGCATGTCTGGGAGATGGTGGAGAGGCTCGAGGCAGGCAGGTGACAGGATTGACGGATGGATGGCCCACGTCGAGGCTGGTTCGCTGTAGCTTCCCTGGGCCCCGTCCGGGTGTGGCGAGGCGTCGTCGGCCCGTTGTCGTTTGTTGGCATGGCCAAACGGGCAGCTGGTGCAGGGCATGCTCCGACGGTGTACTTCGTACGTGCAGCAGCCCAGAAACAATGCAAACGTCCGCGCAGCCGGTCCCCATCGCCGCCCGCATGAATCGGGGGAGCCCTTTGTGTCATCGTCGGTGGTGGCGCATTCCGGCGGGCGCGCTTGGGGCCTTGGGGCTGGTTCCGGCAGCGGCAGCGACAGCAGGCTGGAACGGTAACAGCAACAGCAGCAGGGAATTGGAAGCCTGGAAGCAGGCCAGCTAGCTAGCGATGGGGGGCTCACCGGACTGCACGACAACCTGCCAGCCTAGCCAGGCGCATTAGTGTTCGATGCAGCATGACAGGCTGCAGCGCCTGCACTTTGTTCTGGAAGCTCGACCACAGTTGGGGTGCCCATCGGGCCGCCGTTCCCACTCGGCCGCGGCGGCTGCCGTGCCATTTGGGTGCTGATGATCTGTGATCTGCCCCGGCGGCGCAGCACCCGCGCGTCTGTGGCGTGGCGTTCCTTGCATCCGCTCCGTCGATGAGATGGCATGGCCTGGCATGGCACGGCCGGCCGACCGGGGTAGCTCGATGTGAGACACTCCCACGGACCGCCGTGTTGCACCACCATTGGCAGACCCGGCGACACGGCCATGGAAGATGTGAAACATTCACCCGCATGCGAGCAATTCCCGCGGCCGAGTCTGGCGCATGCGTCCGCGTCCATGTCCACGCGTCGACTGGCGATGGGCGCATTGACAGATGCTTTCGCTTATCAACTGTGCAGGTGGTGCGATGCACAACCAGGGCGGAACGTGAACGCAAGCTCTTCCTGCGAATGAGGCAAGTGAGGCTATCCCCATAGGCGTCCAAGCGCTGCTCTGAGCTGATGAGCGCATTTTGGGCCGAGCTGGATCATTCTTTCCTTTTTCAGCATTATTACAACCGGCATCGCTTATCAGACGGAAGGCACTTCTGGAAGGACGATAAGCAGCCGTCGAGCAAGCCCAATCCAAGATACCCCGCCAACCGCCCGCATTACAAGGAGCAATATCGTACAGCCAGGTCTTGTGCATGACGAAGCTCATCAGCGCCCCAGCCCTGCGCCTGCGCCTGCGCCTGTCCCAGCCCCAGCTGCCGACTTGGCAGGAGTACTCTCGAGCGCCTGCCCATGGATGGACAAGGACACAGATGGGCTCCAATCCGAGGCAGGCGCGTTGGACGCGCAGCAAGCAATTGGGCAAATGGCGTGACCAGCGCTGCGGGGCCTCGAGATCCATGGACGGGCCAGCGAGGGCGCCGAAACTCAAACCGTCTCCCCGCCCGCCGTCCTGTTGCTTGCAAATCCATATCTGACGCCATCATCGACCTCGCCCAGTCAACGTATCATAGACCCGCGTCCCAGTCACTCGCTGCGCCGTTAACCCCGTTTCCCGCTAGCCGCGCTCGGCGGGCTTATCACCCGCGCCGCATTTTCTCACCGTCACCGTTGTGATGGCACCGGGGTATTTAATACAGCATCAAGGAAAGGGCATTGCATCGCCCTCAACGCCGCCATCTTCCTGAGCCCTTCGTTGTCTTGCGGGGGCGCATCCATTGCACGCAGCGCAACTACCGCGAGAAGGCGATCCAGGCCCGTGCCCATCCGCAGCCACCTACCCCCATCCCTCCAGCCCACCGCCCGCCACGGCATCTCATCGGGTCCTATCCCACCCCGCCGGCCGGAACTATCGCCCGATTCGGGCTCCGAGCTCCCATGTTTCCATAGCACGCAACCCTCATTTTTTCCCGCTGAGATAATTACCACATACCCCCTGGCGGCCGGCCCCTTTCGCTCTGTCAACAGCGTCGAACCTGTCAGTGACCAGGCGGGAACCGAAGCTCCAGCAGCAGTCCTATTTCACCGACGCGGAAATCGCTGAGGCGCAGCTCCCCGGCAGATTTTTTTGGACCCTGGAGACCCCTGGCGGCGGGCTCGGAATACGACGGTTCAGGACCTCAGATCGCGGAATTTCTGGAGATGCTGCCCGCACCCTGACGGCTCGACGGCGGCGCGTTGACGCACCAGCAGCTATCATCGGCTTCAGGCGTCTCTCCTCCCGCTTGGAGCAGTGCGATTGATTGTGCGGCACTTCCAAGGTGAAATTTCCGAATCTCTATCGCTGGACATCTGGCACTACAAATTCCCCGAGGCCGTACCGGAGACACCACCAAGGGGGACCCTAGGCCAGCAGCTTGTGGCCATGTCTTACCGGCAGCCTTATGAGCACCGTCCAATCCAGACAAGCGCCGTGATCGTGCTCGGTGCTCACAAAAGCCCGGCCAATCCACCTCCGTCACCCCCGACTCCGAGCGTCTCCCCGGACGATGGCCCTCTCTGCGAGCCACCCGACCCCTTCACGCTAGGCGAGCAGCAAGGGTCCCGACAAGCTGAAGCAAAGGCGAGGCGGCTATCGCGTGCCCTACACGTCCTATCAACAGAGGCTGCGGCGCTGGAGAATTTGTCTCAACTATATGAGACAGACGGTGTTGCTCAGGACGGCTTCAACAGAGCCGTCGAGGCAATCACGCGCCAGAGCGCTGCCAATGGCAAGCTCGTCGTCATCGGTGTCGGCAAGTCGGGGCACATCGGAAAGAAGTTCGTGGCGACGCTGCAGAGCCTCGCCATTCGCTCCGTCTTCTTGCATCCGACCGAGGCTCTCCACGGCGACCTTGGAATTGTCGGCCCCCAGGACACACTGCTCTTTATCACCTATTCCGGAAAGACTCAGGAACTCTTGCTTCTCCTGCCCCATCTTGATGAGTCCTTACCGACCATTGTGCTCACCTCGCACACGCGACCAGAGACGTGCGAGTTTATGAGGCACCGCCCCAACGCCATTCTGCTGCCGGCCCCGATTCCAGAGGCCGAAAAAGTCACCTTTGGCGTATCGGCGCCGTCAACTTCGACGACAGTGGCTCTGGCCCTGGCCGACTCCCTGGCCATAACCGTCGCAAATGAGCTACACCAAAATGTACCGGCCGAGTTTGCGAGAAACCACCCCGGCGGTGCCATCGGCGCCGCCACGAGGGTGCCGCAGACACTCAAGCACCTGGCCGTGTCTTGGGAAGAAATTTCTGGGTCGGCGGACTTGACCTTGGACAGTCTGGGAGTCGACCTCTTGCGGGCAGGATTCGACTCCAAGACGGGCTGGGTGAGGGTTCAAAACGGCGTCGCCACGCCTAGCGGGATCCGGCAACTGTCCAGCGCCGAGCTCGGGCAACCGCTACGGGATCTGCCAGGAGTCGTGTTGGAAAGGCGCGGCATGATCGCCATGTCCTCGGACACGCCCATCCGGCAGGCGGGTGAGATGCTGCGCGCGATGCAACCGCAGGACGCAGACGCGGCAGATGAAGAGGGGAGTTGCGGATCACGCTCCGTCATCGCGGTCACGGAAAGCGGCAGCATCGTCGGCGTTTTGGAGGCGCAATGCATTTTGGATTACCAAGCAGCATGAATGGCGGCCATGGAACAAAACTGCACATATCTTTTCTGGAGCCCAGCGTTCGGAGAACCATCCGAGGAAGGATTTGGATCAGGGCGAGGGGGAACAAGCTGCCACCTTTTCTGTAGCCCACCGTTCGGAGAACCGTTCGAGCAGAGACTTTGGCTCGGGTCGAAATTTTGTTGAGTTTGGGATTACAAGGGACAAGGCATATAGCGGGACGACCCGCAGGACGATGGCATCACTACCATCTAGACCAGGTATATGGCGTTTTAGGAGCATGATCGACGAGTCTAAAGCTACAACGGAGCTCAAATGTACGGGGCTCTCGTACGTAAGATGGCGGCAGTTGCCGTCGGCCGAGCAAATACTGAAGCATTCTAACGCAATCGCTCGACGCGGCTCGTGAGTGCCGAACGCCCTTGCCGGCCGATATAACCTTTCTACGTTGTGTATTCATTCCGTCGCCGAGCGGTTAACGACGGGTGCGGGTCGCTGGTTCGCCGGCGAATGGCGTGTAATGGAACTTACGAAGCGGACAAGCTTGACTGACGTGCTAGGCCAGCCGGCTACCGGGGGCCACCCACGGCCCCCAAACGCGCCAGGCAAACAGGAGCGACCACAGTCGTGGGCCACCGGCGCGGCGGGCAGGGCTGGGCAGGGCTTGGTTGGGACCGGCGGGCCTTGGCGCGGGCCCCGGATGGCGTCTTTTCCCTGGAGCAGGGAGCAAAATCGCGGCAATCGCTGAAGAAAACGACGGACGGACGGCCCATGAGATCGGCGCTCGGATGGTGGAGCGGACTGGGCGTCGTTTTGTGAGGGCGGGTTAGTGGTCGTTGGTCCGTTGGATCGCCCGGACGGCGGCAGGGCGGGCCCGTGACTCGGGTTGCGGCGATGAGTTTCTTCGGGGCGGCGCCACAAGTCACAATTCTCGGGGGGCGTGTCCACTGCGTGGTTTTGCACAGTGATGTGTCTGGAAATTGGGACGACGAAGGGTGCGCCAGGTGTTCGACCCCTCCGGCGGCAGAGATGATACAGCGCGGGCACGACTCGTTTGTTCCCGATCGGCAAGCGGATGTCGGATCGGAGTCGGTTCAAGGACGGCCAGCCCGAGCGCAAACAGGACAGAGAGAACGGAGGGAAGACGAGACGGCGGCAAGGCCTGCGGCAGCAGGTTGTACTCCAACTCATTTTTGGGCGCCACGGCTAGTTCCGTCCATATGCATGGAAGTTGCACGAGGAGGCGTCGGCCTAGCACGTCTTGGGCGCCGCCCTTTTGCGATGCACAACTGCAGCATCGTTGCAGACCGATGCGGCGCGCCGTCGGCAGGCGAACCGTTGTCGAACCCTCGCGCTAATGGAACGGGCAAAGAGGCTGCACGCGCGGGGAGCTGAAAGAGGCCAACGGGACCAGGGCCGTGCTTGACTTTGATGGCGCCGCCGTTGCGGAAGAAAATAAGGGTTTGCTTGCTTGCATTTGCTCGGTCAACAGATGCGGCCTGGTGTTCCAAACTCTGGTTCTGGTTCTGGGTCGGTGTCTGCGTCTGCGTCGGTGTCTCCAAAGTCTCCTCCCCACTTCTTGCCCGGAAGGGCAGGCATGTCATTGCCAGCGCGCGACTGGCCATGTGACCACCTGCCACATCCGTCAGGGGTGCGGCCTTCAACAGAGAGAATGGGAGAGCAGGGCTGTCGCCGCCCCAATAGCGCTGTCGATGGTCGTCTGCCCTCCTGCCTCGGCTGGAAGAGCCTCTGTGCGGCGTCCAACGCCGGGTCTGCACTTCTTCTCCGATTGCGGCTTGGCTTCACCGCGCACGGCCTGCTCTTTAACTTGGTAGTTGGATGGTACTGTACAGTAGATCAGCCATCGTCACGGCGCCTAGTCTGACGGAGTGAGCACGACAACTTCCGCTTCTTACTTGGGGCTCCCGGGCAGGTCCCTACTCGTTGGGCGGCGCCGTCATGTTTCCTCAGTGCGCTGTCGCCGGCCCGACTGCAACGCGGGACTGGCGTGCAGTAGACGGCCACATCAAGGACGGCAGGAGACTCCACCGGCACGGACGGACAATGACCGGAGCCTGCCAACCTGTCGCGGTGCCGCTATTCAGACATTGTCCGTGACTGAGCGGTTGGCAAGGGTCGACGACCACGACGGCGAACCAGCGACGAGACTTGCAAAGACCGGGTCAATCACATCAGCTCTCGAGCAAGGGCCCGCCGTCCTCGCACGCCTTGTGGAGAAGACGTGCCTGCTCCGGGCCAGGGGGCGACGCCGCAGCCGTATCGTAAATCCTGCCCGTGGCTTCGTGTCGTTGCAAGTGGAACGCACCTAGCGGACGCAGTCGAGTTGCACCAGTCACGCCTCGCAGGGGGCACGGCACCTCTCTGTTGCAGGTTCAGGTTTTCCCAGCCGGGGGACGTGGTTCGTCTCGGCGTTTGCTGTTGGGACGTGCAGGGACTCCGAGACGTGTCACGCGAGCAGGATTTGACATGATCGATCATGTCCGTCAGAGCCTCTTTTTCAGGGTCAGCCGCTGACGGAGGCGACACGGGCGGATCGTGAGCTCGTCGACCAGCAATTGGCCAATCGTCGCGGCCAGAGGACTCACAGTTTCCAAACTGGCTTTCTCAGTCCAATTTAGCCGTCGTCTGCCGGCAAACACGCGGCCTGCTAAATGCAGACGCTGATGCTGATGCTGGCAGATGCCGTGGCTGCCGTGCGCTCGGCCGGCGCCAGGCGTGCAGTAGCACCGAGATGCACGAGGTTTGCCTTGGTTGCCGCAGCCACTCATCGTCGTCGAGGGCGGGCCTAGGCCCTGCGAGATAACCATGGTCTCGATCAGCGGCGAACCCTTGCTGGGGCGAGACGCCGCGATCGCACTTTGCAAAGGGCCCGCGGACATGACAATGACATGACTTTTGCGCTTCGCATGCGAGTCCTTGCGCACCTGCCGTACCGTACCATGCCACACCGCACGGTACAGCGCTCCGTACCGCTCCGTAGCGTACCGTACCGTCTCGTGTTGCGACGACGGCGGCGGCTGCTGCTGCTGCTGCTGCTGCTGCGATGCGCTGCGGCATACCCGGGCAGACAAAAGACGGGCGCAGGCCGCATCCGACGTCCGCCACTGCAATTGGTCTGCGAGTACGTGCGTCCCCGGCCGGGGCTTGCCAATCTATCCCGGAGCTGCCACTGATGCTACGTCGCAGAGGCGGCAGCAAGGCTGGTGTGACAGAAACTTCCCACTCCTCCACGTCCCCCGGCCTTTGTGCGACACGACGCCGGCGACATCGTGACATGACCAACGGCCTTGCATTATGATTTTGCTTTGGGTCGCTGCGGGGCCCGCCTTCGCTGACCATGCTGACCACGTCGGCCTGCACGGGCCATGGCCGGACTCGCGGTTGAGCATGAACGGCGTCTCGATGCCGATGAACTGGCCCGGTCCGTCGTACGAGAGCCTGTGTGCATCAAGTCGCATCGCGATGCCGGAACAGGATGAGACCGGGACGGTGGCGGACAGACTGGCAGCATGCGTCGGCCGGCAACTTAGTACTGTACGTACATACGTACGGAGTTTTAGCAACAGGGTTTGGCTGCAGCATCAAGTCATGGCCGATGCATGTGAAGCTGGCGTTGGGCAAGCCACACACGGCGGCCAACGATTCCACAAAGGCCAACCAAGGGCGGATAAAAGCGAAGCTTGGGTCAGAGATTGATTGAACTGATGAACGGGCCAACGACCCTGGACGGGAGTAGGCTTGGCTGGGCCCCGCAGCCGTCGATAGCTGGCCCGCAGTACTCGTACTTGCCCAGATTAGCGGCGCACCTGCTTCAACGACGGACTGCGATTGAGTGACGGGAGAGATCCATAAACGTAACGCGACGGGTCCTGATCCGTGCCGGCGCGCCTGGTTGCCGGGCTAGGCTGCAGAGAGACCGGGTTGTGGGCGCGAAGGGACTGCAGTACCGGTTAACGAGAGCAGAGGCGAGGTGACCTTGCGACGTGTAGCTGCAAGGTAGGTACCGGATTAGATACTCGGCCAGTTGAGTGATGGCGTGCATCGCACGCCAAAAATCCCTGTGGCCCCGTGTCCGAAGCCATTCGTTGATGTCATGTATGCCGCTCTAATAGTTGGTTCGCCCACTTCGTCTCTGGCCCTGCGGCAGGAGTTACAACTGTCGGTGTACTTGGTACTGGACAAAGGACCGTCCGCGGGGACCACTACTCCGTGTTCTGTCCGTTCTTGTACTCGTAGGTCAGCGACCGGATTCTTCGCATCGTAGCGACCAGCAAACGTACCTTCAACACCTCAGCAGCCCCAATGGCGCCGCCCGCCCACATCAGCAGCATTCCGGGGCGACGGGACCTCGGGGACCCAGCGGGCGGCGGCATCGCAGAGCACTGTCTCTCCCAGGTTGCTGGTGGGAGAGTGGAGGCCCGGCCACGGCGAGGGCCCGCCGGGCTGAGCCTCGCTGGCGCCATCCACGGCCACGGCGGATTCCAGGCGGACGCGCCGTCCCCATTGGGCCCTGGCAGGTCTGGAACACACTGACTGGGTAGGTAGGTTTCGTGGAGTGAGGTGAGGTGAGCTGGAGGCGACGCTGGGGAGGGGTCCCGTCGATGACATGGATGGAGACGTCCACTGCCTGGGCCTGCCTGGGTGGGTGTGCGCGGTGGGCAAGGATGGATGGATCCCCAGGCGAGCTGGCGATTCGGGCAAGTTGGGCACCTCAAGGTTGGGGTCGTCCAGGGGAGGAGCAGTAGCAAGAGGGGTGACGGGCCTTGGGGCGTTGCGGGCCCCCCGGTCCCCAGCTGCAGGTGCGACTTCCTAGCAACAGCCCAGCAGGACAGGCGGTTTCCATGCCTCCACTGTATATCGGCGGGCCTCCACTGGCTGCGTGCCCATCTGATGCCTCCATGGGTCAAATGGGTGGCGTGCACCCCACTGCAGTGGCGTCTTCCGGTCGCCCAGTGACTGGCCGGCCACTGGCTGGGCCTGCCAGGCGCCACAACCTTGTCCGTCGCCTTTATCTCGCCCTCCTGCGGGCTCGGCCTGGTGCAATCGCCCAGGCTATGCTCGCAACCCAGGGAAAAAAAGGTTGTCTCGACGTTTAATACTGCCGTGCTCCCCGATCTTGGGGTCCGACCCTCCATCCCGTTTCCCTCGTCCGTGAATGCCCTTTCATTCCTTTCCTGTGCCCGCTGTCCTCCTCGACTGCCTACAAGGGTCCAGCATACCGCTGACAAAGGGATCCAATCGCCTGTCCCTGTCCCCGTCGGCGGCTGACAAAAACACACTGTCTGTCCAGGCCGCTCCCGCTGGACTGGCCGGTTCTGTTCCGATCTTCGCCCACGGTCAAAGAACGACGACGCCCTGCGCCTCGGCTTCTAGGCCGTCGCCCAGTCTCCCTTAGATACACCAAACGTCGGCCTTGTAGGTCACACCCGACCCGACCTCTCCAGGTTCATTGCCCGAGGGTGTCAGTCACCGTTGCTGCTGCACGTCTCCGCCCCAGCCAGGCCGTATCATCGACCCGCCAAGGCGCAATCTTGCAGGCCCCCGCCACGCCTGGCCGACCGACCGTTTTGCCAGGGACCACCATCCATCCCAGCCTGCAGACGATACGTCATTGCAATTGAACCAGCAATTCTGCCCGGCAATCCCCACGGCCTTGCCCTCTGGCATTGACACCTGTCGCCGAGCGGTGCTTCCGTCGAGCTGGTTTCCCCGGAGGCCTGCGTGACCCGGTCCTGAAACACTCCCCCACATCCGTGCCGCGGCATACCGGACAATGCAGCAAGCGACCAGTCCGCCTTACACTTGACAACGCCAAAGTATGAAATACGGCCAGCAATTGGAACAGGAATCGGTTCCAGAATGGAGCTTGCGTACGTTATCCCCCCAGTCTGCATCCATGTCGTCCGCTGGTGTGCTGTGTTGCCTCGGTTCTGCCGTGTGACGTCGGGGACGTTGCCGGTGGCGGCGCTCCAACGGCGGCCGGTTGATGCCAACAAGGCAAAATTCGCACAACGGTCGCTAACGTCAAGCCTGAACCTGCAGACAACCTCGACTACAACTCTCTCAAACATGAGATAAAGGTCCACACGACGCGCGACCAGGCCTCGGCCATGGCCATCCCCGGCCACCAGGACACTGCGCTGCGCAAGTTCGAGGATGGGCTCTTCGACGAGCTCGGCATGCAGCACGACCGCGTCGACATGTTCGTCACGAGCAAGGCCGACGAGATTTCGAGGCGGCTAGGTACGTCAATGGCCATCGATCCCCGAATCAAGTCGCGTGGCTGACCAGGGACAGAACACCTCAACGCCAGCATCCAGCGAAGCATCGCCAAACACTCTGCCGCAAGCGACCAGTCGTTCTCGCTCAAGCGCCAGCGACGATTCGCCAAGTACGAAAGAGAGCTGATGCGCTGCGGTGATGACATTCAGGCCCTGTCGCGTTTTGCCAACGCCCAGATTGTTGCTTTTCGAAAGATTCTCAAGAAGTACAGGGTACGTGAGCACGCCAACGTTGCGTTGACCATGATGCTGACGGCCTCTAGAAATGGACAGGTTCCACCACCCTGACCTCGCGCTTCAACGACGCCGTCCTGGGGAACCCAAAGAGCTTCACCAGGCGCGACTTCAGCCCCCTCCAAACGCGGTACGACGAGATCCTCTCGGAACTTCGGTCAGCGGCGCCGGCCCTCAGCGACCCCGGCTCGCCGTCGTCGGACGAACAGCCGCTGCCCGAGCCGACAAGGCCTAGAACGACGCGAGTCAACTTCGACGCCCTGCCACCAGCACAGATGAGCTCTCAGGTCAAGTACTGGAACGAGTACGACGACGGTAGCGATGCTGGAGGTGCCGAAGACGACTATGCCATCTACATCAACCCGGAAGAGGACACGGGCTTTCCAGGCATGGCATACGTGCATGCCATCGTCTCGATGCCCTACGAAAAGGCAAAGCAGTGGTTTAGACATCGCCAGAGTGGCGAGCGGCGGCCCCTCCTCTCCACCGAGAGCACCAGCCAGAGCTACTCGTCGACGGCTGTCGATTCGGAAGAGGAGGGCTACGCCAGCTCCGACGGGTTTCCCTACCAGGGGTACACGACGCATTACGCACTGCCCAGCATCAGCGAACAAAAGGCCATGAGATACAGGGAAAGGTCGCTTCTGTGGGGCACAGTGGGTTGCTTCGTCGCATCGTTTGTCCTGCTAGGCATCGCGGGCATTCTCATCTCGACGGGCAAGCGAAAGCTCCGAGTCGAGGTGGACGCCGGCGTCACGGTCGGCGTCATGGTCAGTCTGTTTTGCGCCTGCACCGGTCTTGGCATGACGCTGTACCGCCAGGACCGGCTCTCGCTGGTGTACCGGCTCGCCGTGTGGAGCGGGTTCGTGGTCTCGTGCCTGCTCAACGGGATGCTTCTCGTGCTGGTGCTGGGCAACACGCCCTGAGGGTTGGATCTTTTTGTACATGTCAAATTTGCTCATGACCTAGCGACGGCGGACTGCTTTTGGTGCGGTGGTTTCATATATCTTTGTCGGCTTTTTGCTGTTGGAAATGCGGATGGATGGCGCACGACACGGATGACGATGCAGATAATGACGCTTTCACGAACGAGGAGGGGGGTGTTGGATACGGAGTAGACTGGCGAGGGACCTCGCGGTACATGGCTGGCATCCGGGCAGCGCCAACGACGACTAGCCCAGACTGTAGATTCGAGTGGATATACCTATTGACGAAGACTGTGACCAATACATGCTGTGTTTTGACATTTTTGTCTGTTGTCGTGCGGCGGTGATTCAGGGTCTGGGCTGCTTGCATCAGTTTGTCCCCAGCATAGCTTGTCGTATGTTCATCGCCATGGCTGAGATGCTTGCGTCACGTTGCCCCCTGGCATAGTCTGTACTCTCAAGTATGTTCATCGCCGCGAAGGCTGATTTTGAAAGAAAGTATGTACCAAGTGTAGCCCAAGACATTTGTACAGTTGTGCCGCAAGAAAGCCAGCCTTCCCTTTTCTAAGACCAGATGCGAACCGTGTAAGCTTTTTGTACAAACCGACGCTCTAGACAAGCCTAGCCGAAAACCCCCCTCCACTCATCCATCCATCCATCCATCCAGGTCCCTGATATCGCCTTCCCCTCCCCAAACCCAGCAATGTTGTTTGGTAAGTGCACGCACGCCTTAGCTTAGCACTTGGGCGGCAGGGCGCCCTTGGTGGTCTTGACCTTGGAGAGCTTGACCTCGGCGGCGCGGCGGCGGACGAGGCCGGGCATGACCTTGCCGCCGGCGAGGCGCCACTTGGGGAGCTCGGCGGGGAGGACCTTTGCGGGGCTCTCGCCCTTGTTGAGGCGCTTGACGAGCTGGGAGCCCTGGGCGTTGCCGCAGCCGACGTTGAAGGCCCAGCTGACGAGGGCGCCGTACTGGTTCTCGTTGAGCTTGACCTTGTCGTTGGTGTACTTGGCGATGCAGTTTTGGAAGCCCTGGGCGGTTCGACGTTAGTTGGAGGTTGCCCTGACGGGGATTGGAGCAGGGGAAGGAGAGGAAGGATGGCTGGAAAAGACGGAGGTTGGGGGAATAGAGTGTGTGAGAGAGGAAGAGTGGAAGGGGAAGAGAAAAAACGTACGACAACGTCCTTCTGGAGGAGCTTGGTGGCCGTGTCCTTGGTCAGGGGGAACTTGTAGGGGACCTCCTTGCAGCCCTTGGACTTGCAGAGGTGGCCGTAGCCGACGGTGGGGAGGCCGATGGGGTCGGGCTCTGTTTTGAGTCAAAACCAGTCAGTTTTCGCGGCGTCACGGCAGCAGTTCATAATGGGGAGAGCATTGGAGGGAGAGGGCAGGAGATAGGAGCCAGAGAGGGAGAGAGAACGTACTGGGAGAGGCGACGAAGCCCTCAAACTCCTTGATGAGGTCGACCGTCTTGCCGTTGATGGCGGGGCCCTTGTTGCAGGCGCCCTGGACGGTGGCCGCGAGGGCGAGGAGCGTGGTGAGCGAGATCTGGACCATTTTGGCGGTGTGTTTGTTGTCTTTTTTGTCTTTGAACAGGAAGAGAGAGATAAAAAGAGGAGAAAGGAGAGAAGTTGTTGCTGTTGTTGTTGTCGATGAGCTTGTGTTGATGCTTCCAATTCTCATGAGTCCTCTCCCCTGTCCTTTATATACAATCTCTCGTCGCGGGAACCTTCAACGCCTTACCCGCGCCAAGGCCCGACCGCCATGGGTAATCCCAATCTCAAAATGGGCGTCGTCGCATTGACGGCGCTGGGGCCAGGAATAGCCCCATCAGACGGGCATGTTTGCCAAGGGCATTGTTCCCATGTCATCTCCATGCTTGCCCAAGAAGGACCCGGCTGTTGACTGTGGAGTTTTGATCATTGGAGAAAACAGTTGTTGTAGATGGACCGGGGGACCCCCCCGGGGCGGCTGAGCGAGCGGCCCCCGATCGTTGCTGCTTTGGGGCGCGCCGCAGATGTTGATCACCGGTAATACGCCACTCGAGTTGGCCCGAAGGGCTGCCCAAACAGAGGCAGCCTCGTCGTTTCTGGCATGTTTCCCTCTTTGGTCCGCGATGGATGGCAATGTTCGCTGGGCTGTTCACTTTCAGCCTCTGTCAGGGCCAAGACATGGCTTGCATGCAGGGCAGGGCTTGTCAGGCTGAAGAGAGTCTTGAATGGTTTCCCAAAGGGTTATACAATGCGAGGCGCAAAACGGTGCAACCCCTCCCCCCAGTCAGCCACACACATACCCGCGTGGGTTCTAAATTAAGGCTACGCACACATGCATGCACTCTGCGCAAATACAACCGCAGTGTGTGTGTGTGTGACTGTGCGTGTGCTTTCTTACCTGTGCCCGTCCCCGCTGCCGCGGGTCAACCTCCACTCCCGAACGTGCGGCTGCCAAGATCTGTGATCTCTCTTCTTGAAGATGGGGCCCGGCGGGAGAGGCTGGGCGGAGCTGAGCTGGGCTGGATCTGAATCGTCTGCCGCCTTTCTCAGGCACACAACGCGACTTTCTCATCTATAAATAATTTTAAGCTTACTGCTAAGCACGTCGCATCGTTGTTCCTGCATCTACAGCGTGCCTATCACTCTTCTCTTCTGGGCCGTTTGGGTCCGAGTGAGGATGACGATCGCCGCTGTGGTGGGTTTGCCGGCTGGTGTTCGCGTGCCTGGCGTGGGTGTTCGTGGTCGCACCCTCAAAAAGCGTTTCCCGTCCCTGGCATATCATTCGTTTCCGCACATCGCCGCTTCTGCCTTCATCATCAACGAGCCTCCTCTCGTCTCCTGCCCTTTCGCACGCAGCAAACGGCGCGGCAGGACGCGCAGCCTGTTCGGGGCGGTTTAGTCTGGCACTCGCACGCCATCACGTTCAGCGTGTTAGTCACAGGTCTAGCGCCGCCGCCGCCGCAACAGCAGCAGCAGCACTCCCATTCCCATCCTCCCCAAACCGGGAAAATGCCCACCTCTGCCCGCGCGCGCCCTGCCGCCCCGGCCCGAGTTCTCCTTGCCCCAGCATTGGATGTGATGTGTGAGCCATTGGATCCATCCATCCTTCGGCGCCGACGGCGGGCGGCCCGAACGAACCTATCCACGGTCTCTGCCCCCTCACTGGGTGGTGAGATTGACTAAACGGGTAGACCGAGACTTCGGCGATGAGTCTTTCATGGTGCCGATTTTCGTCTCCGTGCCGTGCCGTGCATGCGATGAGTGAGTGAGTGGGTGTATCCGGCGTGGATTTCGCATATACATATCCGTACGTCTTCAACACCACGGCCTGCTTTAAAAAGTCCTGTCAATTGGTCTTCTGCTTCATTGCCGTGAAGCAGCACCTTCTTCCGTTTGCTTTGAGAAGCAGTAATTGAGCGTTCTGACTGAATGCGCCGTCGTCGTCTACCGTACCCGGCGACATTGATGAACCGGCGTCTGATTCCTCAACACCACAACCGCATCATTCTCCGCGCGATCACGACATCGCACCCTCCTCCCCCGTCGCCAGCTTCGACTCCCGCCGCGGTCCAGCACGTCCCACCACCGCCACAGAGCCGCCCGGCAGCAGCAGCCATCATGACGACGACGACGACGACGACAATACCAGCGGCGACGACGACGCTGCAGCACCGCACCGCCGGCCCCGTCGCCTGCCCGCCGGGGTACCACCTCCGCCGCGGCCTCAGCTCCGACGTCGACGCCGTCACCTCCCTCTACCGCGCCTCCTTCGGCCGCGACTCCCTCCTCGACGTCCTCTTCCCCACGCGCGACGCTCACCCGCGCGACTTCCACGCCCACATCTACCGCCACTTCCAGGCCCGGTGGTGGACCCTCGGCTGGGACCTCACCGTCCTCGTCGACGACGCCCTCGGCGTGCCCGTCGGATTCACGTGGTGGCGCCGGCCGCTCGACCAGCTTTCCTTCACCGAGCGCTGGCTCAGTCCGTGTGAGTTGAGGCCCTCGTTAGTCAAAGGCCCAGCCAGGGCTTTTGCCATGTGCCCAGTCACACCTCGTCTATCCCCGACGTCTGCCGCGGTGTATACAGTATCACCAGACTAACATGATGATGTCGTCGGGAATCGCAAGACGCCTGGTTCGCCCCCCTCATGCGCCTCTACGTCCGCCTCAAGAACCTCCTCCTCCCGACGCGCATCCCCGCCGACTCCACCGCCGTCTTCACCCGCGTCTACGGCGAGATCGAGCCGCGCCTGCTCTGCTCCCCGCGCCGCCGCGCCGCCTGGTACCTCTCCACCATCGCCACCCTCCCCTCCCTCCAGGGCCGCGGCCTCGGCGGCGTCCTCCTGCGCCATGGCCTGCGCGCCGTCGACGACCGCGGCCTCGCCTGCTTCCTCGTCGGCGTCAGCGGCGTCGAGCCCTTTTACCGCAAGTACGGCTTCGAGGAGGTGGAGAGGGCAAACGTCGGCGAGCTGGCCGGCTGGGATGGCGGCGCCATCATGTTTAGGGAGTAGAGGCGAGTGTCAAAACATTGCTTGCTCTTCAGCGCCCGCATTCACGCCGTACGAATTAGAGACTGCCTGTCGCAGCCATCACCCTAGCAGATATAGATCATGCCCAACGGGGTCAGCTCCTGGAGAAAAGAAAAGGAAAATTAACTTGCAAAAGTCGTCCTGGTCCGTTTTTACTGTACATGCCAGCAGCAAAAGCTCCGTAAAACCCCTCTGTCCACGCCCATTCAAGTTCTAGTCGGGCTCATCATCGCCAAATCCTAGGTCCTCCAAGCTCAACATTGCTCGCCATAGTCGTCTCGTGCCTCGTTGCCAGACATGTCCCTCCATCGCGGCATCCTTCCCCGACTTCCAGATTATTAACGCCCCCCTGCCCCCACATGGCACCTGCAACGAAGAAAGAAAAGAACCATTTAGCAAATGAGAGCGTGTCGCCTGCTCGGGCATCGTCCGTCATCCATGAGCGCAGTGGCTCTTTTCGCTGCAAGTTTGTCAAATCCGCCTGGTCACGGCAATTATTAGTGTACACTGAGGGAGGCATCGAGGCAATCCCTCCGCGTCTTCGGATCACTCCGTGCCCCGTCCACATCTGTTGACGGCGTCGAGTGTCCCAAGCTTCGTATCCCGAACCCGAACTACATTCGTCTAGACATCGGGGGTTGTGCGGTTGTCGCCAGCCGCAGCCGACGAGTTGACCGAGCCGTATGCGGCGGCCGCGCGCGGGCTGGCAGTCTGCATGTGAGTGGCCTGGCTGTGGCCGGGCGAACGCTGCAGCATCTGCTGTCGGGGCGCAAATGCCTGGCCGTACTCGTGGGGCCAGGGGCGACCGGCGTTGTAGCCCGAGGCTGCCCAGCGGTCGCCGGCAGCAAGGCTCTGTGGGCTGCGAGAGCTGATGCTGTACATCGCTTCAGGCATCTCCCTGCGGATGAAGCTTGCCTGATCACCAGTTCCGGAACTGGAGGGGCGGGTGGGTGTTGGCGTGTTTCGACTAGCGAGGCTGTACGCACTCGACGAACGGTGATGAGATGGTCGGGCAGACACGTGGCTGTTGAGTCCGGCCCCATGAGCTCGTCCGACCAGAGCAGATTGCTGCAGCCCGGCAGAGCTCGGGACACGAGAGCTGATCGATGGAAGCGCCGTCTGGGGGCCTCCGCCGACATGGTTGGGGGCGTATCTAACACCCTCTGAACCGTAGGCGGCGGCGGTGCCGCGGTGGAAGACGTCGCCCATTGCGTGGCCGTGGTGTTCGAAGGGCGACTGCATGAATTGGTGGAAGTCTCCATGGGTCCGGGCCTGGCCATACCCCATGGGGCTCATCTTAGGGACGACATGCGGGGCGCGAGGCGGAAACATGGCCCTTCCGTACCCGTCTCCGTAGGCGGGCATCATGTAGCCGTGAGCGGACTGGGAGTGATGAGGGTCCGACGAGTCCTGAGTCCCGTAGTAGGGCAAGCGGCTGCTGGTCTTACCGATGCGCGCACGCTTGCCAGAATGGATAAGCAGGTCGCCAACCTCTTCACCCTCCTCGTGCTCATCCGAGAAGACGTCGCCACTGGTTGGGTCCTGTCGGAACGGGCCGGGCAAGTCGAGGGCCTTTCTCTTGGGCGTCTTCGAGCCGCTCTCCTGGCGTCGAGCTCTGACAGGCTTAGACGACGTGCCATTCTCGCCGTCGACGATGTCGGGCAGGAACTCAATCTCCGGTACGGTGCTCAGGCTGCCCCTCTCGATCTCTTGGTGTAGGCGCTCGGCAATGTCAAGCATCTTCTCCGTGGTGTAGCCGTCGCCAAGCAGCTGGATGATCCATTCCGGGACGGCACTGCCTCCCTGACTCGTCATGGTGTCTTCGTCGCCTTCATCGCCGGCTCCCTTGCCGCTGTCCAGGCGATTCTGCTCGCGCTTCCGGAGAGACAAGGTCCACTGCTTGATGCATGGGCCGCTGCCTTTGGCCTTGTTGGCTTCGCTCCAGCGTTGGAGCCGCACGATCTGCACCTTGACGAGCTCCATCTGGTTGCTCGGGTACGTGCGTGCGTTTCGATAGCGGATTCTCTGGTAGTGCTTGCGGCAGTAGTACACCCAGACGTCCTTGGGGATTTTTAGCGTGCACGACTTGTTGCGGCCGAACAGGTGCGAGATGGCCTTGCGCAGCTGCGAGCCGGTGTCGCAGTTGGCCACAAACATGCAGCGAGGCGCTTCCGGGGCACCCGCTGAAAAGTCGATGTCGTCGTCAATCAGAGTAAAGGAGCGAGGGATAGAGGTGAGGCCGCCACCCGCACTGTTGAGCGGCGAGCTGGGCACGGTCCGGGGTCCTTGGCCTGTCGCCCTCTCTGGCTCAACATGTCCCGGAGTCGCCATATTTGCCTCTTCAGGCCGACCGAGAGCAGCCTGAGAGACTGAGGCGACCTCTCGCGGCACGGGCGAGCTGGTGGCGGACATAGCCATGGTCTGGTGTGGCGGCGGCAACAGACCTGGGTATGTTGGCGTGGAAGTGTGCGGCAACAGCAATGGTGTGGATGCCGGGGCAAAGTCGGGAGCAGAAGTTGCTCTTTTGTGAAGCCTCGCGTTGGCGAAGAGATGGGCCGCACGGCTGAAGGGTTGGCTGGATAGAGAGGTCCTGTCAGCTCTTGGTCTAGTTGAGGACGCCGCACAATAGCAGGTGTGGATAGCGACAATGCCGCGGAGGTGTGGTTGACGGGTCTGATCAACAATAAAAGACAATCGCGGCTCTGGAGTGAGAGAAGGAGAACGATCTGGAACGGGTGAATGCTCGAGTGCAAAACCCAAGTCCAGGGGGAATAAGTAGGTGCGGTCCAGGAATGAACGGTGGTGATGCAGCATCGAGTTGAAGAACATCAGGCCAGACTCAGTAAGCACTGCGCTCACCGATCATTGCTGGCTGGAGGAATTGTGCCATTCATCCGAAGCTCGACATCCGCCCTGAATGGACGCATGGCTGCCTTGAATCACGCGAGTATCGACTGCCTCTCAGCTCGCTTATTGCCTCCGCCTGCCTCTCTCTGTCGTCTCGATGCCGATGAAAAGGGCATCTTTGAGATCGGTGCAGAGCAAGCTGGCGTTCGAGGCCAGAAGCACCGCAGAAACAATGGGGAGTGACAGCGTCGTGAAACAAGCGTCGAGGGAAAGCCCTCCCGCCATATTTACGTCCGATCCAATAACACAATGACGGACAATAAAGGCGGATGCGACAAAGGAAATGAGCATACGTACCATGGGCTCCCAGCAACAGTCGGGTGGTTGCGGGATGGTGTTTTCATGAGCAAAACTGCGTCAGACGGGCTGCCTGGCCGCTCCAGTTCGTCGCTCTCGCGATGCTCCGGCAGTCGATGCCGCGATGTAGCGGAGGAGGAACTTTGGGCGTGAAGCCGGCGCGGCGGATTTGCTGCGTCTTCGCTCTCGCCGCCTTTCGACTCAAAGATGGGCCGATCTGCGAGCGATGATCCAAGGCTTGGAGGTCCGCCCACCGTCGTCACGGACGAGATTCGGGAATGTGATTTCGACTGCCACGAGCTGTAGGATGAAAGACTGCTGCTACTATCGGAGAACTTGTGCCTTGAAGGCACGTTTCTATCGTTCTCGTGAAGGCGTTCGTCTCCGGATTCGACCCTGATTTCGTCAGTTAGATGGGTTTGACAGTCGAGAGTTGGAGTTTGAAAGTGCTGTGCATCAGCTTCCCGCGAATGGAATTTATGGAGTTGACGCATGGTCGCCCATACACACCTTCTTTCACAGGTCGCTGCTCGCCGGCTGCCTGGGTCGGTTGTGGCCGCGCTGTTCAGTGACTGAGTTAGCTTGACGTTCCCGGCGCACTCGCATTCGTCAACTCGCGCTTCGACGCACCGAACCAGCTCTGGTCTGGGGAGAAACCCCATTTCTCTCGGAGGAACCACATCCGAGTCTATGGAGCCGTTTCTAGAATGCATGCTTGTCCCAGGCGTTAAGTCGTATGAAGCATCTGAGTCGAACTGCTCGCTGATTGACGTAGAAGTTGAACGCAGTTTTGGGGCGATTTGTAGGGGCAGAGAATATCCTCCCGCGCTCCATGGCGTGCGTCCCCTGATATGTGCCGCCTCGCCGTAATTAGGTGGTGGAGTTGTCTCTGGAGAAGGTGTTGGGAGCGCTGTTGATGGCAATGTCGAGCTCCCTCGCGCGGTCGACGGCGGCGTTGACTCCCGGCTAAATGCCTTGCGGCCGCTCGATCCAGATGACTGGTTGAGTAATGAAGTCACGTCCATAGCACCAAACGAACTTCAGGTTGTGAAGCTCCGAGTCACGCTGCAAATCCGATGTAGAGACCGTTGTTCTGCAAGGCGTATGGCGTGCAAGTGGGTAGGATGATTGAAGTCGATAGGGCGTCCAAGATCGCAGCCAGAACTAACACGTTGCTCCACGCGGGTAGATCGCAAGTAGGTGTAGCTTTGACACGGTGAGATACTACACCCCCGGGCAGTGGTCTCGTCTGGAGTATCCGATGTAGATGCGGAGGTGCTCGTAGCTTTATGGTCTGTAGCAGAAAAGACGAAGTGACATGGAATCGATCCGCCGGCCGAAAGAGCAGAGCTGCTGAAGATACTGGCAACAAGTGGGCCAGTTGCACTGACAAGCTGCTGATCCGAGCAGATCGAAACAGCCGAAACACCCGTTGGCCTGTGACGTCCAGGTTGGCAGTGAGAGGGGCCAGCGGGTACGTCGAGCAGTGTCTGGTTGCCCGAAGGAGACGCTGTCGAGCCTTTGATGGTCCGAGCAAGATCAAGACAGGAAGCTCTCCACCATGAACTCTTCAGTGAGCTCTGAAACAGAACATCCGTGGCTGTGTCGATTCGGCAACAGGTGGGCCGTCTTCTGCTCCTGTCTGTTGTCTGCACGGCCGGGTGCCTATTTTTGTCTCGAGTGAAGACGGGCTGCGACTGGCGTCTTCGACTATGAGGGGGTCGAACGTATCATGAGACAACCCCGTGCGTCAGTGTGCCAAACGACCGACGACGGGCCAAGTGCCGCTTATAAATGAAAGGGGAAACTTTGGCTCCTTGGGGCAGAACGAGCAACGAAAAACAGCGGCAAGAACTAGTGTTGGTAGAGCGTGCGTACTATGGTGTCCGTGCTACCGATGCCATCGCCAGGAAAGTGGATGCAGCCCGGGGGAGACTGTGTGCCTCGTTCTTGTAGACGACGAACAACGCCCGGGTGCCCAGGGCTGGACACGAGTGTGGCCCAATGGTGTTTACCAGGGCATCCACTCCGCATCAAAGCGCATAGAATGGATATCGGCATCTGGTACGCAGCAGACGGACCGGGAGGAAGTTCGAGCTACCATGCACGGCGGGGGCTTGAGTGGTGGGCCGCGAGGTAGGGGTCCAGGTCGTTGCAAGCAGGACGACGTATGTACTTGGTACGACTATGTAACCGCAGGAGATTGACCTCTTGTCAAACCCAAGGCATGCTGTACCGTATGGTACAGGCGAGGTCACGACCAGGAGGGATGCATCTTAATGCGCTGGAAGTGTGCGGGTTGGTGTGTGGAGCGCCCGCTCGAGTGGAGGCCCGGTCTGTATGAGTCGAAGATGCCTCCGACTGGCTCTTGAGGCAACGACGTCCCTGTGCCCTCGCCCGGCGCCGAAGCTGAGAGGGGCCAGGCACACGATTCTCGTGACTGGCCTCGCACTAGGAGGATCTGCTGCTGGCGGGCAGGGACCGCCCCGGCCGGCTGATCCAGGATGTTGTCGATGTGAGACCCGGGCAGCTCGTCTGAACCACCGCCCCTCTCCAGCGCCGGCCGTACATGGCGGAACGTCTGAGCGCACTCGAATACCACATCCTGCTCATATTCCTGCCAGCCCTACCGGCGGCGAGAGCCGAACGAGGCACCGTCTGACTGGTGGATCAAGACAAGACGGTCGGAGCGTCCATACCGCTTCCTGATGGGAAACACAGAGCGCACACGATCCTTCGGGTGGCCGACGGCCCATGAGAGGAATGGCCACACGCTGTCGAATGCCAGGGAGTCGTGGCGCGGGATACCCGACGACGGCGAGCCATCAGCTCCTCGCGGCACCGCAGGCTGGCGGTCAGGAGGCCAGGCGTCGCTGCAACGAGACGTGAAACTCTTCCAGGGATAAGCTTGTCCCGTATGACGGGCATTGACGGCAACTGGGTCCAGGGGTGGCACCGGTATCACCTGCGACCGGATTGGCGTCTGTCCGTGGGCGATACCGCTGTCCACTGACCAGACGGCCCCATGCGACCCACCGTGTGTCCGGGATTAGCATGCTATCGGGAGATGCCGAGGTGAAGCATCGGACCATCCAGCGCTCGGGTGTGTGACTTGCGACTGTGAAAACGCCCGCCGCCTTCGTCACCAACGTCGGCTGGGGTCTCAGGCTCGCGTGGGGCGGGGAAGCACGCGGCGTGCCGCAATGCAGGTCATGATAGGGACGGTAGTGAACCACAACGCTTGGACAAAGGACGAAACGAAGCCTAAAGTCTACTCGCGATACCTCAGAAGTCCCTGCTGCCCGTTCCTTCGGGTGCACAGGCTAAGGAGCGTCCTCGTCATGTCACCTCAGGAGGCACAGCCGCCTGCTGTTTGGCTCTGTCAAGGATTGGTGTGCCTTCGCGAGACGTGGCGACGCCGACGGATGCGAGTTCCAGAATGGGATGATTTGAAACGAATTGCTGCTACACTGAAGGTGCATCGCGGTGTCGCCCATGACTTCGGCCATGTGACGAAGCATTGCCTCGATGTCGAGCCGTTTCCAAACCCGTGCTAAGTTTGCGTACTCTAAGATCAGGCGAGGGCGTGATGTGCTCGACAGCAAGGGTCGCACGGAACTGGGCTCTGTTCGTACGACTCGTGTAGTTCGAAGACATGTCACCGGCTCGTCACCGGCATTGGACGCCAGAAATTACGGTTTGCAAGCTGCTACCTCAGCTGTATCGCGCGGACTGTGTCTTGTTCGGGTATTCCTGATGCCAAGTTTAGGAAGGATCGCGATAGGCCCGACTATCACTGCCACGGTATTAGGGGCTCAGAGGCGCGTGGACGGGAAAAGCGCCGGCGGCCCGCCAGCACCGCGCGTGACGCTGGCCGGAGGCCGGAATCGAAAGACTCGGTTTCCGCAGCCGTGAGTCCCTAGTCACCTCGTAACGAGATCCTTTTCGAGAAGACCGATCGCCGCTTGACGGGACAGCCCAGGGGCAGGGGTCGTGGCTGATGGCCCCCAGCTGCACACGACGGACTCAAAAGGGTCGTTCTCGAGAATTTGTCAACGGCTCTCGGGCTTTGCAGCGCGAGCTTTGGATAGGAGACAAGCCTGGCCTGTTTTGGCTGGTCGAAACGGCCAGAGCGCAGTCCAAAGAAGCCCATGGTTCCATCGTCCATCCATGACCTGGGTGGGAGTGGGGTCGACACCGCGCGCCGCACGTTTCAGCCCAACGGCGGTTGGACATCTCAGCACGGCGTCTTCTGCAGGAACGGGAGGCCTGACTGGACCCGATGAATTGACAGTTCCGAGCATCAAGACGAGTGCTACCGTACAGTACTGTTCCGAGTGCTGCATCGAGCAGGTATTGCATTAGAGTTCTGCTCCGCCGCGGTGCGGCACAGAGTCCTGGCATTTGAGCCGGGTCCCACAAGCGAGTCGAGGAGAGTTGGCCACTTACTCGGCCACAGGGCTCTGTATTTGGGGACATCCAACCCAGCCCGCGGCAAATTATTCGTTGCCAGCGCCATCAATGCCGGGTCTCCTCGTTCAATTGATGCTAGTCATGAGCAGTCAGCCGGTGCGTGACGCGTGCAGCGCGTCGAGGCCGGCCACTGTGAGATCGCGGCTGGCCACCTCTAGGCAGGCGGCCGGGCGCCACGGTGGTGTGAAGCCGCATTGATGTCGGCAGTGCCAGTGGTTGACGATGATGAAGTGGGTAGAAGGCAGCACCCGCTTCGTGTCACGCAAGGGGAAGACGACCCCCACGTGCCCCTTGCACCTCGGGCGCGAACGTATGGAAGTGCGTAGCTCGCGAAGTATTTCGTGCTGCAGGGACATGTTGCTACATACCAGGTACCTGCCAGTACGTAGCGAGCGCTCGCATCATCAGCAGGCTTCTGCTTTGCTTCAAGGCGTATAATGTACATAAGGTACTACCTACCTTTGCTTGAGCTGAGGTACGGCGAAACGCGCACCACGATGCACGCCTCATGTACCACCAAGTCGCAAGTACCTACTCGGCAGGTGCCTCCGCCGTCCTTGAACGTTTCCTGTCCAGAAGGCAGGAACGATGTGGTGGCTGGTGTTTCCGTTGCGAACCACTGCACCTCCACCTCCCTCCATCGCTCCTTCCAACCAACCCCGATGAGTACAAGGGATCGGGCCGGACCAGACGCATTTCGGCTGCATACCGAGGGAAGGAGCAGGCCATGGCATCGCCGCCGACGGAAGCCTTGCTCTCCGTTTAGTCCCTGCCCCTGGGCGCTGCTGGCAGGTCGACCACCGAGCCTTGCCGTACGTAAGAGAGCTGGCAGGCACGTCACTTGGTGATATTGGCTGGGGCACGGAATATTAAATGTTTATCCGGGTGCTAGTGATGCGACTGAGGAGCCAACCTGACTTCCCTTGCCTCCAGGTCACCTCACCAGCTTGTCAGTCTAGCTTCTCCTCCCTCATTACCCTCTTCTTGCCTGGAGCCGGGCTGAGGTCCCCGCCAGCACTCGGCCGGTGGACCACGCTCGACAGCCTGCTGCACCGAAAATCCTGATCGATTTGCAAAGCAACGCGAGCATGGCCGACGTGTTTCACCGCAGTGTTTTCGCCTTTGGGTATCCTTTAAACGCCTGGGCCTCGGTCGTTCCGCCGACTCGCCACGGAACCGGGCAAGCCTGGGGCTGCCTGCAAGCCTCGGACAATCACGGCAGACCTCGTGCAAAACCAGCAGCCGCTTAAGCGAAGAGGGCGGTAGGTAACGCGCCGGCCGTCGCTGTATCCTCGACATTGCACCAGTACGTGACACAAGATGCTGGCGGCGCATAAAAGGAGAGGGTTGGCCTGTGGGTTTGTGCAAAGTGCGGGAGCTGGGATGGCCCTTCGGCGGGAACAGGCTCGGCAGTTGCAAGCAGGTGCTGGCCGTGTTGACCGCGAAACAGGTGACAAACATGAACCCAAACTCGAAGCCTGGCTGGCAAGACCCACGACGCGATCCTTGTGCCGATCCGGTCCGTCGTCTCCAGACGCCAGACCCCTGTCTGAGCCCCATTACCTTGCGCCTGATAGTTTCATCTCGACTCAACTTGCATCAGGCCGGATGGGCTTTCACGACGTTACCTCGGGCCGTCTATCTTGCCTTTGGAGGGCCGCTCCATCCCATACTTCTGGTCAGAATCCTCACTAGTTGCTTAGCGATGCGCGCCTCGAGCAAGTTTTCTGAGCACGCGCCTCTTTCGCCCAGACCGTCGCGACTCGGTGCCATAGCTATGTCCGCCGTGTACATTCTACGGCAGGCAAATAAGCTACCGCTCGGACTGATTTGACCTGACACAGCTTAGGCGCTACGACACTCCTGACAATTGCAGCGGGAGGATACATAGCCTCAACAGATCAACCAAACAGGTACCCAGCCAAACCCGACTACGATTCCCAGAGCAAGCTTTTCCCTTGTCGGGGTAAGAGGTCATTCACATGCCACGTGCCGGACCACCTTGTCCTACCATCTCGTGGAACCAAAACGGCGGCATTCAGCGCGCGTGATCGTCGAGCCAAGCCTGCTGAGCTTCGAGAGTTGAGGTTGCTCTGCGGCGCGTCATCCGACTCCCTATCCTCTATCCTGACAAGTCGGGATCCTAGCTATCGATGACAGCCCAAGGCTCTCGTGTTGCGGCCGAATGAGCAAAAACGCAATCATGTCGACAGCCATTTCACGTTCATAGAACTGAGAATCATCTCCCTGCGCCAGTGGCTGGCCTGGTCCGAACCTCCCCGGCGCCCGGTTGATGGTTGCCGTGGTCCTCCAATTTCCTGGAGCGCCCTCCCGGGCTGCAACCGCACCGGATCCCGCCTCTTTTTTTAGCAGCCCCCGTATTTTCGACACCCTGGTGCAACTCCGTCGGCTCCGATCTGAAGAAACGCAAGCTTGTGAAGAACTGCAGCTCCACCGTTCGCTGAGGAGCACACAGAGCACGGACTACTCCGCCAGGAACGCGAATGCGCAGAGAAGTAGTCCGCACGAAGCACTCATCCCAGACTCGACGGGCATGAACCTGCGGTCATCTTGCTCTTGCGCCGTTGCATTAGTTTGCTGTTGCCCTCACCGCCTCTCCTTCCACGCGTTGTCGCACCAACTGTGGTTAGGCCATCGTCTTCAAGAATGATGCAGAGACCACAGAGTACGGATACATAGAAGATCCCGCATGCACCCCATTGCTCTAGGCGTGGGGATTGGGCGCGGCAACTGTCAGGTCCGATGCAAACTAAACAGATTGGGGAGCATCCAGTAGATTAGGCTCGCCTATCCCATGCACACACCTTACTCGTGCAGAGCGTCGACTTCAGTCCCGATGCCTGCAGCAGATGCAAGACAGCTGAGCAACGACGGGGAACAAGGGCTCGGGTGTTTCAGGGCCGGCTGAACGCCCAGCGCCATAATGGGACAAAGTCCCTCGAAGAGGCAACAACAGGGGTTCGTGTGGCCCTTGGACAATCATCGGCTTTCCGAGAACGTCTCCAGGATCCGTCATTTTGCGTCAATGACGGTGGTTCATATGAACTACTGTGCTGCAGTAACCAGAACAACCTCAACTTAGGAAGGGTTCCCTGGCCCAGTCCCCCGCCTTGTCCTCAAAGCGGTCAACGTAGTTACCTTGACCCGTATGTACACGAAGTCTTGGCAGAAATGTGCAGGCATCCATTGCAGCATCGGTCTCGTTCAATACCGGGGAGTCCTGGCACTGCAGGCGAGTGCTATCTTGCGTATTTGTCAACAACCCGCCACTCTTGTGCCCCAGAAAGAGGACTGAAGTTCATCGTGGCCCCGCGTTCGTCCCAAGTGCCCCAGTTCTCTCCCCCATCCCCCATCGACAAGCAGAATATGTTTTCCATTGTTATCCACACACTCCGTTTGGGCCCGCGGAGGGAAACATCCTGCGGCCGACAGTCGGTCCGATATGAGAAGTCAAATCGCGGCACTTGATTCAGGCGAAACCAACGCACCTGAGGTCGAGATCGAAACGTCTGGTTTTGCCCCGAGTCTCATCCGCGTCCACCCTGGGAAGAGGCTCGAGTCCCTTCTTTTATGCGGGTTGGTCTGACCATTGTGGATTCTCCGTGAGTCTCAAGAGGTTTTCTTCCGATCTAACACATGACTTGAATTCTAGGGCAGCGCACCAACCCATCATTGAGGAGACTCGAAAATTCCTCTGTGCCGGGGGACAGTCCCAGGTGGCGTCCAAACGCATCTTCTCCACGCCCTCCACAATGCGTTTCGGACTGTCTAACGGTCCTGAAACGGTCTATCGGGCGATCTGAGTGACGGTTCCGCTGTCACGGAACCTGCTCCGTTTCAGGCGTGAAGCTGCGCTTGCTTCTCGCTCGTGTCATGGGTAGCGGTTCGGGTTCTTATCTCGCTGTCTTCACATTCACTTTTGGGGCCTCCAGAGCAGCTCAATTAGCACGCGCTTCTACAGGCAGATCGTCTCCGACAGAGCAGCAACAACTCCCGCCCTCGACATGACGACCTTGGCCTCGGGCCACGTCTTTCGGGTTACGGCATCGAGCAGCCTTACATGCCAGGTAATGTGAGACCGAGCGGGCGGCTGCGTCGGAGAATTTTGCACGGGAGGCTGCAGGACAGCTCGGACGCAACGCAGGTTCTAGGATGTCTGGGAACCACAACGACACACCAGCGTGTGCTTGTACGCATCACATACTCGGGGAAAATCGAGCATATGGCACAGCACGACAGGCGCCGGACGAGGCGTCAGACTTGCAGTCTGCCTAGGTGCGTCCGAGTGCCACATGGCGAGGTCACACGTCGTAGGACAAGCACCCGGTTCCCCCGTCAAGTGATCGGTTGGGCGCAGACTGTCACTGTTGACAGATGCAGATGCAGACAGTGACTGCGGCAGACCAGCGGTGCTTCGCCTTCGAAGCCAGAGAGGAAGTTTGAGCGGTTGGACGAACAGGGCAAGGTATTGACTGCGGGTGCAGGCTTGCATGAAGCAAGGCTCTGGGCGTGGATGCCATGGGACACGAACGCACGCAAGCAAAGAGACACGTGGTCACGGCGATGCCCGCTCGTGACATTACCCATGCAGACCGTCTGGAAGGCCTTGTCTTCGGCCTGCCGGGCCTTCATAAGCACGTAGTCGACGGCATCTGAAGAAACGTCGAGGCAGATAGTATGCGTATTCGAAAGCACGATCTAGAATAGGTCGTTTACTGCCTTGTCTGCATCCTTTTGTATCAACTCTCTCATACCCTAGCAGGCGGTTAGCACAAGCTGCGGCGAGGCCGATTCGCAGGCGGATCGGACTGACCGGTGGCATGATCGGGTTGCCGCTCTCGTCCACGACATAGCGGAACGGCATCTCCGTGCTCTCGTGCTCATTGAACTTGAGTTCGGGAAAATCGACATGCGGTACCTTGTCGAGCGGGACTGGCCAGGTCAGCAAAGCGTGCCCCGTGGCAAGGCAACCAACCACTCGACATGGGATGGACTCACTCCTGTCTTGCACGACCAGGCGCGTCACTCTCACTGCTGTGTCTGTGGTCATTTGCTTGGGGCCCAGCCTGCGGCCCTCGAATCCCTTCCTCCTCAGCTCCGAGGTTCGGTCTGGGCACGTCAGCACCCCAACAGGAAGGCTTCGTCCCGGATACTACATACCTCTTGGGGGGTCATCGCCTGCGAGTCGAGGTCAGTCAACGTCGCTCACACTGGCGGAGGCCTCACATACCCAGGATGCCACCGAACAGGAAGGCGTCAAAGGTGTCGCCGTCCTCTGGCGACAGGTCCTTGGCCGCGGCCGGGTCCAGGAGGCAGACTCGCGACTTGTTGGCGGCGTAGAGCTCCTCGACGCCGCGCTGCTCGGCGGTAAAGGCCGTGTTGCCGGCTAGCGCCTCGGGAACTCGGAACGCGGGCGGAAGGCTTGACAGGATGAAACGGCCCCTCGAGTCGCGCGTCTCGCTTGCGATGGCGGCGTACTCGAGTTCTGACCAGGGGCCCAGCTCCGGGTCGAGGTGCTCGACGATGAAGGTTTTGCCTTCGATTGCCATGGCTGCGCCGGTCGGTTGAGAGGTCTTTACTGTGTTTGCAATGCGTTTAATATTGAGTGCTGCACGGGGCTGCCACGTTCAGAGCCGTCCACACGCGTTTTGGCGACTCAATCTTGATATGTGATGGGACTGGCGCTCTTGAAGAGTTTCAAGATTTGGCTGAGCCAGAGCTCCATCGGTGGCGCCGTGTGTAGTGGAACTAACCGCTGGGTTGTAACTCGGCCGGTTTGATGAGCCCAGCATCAGCGCACATCACCGCCCGAATTGAAACGTAGACGAGCCAAGCTGACATAATTTTCGTATTCCAGAGAAATTAGGCAAATCAGCAATATCCAAATCTCGCATCAATCACGAATCAAAGGACCGTTGGTAAAGTAAGAACCCGAATGGAAGTGGCTGCCAAGGCTGCGCTTCAATGGAAAAAAGTAGCCTACCCTGCACCACGGCCCTTATTCAGATCCGCTTTCGGCAGTGCCAGCACGGACCAGGCGCTGCGGCCGCTGCGGCCGCTGCCAATCGGGGCCTTCTCAGCCTACCAAATCCCACCAGGCCGCCAACACCTGCTGCCCTTTCAGCCACTGAGAGCCTCCTATTCAGGGTCTCTGGCTGCGCCCCGTGTGCCGCCCGTCCATGCCGGGCTGGGATCCTTGGATGCTTACGCCATCAGTTGGCCCCGACACATGCCACCTCGCCTCAATCCACACGGCGCATCGTCACCAGCAAACACACGGCGCCGCGCATCGACATCGACATCGACGGCCGTCTCGCCATCCGCGGCTCATGATATAAAATCCCCTTCCGTCGATCGTCCGCCTTCGCCTTCTCTTCCCGGCCGGTCGCGCCATCACGCTCTCGTGCCGTAAGCGCGAGCCATCCGTTCGTAATGGCCTGGCTGTCCTGCTTGTCATCGCGGCCGCTTGGCCAGCGCTGGCCAGCGGCATTGCTTCTGGCTCTCTGGACCACTGCCGCATTGGCAGGGAGCAAGTCGGCAGCCGATTACTATGTCCGCGACCTGCCCGGCGTTCCCAAGGACTCTGCTCCGATCAAGATGCATGCTGGGTATGTCTCCCCCGCAGCGCCGGATTGAAGCGCCGACCTTTTTGCTTACCGCCGTCTCCGCAGACACATCGAAGTGACGCCCGAGCACAACGGAAACCTTTTCTTCTGGCACTTCCAGAACAAGCACATCGCGAACCGACAGCGGACCGTGATCTGGGTCAACGGAGGCCCCGGCTGTAGCTCCGAAGATGGCGCCTTGATGGAGATTGGCCCGTACCGAGTCAAGGACAAGGATACGCTGGCTTTGAACAATGGCTCGTGGAACGAGTTTGCCAATCTGCTCTTCGTCGACAACCCCGTGGGCACGGGCTTCAGCTACGTCGACACGGACAGCTACATTCACGAGCTGGACACAATGGCAGAACAATTCGTCCAATTCCTCGAGGAATTCTTTAAGATTTTCCCTGAATACGACCAAGACGACGTGAGTTTACTGTCTTCCACAGCTGTTTGTCTTATTTCCATCCTAACCGCTCTCAGATCTACATCTCCGGAGAATCATACGCCGGCCAGCACATCCCCTACATCGCAAAGGGCATCTTGGATCGCAACAAGAAGAAGCAAGGCAAGGAGTGGAACCTCAAGGGCCTCCTGATCGGAAACGGCTGGATCTCCCCCAACGACCAATACCCGGCTTACATCAAGTTTGCCCTCGAGAAGGGCATCCTGAAGAAGGACGAGGACAACACCAAGAGGCTTCAGGACATGCAAAACAACTGCGATCGGCTGCGGGCCAGCAACCCCGACCACGTCGACTATTCGGAATGCGAGAGCATCCTGTCGACTATGCTGAAGCTCACCAAGAACGGAAACGGAAACGATGCCTGCTGGAACATGTACGATGTGCGCCTGAAGGACTCGTACCCCAGCTGTGGCATGAACTGGCCGCCGGACCTGTCCAGCGTGACGCCGTATCTGAGGCGCGCTGATGTTACAAGGGCCCTGCACGTCAACGGCCAAAAGAACACTGGCTGGCAGGAGTGCAGCGGCGCGGTTACCTCTGCTTTCAAGACTCAAAACTCTCGGCCGTCGATCGAGCTGCTTCCCAATCTGATCAAGGAGGTACCGATACTTCTCTTTTCCGGTGCAGAAGACCTGATTTGCAATCACTACGGCACCGAGGAATTGATCGATAACATGGAGTGGAACGGTGGCAAGGGTTTCGAAGTGACGCCAGGAAACTGGGCTCCCCGGCGCAACTGGACTTTTGAAGGCGAGGACGCTGGCTTCTGGCAAGAAGCTCGCAACCTTACCTATGTTCTCTTCCGCGATGCGTCTCACATGGTGCCCTTCGACTACCCTCGTCGGTCCCGCGACATGCTTGATCGGTTCATGGGCGTGGACATTAGCAGCATTGGTGGCGAGCCCACGGACAGCCGCATCGACGGCGAGAAGGGCCCCGAGACCACTGTGGGTGGCGCATCAAACCACACTCAAAGCGCAGAGAAGGAGGCCAAGAAGAAGATCAACGACGCGAAGTGGGCTGCGTATCAGCGATCCGGAGAAGTGGTCTTGATCATCGTTGTGATCGCGGCCGGCGCTTGGGGCTTCTTCATTTGGCGGCAGCGTCGCAAGGGCGCTGCTTACAGTGCCCTCAGTGGAGAGGAGAACAACAGCCGTGGAAGCTCTCGCATGCCCGCCATGCGCCGCAGACACGGCGGTGGCGACATCGAGGCGGCTGCTTTTGACGAGACGCGCCTCGACAATCTGCGTGTGGAGAGCCCCTTGGCCCACGATGGAAGCAAGTATAGCATTGGCGACGACAGTGACGAGGAAGAGGCGGATAACAAGCGGTTCAACGGCGAGACGAAAGGAAACAACACTGGAGCCGGCAGGGATCTCGTCAGCAAGCCTTGAGCTGTGTGCTGGCGGCGTCCCGGCGCACAGCACATTTCGCCAAGCATTCGTAGGTGTTGGAGGCGTTGTGCGGTTGCATCTTCGTATATAGCTGAGAGAAATGTTATTTCATGGTTTGTTTGCTGTTGCGTCGAAGTGTTCTGCATGGCCATGGTCGTGAATGCAAACACTCTCAAGCATATTGCTCGATTTATCGACATTTGAAGCCTGACGTCTGCGCGCACCGCTACATCGTAGAGTGGTGTGGGATGTCCATCAACCGACCACCTGGCGATCATTCATGTGTCGCGACACAATTACCATCCACGCTGCGTTTATTTTGCTCTAAATTCTATAAAATGTGCAAGTCTCGTAGTCTTCAAATTCAGCGCGCAGTGATGTGTCAACAATGGCCTTCTTGTCTGCCGGTTGTGGGCGCAAGGGCATCTTGCGTGCGAAAGCAGCCACGCTCTCCTCCCGGGCAACCAATCTCAAATGTTCATATTCACCAAAACCATGCGCTCGACAAAGCCCGAGTTTCAGTAATTTGCTCGTGCCTTGCTGCACGAATCGGGTTGCGAGTTCCTGCCTCTGCGGTGGCGAAAGCCCCAACGAGGGACCCGCGTAGGAGAGTTGCCAGCTGGCGCCAGGTGCCCTGAACAGAACCAGAGTGACTCGGCTCTGCTCGCCTAGGGTGCGAGGGCTCGTTTCCCCGGCTGCCGCACATCTCGCGTGTGTGCCTGAGGCTAGAACAGTTGCTGCCGTGCGGTTGCAAACGGCGGTTCCGTTGCCGAGCAGGCAGGTGCGAGCTGCCTGTTCCTTACATACTCCTTGCCTGTGCACACACCCCTCCCTCCTTCTCTCTCCCTCTTCACCTCTCCATCTCTCGTGCATTTGCAGTCTCGCACACGCAGTTCTTTGCACTGCGTTTTCGAGTGGCATTTCTCTCAGCTTCGGCCTCTCTCATCTTCTCGAGGCCGTCACTTGATTTCTTCAAGCTGCGCCTTGCAGGACTCGACGATCCGTTTGCCGCTGCGACTAGCCGGTGATCCGCCCTCCTCGTCACCAAGGGATTTCGTCTTGTTGGAGCACTCAGGTATGGGACATTTCTGTTTCTTTTGTGGTGCAGTGGCTCTCTGCCGTTCATGATCCCCCACCGTTGCCCTCTGCCCTCTCCCTGCATCGTCGCCACTGCATCGTATCATCTCTGAAGGCATGAAAGCTCCCGAGACCATGGGGTGTGCTCATGGAGATGAGAGAGCCCTCTCAGGTGGTCTGTTTGATGGCAGCTTTCGGGAAACCGTGTACAGTTCATTTCCGTGTACTGTTCATCTGGCTGGCACTTCCCATCGGAAGAAGCCCCAAAACGCGAACCAAGCATTCTCTCTTTGATCACACCACTTGAAGTTATTTTCACCATCAACAAAGATCATTGTGAGACTAACGAAGCAACTAGAGAACTGCGTTCGCTTCACCGAACAAAGCAAACAACATGTCTGGCTGGGGTACGCAGTCAGACTCCGCCGGTTGGGGACCTGCTCCTGCGGCGAACGATGCCTGGGGCGGCGGCGCTGCCGCTGCCACCTCCGGCGACTCTTGGGGTGGTGCGGCGAGCAACGATCACACCATGTCCGGCGGTGCCAACAACTGGGACGGTCCTGCTAAGGACTCTGCGGAGAAGCAAACGGCCGATTTCGCCACGGGGTGAGTCTCACGTCGCAGTCCATCCTTGCAGCTGCATACTAACTTTGTCCCAAGCTTTATTGAGCCCACCGCCTTTACCGATGGTCCAGATGGCACGATGGAACCTCGCGGCGAGGCAGATGACAAATGTTTCAACTGCGGAGAGCAAGGGTATGTATCACGCTTGACCCTCTGATGATTATGCTAATTGTATCGCAGCCATCGAGTTGCCGAATGCCCCCAGCCTCGGGATACCGCGTGTCGCTACTGCAAGCAGGAGGGACACATGGTACGCGACTGCCCAGACAAGCCAGCCATGGTTTGCAACAACTGCGGTCTGGAAGGTAAGCCTCCGTTTGCGACCCAACGTACTGGCAGCTATGCTAACAGGATCCAGGACACACGCGAAACAACTGCGAGAATGCACGCAAGGTGAACCGAGATCACGTTGCTGATCTCTCCCCGGATGAAGCCTGGGACAAGATCAAAAAGGCCGTCCTGGAGCGAGATGTGGATGACGCAAAGGAAGCCGTCCAGGAGTACGTTAAGGCTACGGGTGGTGCTATCACCTACAGAGAACTCCAGGAAGGCCTGTTCAACGAAGGCGTTGATCTTTTCCTGATTGCCACTGAGAGAACCTTGGTCACCGTCTTCACCAACATGGATCTCCAGGGCAACATGGGAAAGAAGTTCAGCATTTCGTATCGCTTCACGGACAAGCCGGACCGACCTCGGGAGGCTGAGTCGTTCCCGAAGAGTCGCGAGGAGTTGCTTGCCCGTCTTGACGATGCTGGAGAAGTCGTGAACTCCGGTCGTTCCAAGTGCCACAATTGTGGTGAACTTGGCCATGTTGCCAAGTTCTGCACTGAGGAAAGGACGGACAAGCCGGAGCAACCCAAGATCTCGTGCACGAACTGCAACGAAGAGGGCCACCGCCTTCGCGATTGTAGGTGAAACTCTTCGATTGATGCCATCGTTGCAGATGCTAACTTCTTTCCCAGGCCCACAGCCTCGCGTGGACCAATTTGCTTGCAAGAACTGCGGGTAAGTGTGCTGCAATCACAGTCAAGCTTTGGAACTAGAGTCACTGACTGGCAAACAGCAAACCTGGTCACAAGGCGGCCGACTGCGAAGAGCCGGCGAATCTCGACAACGTGGAATGTCGCAAGTGTCATGAAAGTGAGTTGCGGCTCTTTCTGCATTTGTTTCCCTCGCTGACCATCGATAGTGGGACACTTCTCCAAGGACTGTCCTCAGGCAGGCCCTCGTGGATGCCGCAATTGCGGTTCCGAGGAGCACATGGCTCGAGATTGCGATCAACCTCGTAACATGGACCTCGTTACCTGCCGCAACTGTGAGCAGCAGGGCCATATGAGCAGGGACTGCCCGGAGCCCAAGGACTGTGAGTAACCTTTGACACAATCGCGAATGTTCACTGACACAAAATAGGGTCCAAGGTCCAGTGCTCGAACTGCCAAGAATATGGACACACTAAAGTCCGCTGCAAGAAGGCGCCAGCCGACGCAGATGGTTTCGAGAACCAGGGCTTCGACACTGCTGCGGGCACGAACGAGCATCCTGGCAATGACTCTTGGGGCGGCGGAGATGCTGGCCAGGGAGGACAGCAGTCCTACGACAGTGGAGGCTGGTAAGCTCCACGGCTACCAGCGACTGTGATTTCGGTGGAGGTGCGGGTTGGCATGGTCGAGGAACTTGGTGGGCGGGTGTGTCTAGAAGCTGCTTAAGACGGAGTTTGCATGGGCTCGGCGATCAATTGCACTGATCTCCGTCCATGGGTCCGCATGTAGAGTAAACGAGACTGAGCACCACGCAGCTAGGTGATCAGCAGCAGAACAGACACCCGCCAATACGATGCACATGCCGCCACGATGGACTACATGACCGAGTCGGATTTTCAAGGTCAGCCGTGGCCCTTGCGCCTTTAATCCCCCTGCTTCGTATTTTGCGTTTCCCACGAGCTCAGCTGTCCGCTTGGTTCGGAATTCTGGTTTTGTCTTGCCACGGAGCTGGCGACGCGAGACACCCTCGAACCTGACGAGCTGTACGGTACTGTGCCTTTGAAAGGACAAGGCAATGCCACCGATGGAGCTGATCGACAGAGGCAAGGTCGGCACTGGCAAGGGTCTTCTGACAGCATCCATGGATTGAGGACCGGGACTGAATTTTGCAAGCTCGTCGAGCACATGTCGTTGAATGTGTAACACGCCATTGGATACCAAGCTGCTCCACCTGGCTGCCCGGCGCGTCCGGCACGACGGAGCCATGCTTTGGCTCTGCCGACGGCTTAATCACCACGCCAACCGCGAAATGCAGCAGTCAACACAAATATCTTTGCTCGGATTCTGGCTACCTTGAGGCAAAGCGGTGAGGGCGCGGGACACAGCATTCTGCTGGGCCAAGGTGGTATCGGACCGTGTCTATCGAAGACTAAGTCCGCGATGGCGGAGTTTCCGCGGGCAGGATTCGCGGTTTGACTCATCATCATCCATGATGCTGACTCCTGAGGCTGAGACTGCGTACGGCATACCAAACGTTGGGTAGTATTTAAAGACTTGATGGCCCGCGAACCTTGCTTGACAGAATCTGTTGAGGGATTCTCACCCCATTTCTGCGGATTGAAGCGCGGGTGCCTAGTCTGACATTGTCCGACAAGCACGATGGTGGGCGCCGAGATCATCTTTTACCACTACACGCGGTCGCCCTACGCACGGAGGGTCGAATGGTATCTCGCCCTCAGGGGCATACCGTACAGAGAATGTGTAGGTTGCCTACCTGCCCGGCATGAGTCTACTTGGGCGCAAATGGCCAGTAGTCGGGGGCATCGCCTCATGTGCCTCACATGTGGCACGAAAACTAAACACAATCTGACATCACGAACCACCCACAGCTCCAGCCGCTGGCCATGCCGCGGCCGGACCTCGCGCGCCTGGGCATCGCGTACCGGCGCATCCCCGTGCTGGCCATCGGCCGTGACGTGTATCTGGACACGCGGCTGCAGCTCCGCAAGCTGGAGGAACTAGAAGACAACGTGGCGGCACCGAAGCTCGGCGCGGAGATGCCCGAGGGCCAGGCGCTGGAGAGGCTGCTGGAGCTGCTTACGACAGACGGCGGCACGACATTCAGCGGCATCACGTCGCTGCTGCCCGCCGACATGCCGCTGTTTAAGGACGAGGCGTTCGTGCGGGACAGGGCCGACTTTTTGGGAGGCGTCGAGCTGAAGCCCGAGACGATGCGGCGGGCACGGCCGGACGCGCTGCGGGAGCTCGCGGGCGTGTTTAAGTTGTTCGAGACGACTCTGCTGGCGGACGGGAGGGATTGGATCCTGGGTGGCACGACGGGGCCGGGCCTGGCGGACATTGAGGCCCTATGGCGGCTGCACTGGATCGTCAACGTACCCGGCGCGCTGCCGGAGACGCACTTTTCGCCGGCGGTGTACCCCAAGGTATACGCATGGATGGCGCGCTTCGACGCGGCAGTCGCGGCGGCACGGGCAGCGCGACTCGGAGACGACCAGCAGCCGCCGTCCCGGCGTGTGCTCTCGGGCGAGGAGGCCGCGAGGGCGATTCTGTCGTCGCCGCTGCACGAGGAGTACGAGGAGGGGCTTGCCTCCGTCGTCGACGCGGGGGACCACGTCGTCGCGGCGCAGGGGCTGGCGAGGGGCGACGTCGTGACGGTGTGGCCGACGGACACGGGCGTGTCGGGCAAGGTCTGCGGCAGGTTGGTGGCGATGAATGGGGACGAGGTGGTGATTGAGACGGAGGCGGATATGGAGGGCGGCAGGGGCGGGACGGTGAGGGTGCATGCCCCGAGGCACGGGTTCAAGGTGCAAAAGGGGACATCGGCGCAGTAGTGGACGGGTGTAGTTGAAGCTGGCATGCGAAGCACACGCATATCCCTACTCATACTTACACGAAGCAGGCGTATATCCCAACTTACATAAAATATAGCTACGAGCGAATGCAAATCTATCAAGTCATCCAGTCAGCGTCAGGGCTCGAGGGGCCGAGCTACAGAGCAAACTGGAGTCGCGAGTCGCACCAAAAGCATACAACTTGATGCGTCTCTAGAATGTGCGTTCTGTGATAGTGCGCCAGTCCGTATACGGACACGTATTTGGAGTTTGGCAGTGCAGACGGCTGCATATGCTTATTTTTTAACATTGCGCAAAAACCACGTCACGGAGGTTCTCATTGCCTGGAGACGTTGCTCCGACATAAGCTCACGGGTCAAGGACATGCTGCTGCAGGTGAGCGAATGGGTTCGTGATGGTGGAGGTCCGTCTTCGGCCGAAAATGCACCCGTGATTGGGCCCGGACGCGGCGTCGAAATCTGTCGTCGGCAAGCTGCAAACTAGCAATGCATCAGCCATGTCTGGTCTGCGCAGGCTTGGCGGCTGAAACAGGATCCTTTGAGCGGCCACGAAGATTGGGGTTACGGCGGGGTGCTTCAGGGCGTGGCGTGGCACTTGGAGATGCACGAGCACGAGCACGAGCACGAGCGGAGGGGAGAATGCATGCGAGCATGTACCGAGCGGGGGCGGCGCGCTGACAGGGAGACGGACGACGACAATTGCGAATGCCGGGACGGACACTCAGGCACCAGAGGACGAATGTCGCGGGCAGCAACCGAGTGGCCGGAGCTGGCTGGAGGTGATGCTTGGTGCCTGGGCGCTCACCGACCGGAGAGGCCTGGATGCCACGCCCGAGCTTGAGCACCGACGGAAGCAGCTCAGAAGCCCACGGACAAGCGCATTGCGTCATCCGCGGCAGCGTCGCGCGACGGGGGCCAGGGGTGGGTCTTGGTGACACGCGACGGACGGCCAGGCGCTGCGGAGCCTCACGTCCCGCGCACCCCTGGCGGTGGTGCTGGTGGTGGTGGGCGGATCGCGATCCAAGACGTTCCGTTTCTAACTGTGCGCAGCGATGGCAGGCCAGGAATCGGAGGGGATGGCGGCTTCATTCCTCGGGACGCCGTGGAACTGGAGGATGGGCAGCGCGCAGAAATGGCAGGCAGGATTCTTCTCTTCTTGTTGGTGGTGGTGTTGGCAGAGGGTTGCAAATTGGAGCTGACGTCACCTGATGGCTGGCCTCGTCGGTGCACCACCATCGAGACCATGTCAGGTCACTGCACAGTCGCGACGGCATGCACACTGTGCCTGGCCGCCTGGTGTCGGCCGTGGAATTTTTTCCATCCTGGCGAGGCATGCAAGCAGACAGGCAAAGGGACTGCCCCCCGTAAGCTCCGGACACGCAGGTCGCAGCGAAAGGGGGCGCAACTGGGACTGACGTAATTGCCCGTCAAGGACGGATTGTCCCTGGCATGTGTCGAGATCGAAGCCGCAGAAGGGTCGGACGGATGCAGAGCCCGTACGGTGAGGTCGAGGCCAGGTCGAAAACGGAGCGCCATGCCGCGCCATGTTGGGCGATGCATCGGGGTGGTGGCGGGCTGGCTGGCTGGCTGGTCGCTGAGCCGAGAGTAGAAGATACCTACCGTCGGAGCAGGTGCACCTGCCACTCACCGACCCTGACTTGCCACTCCACTGAGCCCAGCATGAGCGACCGCCTCGAGCTTCGGCGCCGACGCGGCCCAGGCCCAGTAAAATACGGCGACCAGATTCAGGCTGGATTCCCACCGCACCCTCACAGTCAGTCCAGCCCGAGTCTGCAGGGCCCGTCGAGGACTGGGCCGGTACACCGCGCCGGCGCACACACACATGCACGACACGACGCGACACGACACGACACGACACGACACGGGGAGCACACCCTCGGCATTGGCACTGGGCTTGGGTCGATATTCGAGCCCGTCAACACCATCACCATGGCCATCAAATCATGCCGCGCCAGCGCCGCGGACAGTGTGGCCCGGCATCTAAGGGGCAGCAGGAGCAGCAGCAGCAGCAGCAGCAAGCAAGCAAGCCGCAACAGCACCGAACCGGCCAACAACAGTTCCCATCCATCGGCTCTCTTCATGCCTCCCCGCCTGCCACTCACAGGCGACGTGCAATCGCACCGGCAAGCAATGCACTGTGAGGTGAGTCCATCGGGACGGCTGTGACTGGCTGGCAGGCACTCAACGGAGCCGGCTTGGGTTTCCGGCGTCATCCCACCCCACGAGCATGTGGCGGACGAGGGGGGACCGCACAGTGCAATCCGCTGATGCACCCTTGGCCTGTCTGTCGGTCTGCGACTGCCTGCGCGACGAGCTCAGGGCGATGCGACAGAGCCATCTGGTCAACACATATGAAGATGAGGTCCATTTCAAAGAAATGGAGACTGTTGTAATGAGCTGTACCTCTGCTGCAGGCGTTTCCGCACGCGTGTCGTCGCCAATGCGCGCTCTGTCGCGTCTGGCAGACTCGGGCCCTGGAGCAGATACTCCGTGTCCACGGCCAAAAAGCCCCAGTCCCCGCTGTCTGCCGCGCGAGACAACCAACTGACAGCCGGCGTGCGATAGCTTCCTTGGGTACCTCACGGCGCGGTGTGGTCTGGACTGCGAGCTGTTGCCGCTGTCAGTTCCTCAGCTCGTATCCGGACCTGCCATTTGCTGTTGCAACAACGACAGCAGCACCTTGATTGCCTCCAGACATGCCCATTGGCAATCCAGCAGCCAGCGCCAGCCGGCCCGTCGAGGTGGCGATCTCCACCGCCGCCCGTGGGTTGTTGGCCAGACGCAGCGCAGGGCCAAGAGGGCATCGATCATCGACGATGGCGACCGCCCACGGCGCCGGGCGGGTTCCCGCACAGTGCGGCTTTGGTTTGTAAGCGCCCTCTCCCCCCAGCGACCAGCCTAGTTGCCTGTGTGCTGTGCCCTTCTGTCGCCTCCCCTCCCACCCCCAAATTTCCATCGTCCCCCCGCCCCGCAACACACCCCTGCCACCACTCACAGCCTGGAACCCACAGCCGGCGAGCCAAAGAGAGCCCAGCACCAGGGAGAGACGACGGCGGCCGGCGGGCACAGCAACATGAGCAGCAGCAGCGCGAGGCCGCAGTTGAGCGAAGGGGTGTGGGTTTCTCGGGGGGAGGGGGGGCCCCAGCGCCGCCATTTTTCATTTTTTTCTGCGCCCATCCCCCTTCCACCCGCCCTCTTTTTCACAACGTCATCTCTGACGTCTTCCCCTTCCTCAAGTCGAACCTTTTCGCAGCACCAGCACCAGCACCACCAGCGCAGCGCAGCAACGCGCAGCGACGAGCCCCAATCCCACCACCAAACCAAGGATACCGCAGCCCGGCAAGCCCCAGGCGCATTCCCTTTTGAGCGCCCGCACGCTGGCTTGCCTGCTTGCATTGAATTCGCCGCGGCAGCGACTGCGACGCAGCCTTTACCTTTTGGCGGCGCCAGCCTGCCAGACGCCTGATTCTGGGGTGCACGCTCACTCACTCTTCCCCCCCCGGGCGCCGAGCCACTCCCGCCTACCCAGGCGTCAATCTTCGCCCGACTCGAGCGCCGCCTTTTCAACAGCCTCGCCCGGCCTGTGACCTCATCGCCCTCTTTCGCTTCCCTCCTGCTCTTGTCCTTCTGTTTTCCTTTGCCTTTCAATACCCCACCTTGTGCAGCCAGCCTGCTCTACGCCTGCCGCGGCGCACTACATCATAGGTAGACAAATCGTCGTCATGGGGACTTCTCCCAAGAACGCCTCCGCACGAGGCCCGTCGAAGTCCCCCAAACAACCCAACAACACTCCCCCAGGTACAGGTGAGCCTCATCCCTCATGCCCCCTTTAGTCTTTTGTCGTGCATCCGTTCCCTTCTAGCCCTACGCGCACAGCCATTGCCCCTCCCCGTGACGTGACGTGTTCCTCCGGCGCCGGCGCGACTCTCGTCGTTCGACCGTCATTCAAGGCCCTGCTTGCATGGGCGCAGCCCTCGGTCATCGCACAACTACAACACCAAACCACCATTACCCCTCGCACACACTCGATCTGCGCGTTGCCTGCCATGCCTTGAGCTCACACGCTGGCCACAGATACCGCACCGGACTCGAAAGCCGACACCACTGGCAAGCCAGACGGCCCGTCCAATACCGAAGCCGCCAAACCCCTTGCGCCCCCTCCTCGCCCCGGTCAACAGCAGCAGCAACAATCGAGCAATACCCCCGACTACTTCTCGACCCAGGTTGGTGGGTCGCTCAGTCTGGAGCCCAATCCTTTCGAACAGTCTTTCGGCGGTGGAGGGCCAGAGACGCCAGGAGGGACAAAGCTGCCTTCGGTCGCCCATCTGACGTCGCCCTCCTCGCTCCTCCCGGGCAGCAACGCGACGCCCTTCAACTGGGGTGGAGGGTCTTTGCGCACCGGTCCGCTGAGTCCGGCTATGCTGTCGGGGCCGGCCAACGATTACTTCAGCGACACACACCACCTTCGCGGCGGCTTCCCGACACCCAACGAGTCGTCGTTGCGATCGGGCCTTACACCGGGCGGCAGTGGATCCATGTTCCCTGCCCCCAGCCCGAACTCTCAAGCCCTCTTCGCCCAGCTGGCAAGCGGCGGCGCAACACCAAGCACCCTCGACTTTCACCGCACCGCCCTCAGCGCGGCGGCCAAGCGTGAGCAAAGCAACGGCCCACAGCCGCAGCACCAGCAGCAACAGCAACAGCCCGCAAAGACGTCGCAGCCCCAAGATATGCCCAACGGTACGACCACGATTAAGACGGAGGCCAAGGCCCCTGGGCCTTTTGATCCACACGACAATGACGCCGCCAACGGCCTCTTCATGCTCGCCCAAGGCGCGCAAGGTCGCAGCGGTTCCCAAAGCACCGGCCAGTTCACGGCCACATCAGCCCCCGGCCACGCACACCCCGCCCCGGCGCCGGCGCCTCAGATGCCTGAAGGAAACGGCGGCTCGGCCCGCGGTGGCAGCGAGGGCAGCATGATGTCAGAAGAGCCCGAGCCGGCGAAGCCTAGCACGCGGGGCAAGGGCAAGAAGAACAACACAACGACAACCAATGGCCGAAGGAAAGCGGACGATGCCCCTGCCAAGGCGCCCCCTGCCAAGAAGGCCAAGGGTAACGCCATCGCGTACAGCGGCAGCGTTGAGCCGTCAGACGATGACGAAGATGACGAAGACAAGTTTAAAACCGATGAAAACGGCACTAAGACCAAAATGACGGACGAAGAAAAGCGAAAGAACTTTCTAGAGCGGAATCGGTGTGTGCCCCTCAGGTATATCCTCATTAGACTTTGCATTAACACCCGCACAGCGTTGCCGCTCTCAAGTGTCGTCAGCGTAAGAAGCAGTGGCTGGCGAACCTTCAAACCAAGGTCGAGATGTTTAGCTCGGAGAACGACGCCCTCACAGCGCAAATCACGCAGCTGCGAGAGGAAGTCGTCAACCTCAAAACTCTCCTCCTTGCTCATAAAGACTGCCCAGTCACTCAACAGCAGGGTCTTCACGGAGCCTTCATGTCACAGGTTGTCGAGCCATTCAACGCGCAGATGAACCCGTATGGCATGGCCGGCCCGATGCCCAATCAGCAGCAGGTGATGGCTGGCCAGGGGGTTGACCGCCGATTCTCTTAGATCGAGGATGGTCGATACTTTGAGTGATAGGAAGACACAGCTCAGCATGGCTTTGTTGATGTGATCGTGTCACGTGGTATCGATTGTCTGACTTTACCGTTGTCGGCGCCGGCTGCGTTAGTCTCGTCTACGACGGCCATGCGTGACTTCGGGAGTTTCGCCGTTGTGCGTCGGTTGCGTCTCCTGTGGGCTTGCGCGACCAGACAAATGTACCGAGAGGGCTTACTGGACAAGCTTTTCCATGTACCAAAATTACGAGTGGGATTCGGCGGGCATGGCGACATCTGAGTCGCAAAGGCTCCTTGGCACTGCCACTGACGATGTTCTTCTGCTCATATTTCTTCGAAGCATGCGGATGGCACTCCACTTCACAGGGCCATCGTCTTCTCCCACATACTGTACGTACACATTTTTTGCGAGGAATCGATAGGGTCATCAAAAGGTACTGGCTGGGGAGACGACTTTGCGTTGTTTGTGGCGTTTACGGACATGGAGGAACGGGCACTACTATGTGGAGGACAAACCGGGTGTTGCTAGGGATGGATTGCTTGAAGGTAGCTACAGGTAACGGATGCTACTAATTGGAGCGTTTTGTCGTCGCACCAGCGAGTCGGGTGTGCATTTGAGACTGCGGTCGAATGTGAAAGTGATTTTGATAAGACGTCGGTGCTCGCTGAATCGGTGATGTTGAGAAACAGCTTCGTTCGAGGCTTCTGTATGCACGGCTGGCCTAGGACGTGGGCTCTCTGCTTGTAACTCTATTTTGCTTCTCACTCCTCATTCCTTTCAAGTACAGTGGACTTTCTGCGTCTTGCAAGGCCACTGCAGTCCAGGCCAGGGGAGGAGCCGCACTTCTTCCAACAGTGCTCCAAGGGATACTGCTGGAAGAAGTGAGGCTCCAACGGGCAATGGCACTGGACGGCGTACAACGACGGGAATGGGGACTGGATCGGGTGCAAGAAGGATAGCCAGTGCAACAGCAATCAGGCCTGTGGGTTGAGGAACTGCAAGAACTGTAGCTGCAGCTGCTGAGCAGGCCGGAATAAGAGCGGCACAGAGGGTCGCTGGACGAGGAGGAGAGGAAGTCGATAGCCTTGAGGCTCCTCGCTAAAGCTTGATACTTCGTAACGCGTTATGCTCACTCGGTCAGTGCCACTACTCGAGTTGAATTATTGACGTATGCCAACATATATAGGCTCGTTGCTGGTTATGAAATTCGCTATTCGGTTATATCGAGTGTTTTCACTCTCATTAACTGACGTACACAACACGCGCTCACATAGCTGGAGGCTGCCTTGCCATTGAGCGCTTGTGTATATACTTTCCTAAATCCGTTTCTCGAGGCAACTGGACGCTTTTATACGCCGTGATGCCCTCCAACCCTGACCCGCGCTGTGCGGCACGGTATCCAAGGAGAATTGGGAGGGGAGGATGAGAGGTCACTCAAAGAGGCAAAGGGGTACGTACCGTGATGAGAGAGACGGGGGCGTGGCCAATCAACGTGGCCGTTGGTATTCTTCGCTGGCGTGGGGCTCCACGGCCCAAAGCGGCCTAGCGCGCCGCTGGAGCATCCCTCACCTCTCTGAGGTAAACAACAGAAGGCACTCCCGCGTACGTCTCAAACCATCGTCAACCCGCGACAAGTGCCCGCCGCCGCCGCCCCATCGCCCGCCCGTCTGCATCCCCCGCCGTCATCGCGCATCGAGCCTTGGTCACACCGGCGAGGGTCTTGATGCGCAGGCCCTCGAACCCGACGCGAAGCATCTGACGCGACTCTGTCGGCGCCCGGCCACCCACCCCCCAACACGCGACGCATCGAAGCCGCGCAACGGCTCGTCGGACTACGGGCGCGCAACGCCTTTTCGCCATCGCCACCCACGACACACGCCCCATGCCATCGCGAGTCAGCCATCCATGACGACTCTCGTGGCGACTCGACAGGCGCTGGAACTTCTTAGCATGAGCGACCAGCAGAAGCGCCGAACAAGCAAGCGGCTTGCGGGTAGGTCTCCGGAGCGGGACGAGGTCCAGGGATCCGGGCCAGGAAGACGCCGGAATGCTGACGGTAGAACAGCCGCGGCCGATTACGAGCAGGATGACGACTTTCAGTTTGTCCGCAAGTCGAAACGCCCCAAGACGGAGGAGCAGGAGCCCCCGAAGAAGACGGGAAGAGGCCGGACATCGGCCAAGGAAAAGGCCACCCCGGAGCTGAGCGCCATTTCAGAATCGCCCAAAGCGGCTTCATCAGCAGCCGCGGCGAAGACCACGGCGACAGCTGGGACGAGAAAGTCATCACGGAGGAAACAGAGCGGTGATGCGCCAGAGGAGCCACAGCAGCAACCACCGAAGAGGGCGACGCGCCAGAGCAAGCGATTATCAGGCGAGAACAATGGCGAGGAGCCCAAAGCAAACGGCGCATCGCGCAAGCAAGGCCCCGGCAAAGAGAGACCACGGCGTGTGGCGGTGCAGGAACGGCAAGAGGAGGAAGTGGACGAGGTTGAAGTATCACCGCCATCACCGCTCGCACCCGTCGAATCCACCAAGATTGCGCTCCCGATGAGCGACACGCCAATCATCAATCGCAACAAGGACATGCGCAAGAAGGGCAACTCGAACCGGAGGAGCAGTCTGGGGTCGCGCGGACGGAGGGCGAGCTCGCTGATAGAGAGCGGGCAGTCGGCGATACCGCATCGTGAGGTCGACCCGACAGAATTCTACAAGCACATCGAAGCCGATTTGGTAGAGCCGCGGAGGATGAAGCAGCTGCTGATGTGGTGCGGCGAACGTGCCTTGTCGGCGAAACCGCCCCTGGGCACGAAGAATGCGGATGCAATACTGGGAGGTACGTCAGATGCGACGCGCTGCTGGGGGAGTAGAAGGTATACTGACCATGGTGCAGCTCGTGCGATTCAGGACCAGATACTTAAGGACTTTGCGTCCCGCTCGGAGTTTTCGGACTGGTTCACCAGAGACGACGTCGAGTCCAGGGCAAAAGTGGTGCTGAAGCCGAACCCGCGGAATCTCGAAATGGATGAGAAACTAGCGTCGCTACAAGAAAAGATTGACAGGCGAGTCATTTGGATCAATCTGGTAATGGTATAGAGACTAACCTAATCACAGATTACGGCGAGAGAAAGAGGCGTGGTTGTCAATGAAGAAGCTCCCGCCAGAACAGCCGCCCCTCTTCAGCCCCGACGAACCAGACCAAATAGTCCTTCCCGATTTCGACTTGTTGGACGAGGACGACGGCAAACTACGCGGCGAGCTCGCAGATGAAGCCAACTCGTTCGCGGCCTTACGCTCAAAAACGGAATCGAGGTTGCGAAAGATTCAATCGTCGCTGGAGTTTCAGATCGACCAGTTTGCGGATAACGTCCACAAGCTGGAGCAACGAGTACTGGTAGCCGGCAAGGAAGCGGACAAGGTGCTCAAGCTCAGCGCTTTACGGCTCCGGGAGCGCGAGCAGCGGGAGAGGACGAGCGCCGGGACGAGAGACATGCCCATCATGGAAGTCCTCCGGAGTCTGGGCCAAATACTACCAGAAGGCAACGGAGGGTGAGACCGCTGCCTCTTGCCGATGGGCAGGAAGGCGAGGATTTCTAACGAGGCTGATGATCACGAGACGAGGCGCTTGGTTTCTGGGGCCGTTTCTTGCAGGTCAGGGGCTCCATTTTCTCCCCCCCCCTGTCACTGCCGGCGTCCGGGAGAGGGGAAGGGGGCGGCTTTCTTCTTTTTTTGACTGTATATCTGGGAGTAGGGAGAGAGCATTGGTGCACGTGCGCGGTTGTTGTTGTAGCCGCCTCGGGACAAATTTCAGAACAGCATCAGAACTTTTGGGCAAGCTTGGGAGTTGCGGAGGGGGCGGGCATCTTTGTTTGTTGTCGGTGTACAGCGGGCGGGCGGGCCGGTCGGCCTTGAGAGAGACGCAAACAGGAAAGGCCCGAGAATTGACAGTTGTATTTCCGTGCATTCAAGCATGCGTTTTTCTGGTCTCCGAGGATGTAGTGAGTGGGTGAGTACTGGTTATCCCGCGTTTCTACTACATGTCTATGTGGTCGTGTCATATTACAGAAATGTTGGTACATTTTGTCCTCCGCTCCCTCTCTCTACATGCAACTCTCTCCAGCCGCTCAAGTTCTTGCAACCGACCACGGCCACGGGGACTCCAGGAGAGCCCCGAACGTATCCTCTGATGCTTCCCTTTCACTTGGACTCCTCGAGGGCGGGCATAAAGGCCATGCCGGTGCCCTCCTTGCCGTCGACGCTGCGCAGCTTGACGTGCTCGCGCAGCAGGGCGAGGATCTCGCTGCCGCGCCAGCGCGTCGGCACGGGGCGGTACGCCGGCTTGAAGTTGCCGACGGTCTGGGCCCACTCGCCCTTGGGGGGCGTCTGCCGGACGAAGGCGTCGTCGGCGGCCTGGCCGGCGACGGATGACGCTTCTGCTGTTGATGCTGAGGATGTGGCGGCGGAGGAAGAAGTAGAGGAAGAGGAAGAGGAGGAGAGGGCGGACGAGGACCCGACGGGGGCGTCGGCCGGGTTGGTCGACGTGTAGCCCTCGGAGGGCTCCCGCTGCGTCGCCCAGTAGTATATGTCCCAGTCGTTCTCGTCGAGCAGGAGGTCATATTGCGTGAGCTGCGCGGGGGTCATGGAGGGGAGGTGCTTGGCGGCGAAGGTGGACAGGAGGAGGTCCGACTCGAGGGTGCCTCGCTTGCGCGACTGGTCTGCGAACGCACACAGCGGTTAGTGTCCTATTCTCCTCCCTTGTACCACACCTCTGTGTGTCTTGTTCTCTCTTTTGGAGGAGGCAGCAGCAGCAGGGCAGCAAGAAGAAGAAGGGGAAGAGGGGGGGCAAAACGTACAGACGAGGCGCGCGCGCTTCGTCTCGGCGTCCTCGCCAGTGCGCCGCAGCGGCTCGATGCGGAACTTGGCGCCCTGGAGCTCGCCTACGCCTAGCTCGCCTGTGGACGGGGCGTCAACGGGAGCAGAGGAGGAGCTGTAGAGGCGGAGGGAGGCGGTGACTGCGCGGGTGGGCGCCGTGCTCGTCGAGGAGGCGCATGCGCGGGCGACGCAGCGGCGCGCGACGACGGGGCGGATGGAAAAGGCCATGGCGGTGGATGCGTGTGCGTCCTCTATGTATGTGTTTGCCTCGCTGGATGAATTGCGTTATGTGCTGCTGGGTGTTGTTGGCTGGGGCGCGCGCGCGTTTGCGACGAGTCGACAGAGAGGTCGATGACGGTCGATAGGTTTGCTCGCCGGCCGGCTCGTGAAGGAATGAATGGTTGATGCAATGGATTGATTGGAAAGCGAATAGCCGACTTGGCTAGCCCCCCCGGGGTGGCGGCCACAAGCCAGCCCGCCTGCCGCCCGCCGCCCGCGCCGGCACCGTCCCACGGGCCGAGAACACTTGTGGCATTGGCGGCGGTGCCGAGGATTTTCGCAGGGGGCCCCGCTGAATATTGAGGCACCTGGGCAGGGAGGTTTTGCTGCCTCCAGGCGGCGTACACTGATGACAGGCTCTTAGGGACGTTCCGTGAGACAGCCATGCAGGATCCAGGGACTGCGTGCATTGGCATCTCAGACATGACTTGGGGAACATGAGAACGTCTTTGATATCAGTATATTCCATCTCATCGATCCGCACCCGACGTTGCACTTGCTCAGGGGCAAACCCGAGTAGACTCCACGCTCTTGTATCGATCATCGTGGTAGTATTAAGTCAGAGCCGCAACCGAGCTGCTGTGATGTACTCCAAAAACCAGCCCGGCTCTCTTCCAGTCTTTTTAATTCTTGTGTGATATCCGCCCGGCCCCAATCGTTCATCGTCATGTACAAACGCCAGCATATTCCGAATGCCCTCATGCTGATTGTGCCAGCACCCCTCGTGCCACTTTCGTACACCGCCATCGTCTATCACGCCCCTATAAAGCAGACCTCGCACAACGTCGCCCATCGCCGTAGAGAAGGGCCAAAAAAAAAACCATGGGAAAGAGCCGTCGCGAGTTCAGGCTCTCTCGCCAGCGTCTCGGCAGCCATGGACAGCAGGAGCAGCCGGGGGCGATCTAGATGAGGTGCTTGGAGCGGAAGTAGGCGCGCAGGTACATGATCTGCCAGCCCCAGAGGCCGATGAGCAGCCACGTGGTGCCGATGCCGAACCACTTGACGCGCGTGTTGGTGCTCTCGTTGGTGTCGCGCAGCTTCTGCTCGCGCGTGCGCAGGTAGTCCATCTCGCGCACAATCTCGGCCGTCAGCTCCTCGATCCGGCGCAGGTCCGCCTCGACGGGCTTGAGCTTCTCCGTCGCCTGGATGGCCGACCAGTCCTTGGCGTCGGCGCCAATGTCGATGTCGAGCTCGACGTGGCGGAAGGACGGGTTGGGGCGGCGAGCTGTATTGTTCCTCTGTTAGACTACCGTGATGCAATGGGGGGGATCCCTGTGCAAGGGCGAGAGAGCTTGGAGAAACGTACTGCCAGTCTGAATGTTCTCAAAGCACACGTCAAACGCCGCGTCCGCGTGGGACGTGAAGACAGATCTCGACTCGCCGACGACGTCCTTGGCCTTGGCGTAGTCGTTGCCCAGCGCGTCGCGAATCTGTAGTCCAGCGCCCGGTGGTCAGCCTCACTGTATCTCTGTGTGTCTCTCTGTCCAGCCATTGCGCACACCCGTCCCTCCATGCATGGCGGTGGTGGCGGGAGAAGGGGGGTTCACGCACGTGAATGTTGACCGTCATGCCGTCGCCCTTGTAGCCGTCCACCGTGGCCGTCACCACGACGAGCGTCTCCTGGCCGACAAAGTTGCGGATGCACCGCTCCTTCTTGTGGTTCTCGGCGCCGCCGTGCGACGGCAGCTCGAACTTGAGGGCGCTGGCGGCGCTGGCGAGCAGCAGCAGGCTGCAGAGCCATTGCAGCGGGGAGGAGCGTAGCGGTGCCATGGCCGTGGTCGTTCGTGTGCCTTGCCTCGTCGTCGTCGTCGTCGTCGTCGTCGTCGTCGATGTCGTTGACCGTGGAACAGGGCAAAAAGAGGACACCAGCGGGCTTCGTCTTTCCCTGGAACAGCTCGAAACTGCAAGGTGTCGCGTTGGAACTGCCAGCAAGCAAAGGGGCTGACCAATGATGGCGCGCTGGCAGCCACGCACGGCGCCCAGCTACAGGCCCACCATGGAGACCTCTTCTGCAGGCGGGCTCGCTGTGTTGCCCCTGGCTGGCCGCCGGGATGGGAGTCACGTGTGGGTCCTAGCTGCCAGCCTCGCCAGCCGTCGCGCGCTCTGGGCGAACGTCTTCTGGCGCGAGGCTAGAGCCTTCGAGTCCGATTCAACGTTGCTCCATCATCGCACCTCCAACCGCCCGCAACGCAGCGCACCCAGACAACCCTTGACGGCGACCGCCAAACCACCAGCCGTCAAGATGCCCAAGTGTGAGTTTCTCCTACTCTGCCTCTAGCTCTCTCGTCTCTTCCATGTGGCCAGTTTTGCTAACGTTTTTGTCGCTAGTCTTCTGTAAGCTCCGAATGCCCTCGCGACCGCACTCGAGCAAACGCACGAAACCGAATCCCTCCGTTCCCCCTCGCAAACGCGTACCATCTACCGCGGACGATGCTAACTTCTGATCCCCAGGCGACTACTGCGATGTGTACCTTACGCACGACTCCATGAGCGTGCGCAAGGCTCACAACAGCGGCCGAAACCACATCCGCAACGTCGTCGACTACTACCAGCGTGAGTTAACCCTTCCTTTGGTCCAGCGGGCACGCCCGCGTAACCCCCAGCTGCCTGTGCTTGTGCTGACATCACCGCGACCGCAGAAATCGGCCACGAAAAGGCCCAGTCCGTCATCGACTCCATCACCAACTCGTACGCCGCCGAAGGCCAGGCCCACAACAACCCAATGCTTCCGCAGAACCAGCCCGGCGCCAAGGGCGCTTTCCCTCCTCCCGGCTTCCCCGCGTTCCCCGGAGGCACGTTGTCCCCTTCCCTGCCCGCCAGCCGTAGCGGCGACGAAGACAGTGGCCGTCTTGAGCTAACTGAGCCTGTTGAGGCAGCTCCCGGAGCCCCGCCTCCGTTCCCAGGCATGCCTGGCGCTCCGCCCGGCCAGTTTCCTCCTGGCGTCGCTGGTACGTTTTCAAATCCTCCTTTATCTCCCCCTCGTTCCATTTGCTAACGAGCTGCAGCCCCTCCCGGTGCGCCTGGCCGTGGCATGCCTCCCATGCCCCCCTTCCCCGGTCCTCCGGGCGCCAACGGCATGCCCCCCATGCCCCCCCCCGGCGGTCTTCCTTTCTCGCCTCCCCCCGGTGGCTTCCCGTTCCCGCCTCCTGGTGTCGGTGCCCCGGGCGGCCCTGGCGCGCCGCCCCCCAACTTCCCCGGAATGCCCAACATGGGCCCTCCCCCGGGCCACGGCTTCCCCGGCGGACCCCCGCCCCCCTTCCCTCCGGGACACTCTCCGGCCCCCGGCCAGGACAGACGATAGATTGGGCTAGGGCAAGGCTTCTTTCCGTCTCACGGGTCTCAAGATACCACATGGCTTGGTGCACTTTTTTGGTTTTCTGCAACGGCAGCATGGAAGGCGAAGGCGGCGTTTGGGTTCGGCAAAAAATCAAGTCCGCTGGTCAACGACTGGCGACACATGACGGATGGAGGCATATTGACTGACTGCACGAGGAAGAAGCAGTCACATTGACTTGATATACTGGCTTTTCATTGCTTCTTCGGGTCCATAGACTTGATGGTACAACACGGAACGCTACCTTTTTGACCGTGATATGAGTGCAACGAGCGAGTGGCATGATGAAGACGATCAAGACAATTTGCGAATTCATTGCTGGCCACGGTCCGAGACCCTCGGCAACCCCCGGCACCTAGTGTACATTGCCATGCACCCCTTTTGCGTCTGAGGCCAAAGCAAGAATAGGAAAGGGGCAAAAAAGGACAACATCAACAAGCGTTATATGGCCCCCCTCTAAGGGGCCAAACGAGAACAACTCCATTATGCGTTGCGATCCGTGTCCTCCCAACATCCTATATCATATCACCCCTCCTCCCTGTATCTCATATCACATCATCCGCCCCTTCCCGTGTCATGTAATCGGTCGTCGTAAGTGCACCATAATCATAAAGACGTCGCGTCATGTCAGTCGTAAACACACCCAGGGCCGTCTACCAACCCCTCCCATCCCTTCCAACTCCCAACATTGTTCCATGGTCCAGTTGGAGCATTCAGCCCCTCCTGGTGCTGCTGTGAAAGGAGTTCGAATCTTTTCAACCCCCGACTCGGTCGAGAGCCCGTCGCCACCTCAAACCATGGCGTTGCTGTCGTACTGCCGATTTCTGGCGCTCATCGGCTTGATCACCTCGTCCACTCCGTCCCGGACCTCCTTCGGCCCGCTGATCATTTGGCGTAGCTCCTGCGTTCGCCTCTCCCGCCTTCGCTCGCTGAACAGCCGTGGCAGGTTCTGGATGCCCTCCAGGCGGCTGCCCAGAGAGGAGGCTCTGCGCACTCTCTCCTTGCTGGCGCGGCGTTGCAGACTGCGCGAGCGCCAGAATGGCTGCCTGGGCCTGTCATCGTTCCTGGGCCAGGCCCTGTCGAACATGCTTTCTCTCCGATTGAGTGACTCTCCGCTGGGTCGGCGACGCATTACCCTCAAGTTCCCACTAGGAGTTCGCCGAATTGTGCGTCTATCTGGGCCCTCTGAACTGTCGGCAGGAAAGAATTCGTCGTCCCGGGTAGGGAAGATTGCAAAGGTCCGTTTCATCTTGGCGCTCAGGCTCCTCACTGGCTTGCGGGGTCGATTGTCCACCAGAGGGTATCGGTAGATTTCGTCTTCGTGGTCGTGGCCCTCGTGCTCACAGGAGCCATCACATTCCAAGCCGTCGTCAGTCGGCCACTGTGGGCGCCAGTAAGGATGTAATTTGTCCTCGTCACTCGGCTTGTCGTCCTCCCGCGGATATCCCGGCATTGCGTCTGGGTTCTCCCCGTCCTTGGCAGCTGGCCAACCCCGACGCGTGACGCCAGACAGGGAGAATGTCCTTGTCAGAAATCCGGGGGCCTTTGACGCCGTCGGCGGGTAGTCGATGGAGTGGCGGCGGCGACTGAATGCCCGTCTTACGAGGGAAGGTCGACGCGGAGGCCTACTCTCGGTGGCCTCGTAGAAGTTCCCGAGCTGCACGAGGCGCTCCTCTGCCGGAGTCAGCCCGGACGGAGTGGCAGGGATGAAGTTGATCGCCGGTGGATGTTTCGGCGGCTGCGGCGGTGGTCGAGGATTGCGCAGGGGAGAGTCGACCTCATCCAGAGACTCACGCTGCTGTGGTGGTGTCGCCAGTCTCCCGTCAGGGTTTGTGGCCGTTATCTTCGGCAAGTCCGGTACCTCCTCGGCGGCCGTCTCCTTGTTCGTCGAGTCAGATGCTTCGGAAGGCTTCGCCGAGTGATGCACCACGACAACAGAAGAGTTCTGATGAGGATACATATGAACAGCCAAGGCCTCTACCAGCTCTGGTGCTGTACCCGACGTTTCGAACGATGCAATTGAGAAAGGTGTGTTCCTTGACGAGTACCTTTTGGAGGATGCGCCATCGTCGGGCTTGCCCAGGCTGAGATGGTCATGAGCATCCCCCTTGTCAAAGCGATGGTTGCTTGTTGGCGAGTGAACATCGATCTCCGGCATAAGGCTTGGCTCAAGCTGCGGCTCACGTCCTATCGCCTCCTTGCGGCCAGGATTTGGTGCCTGATGGAGCTTATTCAAGGCCTGTAAGCTCTCCGCGGTCAATGATCCCGTCCGCGAAGCATTGCGACTTGTGGGTGCCGACAGTGAGGATGACCGCGCGGGAATCACAGGTGGATAATCAATAGTCCTCTGATCCAGGGGATCCGATTCTGACACTGGACGGCTTCGACCGCGGCGGGACTGTCGGCCGACCCCAACAGGCACGTCTCTAGCGGGTGATCTGTCCCGCGTAGGCGAGCCTACACTCATCGTGCGTCTCGACCGTCTGCTGGATGTTGACCGAAGCGACGGCTCTTTGCTCGACTTGGGCTTGCTTGACGAGCGTCGGTCCGGAACGACGACGACGGGAATGCCGCCGTTCTTCCACACTTCGCGTCTAGCTCGCCCGCTCGATATGGAATTCGAAGTCAGATTTGAGCCATAGCTCTCAGGCCGTCGGCCACGATCGGGCAATTGCTTGCCATGCGGCGACCTATCTGGCTGCCGCGGGGCAGTCCTTCTCGCGCTTGGCTGCATTGGAGTACCCATCGGCTCTCTCAAAGACGTGCGTTTCTGAACATGCCTCAGCGTTCTCTGGCGCTGAGGGGGAGCGTCGATCAATATGGCCTCGACGATAGTGGATGCATTTGACGGGTTTGACCTGGCCGAGTGCTCCGATGATCGACGTGGGTCAGTCCGAATTGACGTGCCAGAACTGGACAGGGCTTGCGATTCACGCTTTCGTTCAACCTTGCGCGGAGGAGATGGGTTGGTCTCAGCCGTTTCGCGAAGAGACATCTGGCGCACAGCCTTTGTCGCGTTCGTTGGAGTGGCCACGTCATCGTCAATTACATCATTGTGCTCATCGTGGCGTGGACTCCGTGGTGTGCGAGTCTCTTGCTGCCTCTTCTTCACCGTCACCTGTCGTTGCAAGTTGTCATCCCATTCTTGCTCGACATCGCTTTGGGTGCCCCAGTCCCCGTCGAACCTGCCGAATTCTCCCTTCGTGCGCGGAGTGTAGATGTCTGTGGGGGTTGCTTGAAGGTGCTCCAGGGCCATGTCCAGAGTTTGAGGTTGCACGACCTTACTGGGCTGGGCGTCGGCGACAGGGAGGATTGTGCTACGAGAGGTGTTGGCAGAGCCAATCGCCGGCCGCACCGTGGACTTGCCACCTTCGTCGTCGGATGACAGAGGCTCCTCCCTGGCTGTCTTGAAGGACTCGGTCCGCGAATCGGTCGTGCGGGAAAAGCTGCGATCGAGGGCTGAAGGGCGCAGGACGCGAGGTCGCGAGGCCGGGCCGGGAGGAGTAACGTCTGGCGTTGGGGGGCTTCGTTGATCGGGAGGGGTCGCAATGGAGCGCTGTACCGCATTTCGTGGAGGCGTCTGAACGAAGCTGTTTTCGTTGAGGGTCGGGCTGGAGGGCAGTGCAGAGTGGCTACTCGAAGAGTTTCGGGAGTGGTTCGGTGGAGTTGGAGGGAGGTCGGGACCGGAGCCTATCCGCCTCGATTCATGCTTCAAGGTGCGAGGACTCGAGGGTTGCGAGCCGGCTATGTGGACCACAGGGGTAGTATCGATGACGAGATCGTACTCGACGGCGGCCGACCGGGTGTAATCAAGCCCTCCCTGCCGAGGACGCGGGAGGGCCTTGTGCTTTTTGAACCGACGTTGAGCCAAGAGGCCCTCGTCGAGGCCGTATTCAGGCAAGGGCGCCGTCATGATGGGCGCGCTGGGTGCGAGCATGCTCGATGGCAAGGAGAGGCTGATTGTCGTCGTGACGTGTATCACTTGGCGACTGCGATCTGGAAACAGGGGATCCTGTGCATGCTGGAAGAGGACGGGGCGCGGCCGGCGGCTCCATTCAATTGCGCGCAATCAAATATCGCAGGCGATGCGAGGGACCGTCTGTCGGGGAGGCGATGATCAAGGTTTGCGACAAGGTCGAGATGGGGGCTGAGACATTCGTCCGGGCCAGCTTTGCCGTGAAAGCGACTTGTGCAACGCAGCAAAGGCGTGGCGGGTTCGCGATGAGTCTGTGACTCGGTCGAAGCGGGCGAATCGAGCCAGGCCGCCGGGCGGTGGACGGCGAGGAGGGACGGTAGACGGCAGCGAGCGGGAGAGACGAGAGGAAGAGAGAGAGAGAGAGAGAGAGAGACTCGACGGCTTGTCGCAGCAGATGGCTTGCCGCAGGCGCAGGAGTACAGACGGCGGGCTGTGAGAGCAAGCGCCGGGACGTCACAGAGGCAGGCGAGGAACAAAGGGCGGCGAGGAGGGTTTCATAGCGATGGCGACTTGAGACGAGCGCATGGACCGGGAATGATGTCGCGACAGACTCTATCCAGTCGCAGGCGAGGCCGGGGTGGTCGAGAGAGGACACGAGATGGGGAGGGGCGATGAGTGGCAGGTCGGCGGGCGGCGGGCACGCGGGCGGATGGGGGCTTCGTCGGCGGGTTGGATGGAAGAAGCACTGCAATTCAGTTGGCGGCCAAGGCCCAGCATGGATGCGCTCACTCTGGCGCGCTCCGGGCTCTGCAGCATGCAGCAGCAGCAGTCGGGTGTGCGGTCTGCAGGCCAAAGGGGAGGGGGGAGTGGGTGAGAGAAAGTGAGTGATGAGTGGGCGGGTGAGTGGGTGAAGGTGCAAGCAACCAGGCGAAAAAGGTACCTCGCCGTATGCAGGGCAGGGCGCCGGCCAGCGAGGTATCACAGTACCAAACCAGTCTTACCGGGCGGGCAGTCTTACCAGGCTTTGCCAGTGCCTAGGCCGGGAACTGCATTATTAGGGGGCAGGTGCCATGCAGCGGGAGGTTGCTTTCCTGCCCTCCTGCGTCTGCTTGACGTGATTGGGGGTCTGACGCAACCGTCACCGGAAGGAAGGCACGGCGGAGCGGGCCTGCCTCCACTAGTCCGTCACAGCCAAGCAGCAAGTACACGCCCGTATCGAAGACAAAGCAGAACCCCTCACCAACAGCGTCTCGAAGCTGCTCGGCGTTTCTTCTTCGAACCTTCTCTCTCCATACACATTGCAAAGCCGCCACAGCAAACACGCCCCCTCTTTTCCCCTGGCAGCGGCGAGCAAGACACAAAAAAAAAGGACCATCAAAGCGTGGAGGCGTTGCGCCGCATCCCAACGACACCAGCCAAACTGGGGCGTCTCCAGGGCAAGGTTTGCGCCGGTGGCGGGACGGGACGAGCGCAAGGCGCCCCCAAGGCCAACGGTTTGCGGTCCAGCGGGCTTGGAAGCTGAAGCCGGCACAATGGCCCCGAAATTTGGTGGCATTTGCCCCCATCCATCTGCCATCCATCCATCCATCCATGCGTCCACGGATCCCCACGATGGGCGGCGATGTTGGTGGACGTTGGTGGACGTTGCTCTGGCGCTACGAACGGACGAAGAAGGTACTGTATTGTACAGTACCAAGTAAGTAACCTCAAAAGGCAGCAAGAACACACCATATGTCATGCCCACCTGCAAAGCCATGGCCAACCAACCCACCTGGCCGACAACATCGTATAGGTATGGACATGTAATCTCGTCCATCTCCAAGAGAGGGCGCAAACTCCACGGCGACATCCTGCGCCGCTGAGTGATGGCGCTGCGTTGGGGGGCCAAGCGGCCAAGCCACGCACCCATTCATGCTCCGTCTATCGCGATGCTCCGCGCCGTCGCCGTTGTCCGAAGGCACGACGTCGTGCGCGCCAACAGACATGCCTTCTCTTTCCTTCTCTTCTAACAAAGAAGAACCGGCCAGCCTCCTGTACGGTGACGAACCCGCAGAAGCAACCCTCCCCCAACGAGGGCCACGCCTTTGCAACGTCTCCTTTCCCCTCCACCCCTCCTTTCCATCTTCCCAACGCGCTCGCTCGTCGGCGGCCCCCTCCTTTACGATGCATTGCATGCGCATCTGTCTGCAAACCAGTCACGTTGCCAGGATGGCACGGGGCCGAACTGCTCTGCCCACCCACCAGACGGGCCTTTGGCGGGCATCTGGGCGAGGCGAATCACAGCGCGAGTGCCGATTATGCGTCCCTCTCTGCCACGCGCCCGGGCCCATTGGCCGGGACTTGGAGCTCGCATATCGAGGGGGCTGGGGTCCTGGCCGCTTCACTGGAGCCGGCATCTGCCGTTTCGCCTCTCGACTGCAGGCCTATTTGCTTCGTGCCCCCAGCACCGTTTCGGCGACGTCGTACCCGTACATATACATACCAAGCGCATTGTGCGGCGCATGCTCCCGAGTCCTGGCGGCGTGCCGCCTGCCGTCGCCCGCCATTGGCCTCCGGGATACGTCGCAGCTGCGCCGTCTTCTCACGCGGCGAGCTGAGCCGCCCACGGAGAAGGGCCTATCCTACTCCGATGCTGCAATTTGGCAAGGACTCCGGGCCGAAACGGCCAAGCGATCCCAAACGGCCGGTCCTGGCTCGCTACACTGTTGACTTAAAGCGCCGTAATACTTTCTCGGTCAGGTGACGTGTCCCACAAACTACATCGTGGGCTGATACTTTGTATGACCTCACACAACTGGCAGAGGATGTCAACGTAACGCGGCGGGCGCAACTACCTGTAAGGCAGATCTAGCTATTACGGGATAGGATAGGCTCCATTGAGCATGGTAGAAGTTGCTGCTAGGGCGATGAGGGCGAGAAGCCGCCGCGGCTCACGCTGTCAACCGATGGCCCGGACGTGTGCCGTTTCACCACTGCAAGTTCAACATTTCCACCCTTTGTGCCGACAGGAACGTGAGCCGTGAAATATCTGTCACCACATGGTATCAATCTTATACTTCATCGTCCTTGCTCTGCGAATAGTCGAGTCGCACGTGGGGTGACGGACGTCAACCCGCGCGGCCAGCGCGACAGGCCTTTTGGCCAGGCCCATCCATGACATGCAGCACATCATCAGCCGCAGCCTCGACCGCGAGATACGAGTTCCCTTGCATCTCGACGAGGCAGAAACTTGTATTGCCAGACCGCGCGCCGCGCGCCTTCATCACACACGGGCCAGTGAACCCGCGATGAACATCGGAAGGCCGGCAGATGGACCTGCCAAGCTGGAGTAAGCCGGAGGACAGACGTGCCGAAGAGCACGGGCGGCTCTGCGATCTCGACCGGGATGCCTCAGCCTTTACGAAAAAGCCGCTTCGTAAAACTGCCTCTTTCGTGCACGGGTTGTGCCGTTCCAGCCAGTCTCCTTGCCGCTAGGCCAGCCACAACCGCCATTTCGTTGCCAAACACGAGGACTATCAAGCTCTCTGCCTTGGCCACGTTTCTCAGTCTCGCATGCTCCCGATGGCTTGCCGTGCTTGATTCGGAAGGAAACTAGTATGCATCGCCCGTGCGGTGAGCTATAAGAACCCCTAAATCCTCGCCGTCTGATGCTCAAGGGTTTCTTTTGTGAGTCGTGAGTTGTGAGCTGAAAGGTGCACCTTTGGACCAGCTGGAACAGTCTTCCTGCGCTTCGTGCTCCCTCACAAGTCAGCGACACGTTCGCGACATCCAGTGACCCTCAGAAGAATGATTCGCCTCCTTCTCTTAGCTGTCTTGTGCACGGGCACTCTCGCCCACGACCACTGCGGCGGCCCGACAACGACCGCACCTCCGCAATACACCGTCCCCTGCGTCGTCGGCAACAACAAGCCCTGCCCCAAGTCGTGGACCTGCACTCCCACCGAGACGTGCCATCCGCATCACCGCTGTGGGGGCCTGTGCATCAACCCGCCTCCGACCTTGCCGCCCGTCATCCCCTGCACCGTCGGCAACAACGCGCCGTGCCCGTCCGGGAGCACCTGCACGCCGACCATGTACTCGACGCCGGGCCAGCCCGTCGGCGGGCAGTGCATCGCGACGCCGACCACGTCGCCGACCGCGCCGCCGTCCCTGACCCCCTGCACCATGGGCAACAACGCGCCGTGCTCGGGCGGGAGCACGTGCACGCCGACGATGGTCTGCACGAGCGGCAAGCCGTGCGGCGGCGCGTGCGTCTCGTTTCCCACGCCGCCGCCCCTGACCCCGTGCACTATGGGGAACAACGCGCCGTGCTCGACGGGGAGCACTTGCACGCCTACGATGGTGTGTACCCCGGGGACGCCGTGCGGAGGAGCGTGTATAGCGACGGCTACGTAGAGTGCCTCTTTGCGGGGGGGTCTTGGACGGCAGGGCGGTGCTGGATACTCTTGCGGTTGCCAGGATGCGGTGATGTGAAATGATTTACGAAGTCAGCTTGCAGCTACGAGAAAAAGATGTTTTTTTTGATGAGCCGAGTGAGAGAACTTGAAGTAAACGCTCGACATCCTGGTCCAGAGACATTGACGGCTCTGCCTCCCTGGAGGAACCTAACGTTCAACATAAGCCAGAACCAATGTGCACAAGTGACATTTCGCACCGCACCCGTTTCCTGGGGGAATGGGCCTGTAGCGCGACGGATCTCGCCGCCATATTCATTGAGTCGCTTACAGTCGCGGCAGTTGCCTTCAGTGATGAAGAGCGGTGACGATAAGACGTGGCTATTCTGGGGTGGGATAAGCTTAAGCAACGACTAATTAGGGCGGAAGCTGAAACAGGCCTTCTAGCTTGCTTGCGGGATGCCGAGCAGCTGTCTTTACGCATTCTCCCCATTGCCAACCTCCCGCGACTGAAAGTCGTCACAGCCTCACGGGAGTCTCGTCGGCGGAAAAATCCGAACGCTTCTCTCTCTCTCTCTCTCTCTCTCTCTCTCTCTCTCTCTCTCTCTCTCTCTCTCTCTCTCTCTCTCTCTCTCTCTCTCTCTCGGCGCCTCCTGGCTGGCAGCCGAGGAGTCTCGAGTACATTGATCACTGATGACAGCTGGGGTGTCTCCCCACTTGCAGATCCCGTCAACTCCTCCTGCATCGAGACGTTGCCGCTAGCGACCTGACTATTCGGGAGGGACACGCTGCGCATCGCCGCGGGGCCGCGTTTCAGTCTGACGACAGCGCGCGTGACTGGGCCTGGGCAAAGGGCAGGGCAGGGCAGGGGAGATCGGATGAAGAAAGTACCCTCTTCCCTGCGGTCATTATGCGACGACACTGCGTTTTCGGTTAAGCGTGGCGGTGCACACAGTTGGACAGCACGGCAGGGTCACTTACACGAGAGGTGCTGGGGCGCGGCTCAAGCTGCGGCGGCGAAGCAAGTTGCTCGGACGACAACAACAGGGAGTCAAACGGCACTGGGAGACGTCAATCCTCCACCATGGAATGAGTATGTTCTTGCCCCATATGACGATAAGAGAGGCGTTTATTAAGGGTCGTCGGTCCCCGTCACCGCGGGCACCACGCCGCAGCCGGCGAACTGCGCCGTCGCGCCCCGACTCCCACGCGGGAACGCACATTCCCGTAATTACCATTATCATTGTTTCCTTGCACGGGGAGTAGTTTATGCTGTGGGCTACGCCGCCGGGGCCTGGAGAGGGGTAAAAAAAGTCACGCTGTGCCACACACACATCCGTAACACTGAATTCCAAACCCGATGGATCCCCTCCACCCACAATCGCGAAGTTTATGCTTCACGACACGGCCCCCCGTCGCGAGGGCACGCAAAACGCGCCGCCCCAAAACGGCGAATCAGGAGACTCGACCCTGAGAAGCATGAGACGGGGCCTGTCAAGCGGCCCAATGCGTGATGCGGAGCCGCGCGCCCGCCCTTTTTTTGCCTCTGCCTCGGCATCAGGTATCCGGTATCCGATATCCCAGCCCACTCGCCCCCTTTGGCTCGCGTTCCGGAGAGGCAGGAGACAAAGAGGGGGGGGGGGAAGCTAGAGTTGTCGCGAATGGCCTCACCTCGCACAAACCGCCGGGCCACATCGGGCCTTGCTGATTCGTCGCGGCAAAGGTGCTCCAGCGTGCGACCTTTGCCGCCTGCGGACGCGAGACGTGGGCCGACCGTGGCATGTCCCCAGCGACGTCGACCGACCCGACCGACCGGCCCGGGTCACCGGCCGCGATGCTTTTCGCGAGAACGGGGGGAGGGTTATTGTTGGCCGAGGTGTGCCCTCGCGGTGTCATGCTGCTTCACCGGAAGCATCTTGCTCGCGAGCGGCGGCGACGGCGACGAGCCGGGCCAAAAATAGAAACTTGGTTCTCGTACTCGAGGGTTTTGGGCCTGGGAGTTGAGAGGGGGCACGTCGAGCAGAGACTCTCCGGTTCGGGGTACACGGCCTCCTCCTCCTCGTTCACGCAGCCTGCGCTGAGGCTTATCGTCGAGAGATGCCGACTTCGCTCGTATAAGTCAGCCCACGTCTCGAGAGACTGCCGTTGGAGATTCTTAAAAAATTGCCGTCGCCCCTCCATCTAGACCCCGTAGAAGGCTCTGACTATCTCCTCTGGCATTCGCTATCGAAACTATACCTTCGCTTTGCTCTCTTGATATACCTGACTCAAACTAGGTATTTGGACCGCACACTCGCTTGGTCACAATGAAGTCTGCGCTTGCCATCGTTGCCCTTGCGGGCGTCGTCGCCGCGGGCGGCAAGTACCCGGGCATGCCTGAGTGCTATGTAAGTCTCATGACCATGAGCCCTCGGGCAGCCTACCCTTGGGGTAATCGACTGGTTCTGACTCGCTTTGCGCTTGCGCTTGCAATGTAGTGGCCTTGCCTGGATGACGCTATTCCTAAGACTGGCTGCGGGAGCTGGGACAACGTCGACTGCTTTTGCACGGACGCCATGCTTGCGAAATGGGGTGGGCTCACCTTGGAGTGCAAGATGGACAAGTGCTCCTCGGTTGATGGCGCCTGGGACCTGATTTCAAAGGAGGAAGATGGAAGATGTGCCGCGTACTGGGCGAGCACTTCCGCCGCCGGTAAACCAACAACCACACGGACGGCCACGTCCACGGCTACGGTCCCGGCCACGTCCACGGCCAGCACGACCGAGACCAGCAGCACCCGCCGTGTCACCACGACCACGAGCTGGACCAACACGACGACCTACAACCCGGGCACGTCGACGGAGACGGTCCTCACCACCATCACCATCACCTCCTGCTCCGGAGGGCCCTGCACCTCGGTGGTGACGACGACGCGCGCGCCCCCGGCCCCGACGACGTGCACCGAGTGCACCGACGCGACCATCACGGAGACGGAGCCCTGCACCGAGGAGCCCACCCCGTGCCCCGAGTGCTCCGGCTCGACCGTCACGGAGACGGAGCCCTGCACCGAGTGCACCGAGGAGCCCACCCCCGTGCCCGTGGCGCCGACGTGCACCACCTGCACCGAGCAGCCCGCCAACCCCACGGTCGCTCCCGTGGCTCCCACTCCTACCTCTGGCTTCGTGACGACTGTTGCTCCCGGCGGTAACGGCGGCAACAACGGAGGCAACGTGCCCGGAGGAAACGGCGGCAACGGCGGCGCCAACACGCCAACCACGGCGGCGGGCGGCAACCCCCCGGTCGTCACTGCCGGAGCCAACGCCGGCCCCGGCGCCGCCGGTGCGCTCGCGGCCGTCATCATCGCCGCCATGGCTCTTTAAGCCGGGACGGGACGGGACGTTGGATGTTTACGGGATGGGAAATGATTATGCACGGTCGGCTGAAACTACGAAGTACAGTGGCTTATTTTGGCTGGAGGTCAAGATGGCTTAATGAGATGGGGGCAGCGGCAAGGATTGAAATGGGCCGTCAACAAATAGTAAAATTGAATCAAATTCACACAGATATGTTAACATGCCAACGAAGGTTGCTACAGCCATGCGGTGAAACTGGTCAAGGAGTAAACTTTGCTCCATGGAGCACGTTGTGCGTAGATACCCAGTGGCCCACTGCTGTAAGTACTCCTATAGTAGCCAGCGATTTGCGCCCCAATGGCCTGCGCGTTTCGGTCCCCTGGCTTTCATGGCCTAGGGGGTCCCTGTTGGTGTTGGTGGGCTGGCCTGAACCCTCGCGCGATGGAACCACATGTAAATTACCTACCTGTAGTAAAAGGGACGAGCTCGCACGTAAACCGAGACCTTGGACCATCTTCTCTTGGTTCTCTGCCTTTTCAACTTGCGTTGTCTCAAACAGCGAAACCATGGGGAAGCATCGGGGCTGGTGGCGCGGGTTTTACCTGCCCCTCGATGCTACTGTACTGTGCCTCTGCCATGGGCGAGCATCGCTGTGAATGGACCAGGAAGTCGTATGGCCGCGCCAAGTTCCGCCCTCTCCCTCCCCCCCTCAGCGAGCGACCGAGCTGCCTATTCCGTGCCTCTGCGGCGGGCGGCTCTGCGCGTCGTGCCAACTGATCGCCCCGACCGCACGGCCTGCATGACCTCATGGTGACAGGCCGCGCCCCCGACTCCGAACCCCCAGGGGGCCCAGCCAAGCGATCGACCGGGGTAACAACACCTCGGCGTGCCTACCAAAGGTGCGCGTCGGTGGCCCCGTTTTGCGTGTTGCCCGGCTGCCAGAAGCAGTTTAAGCATATCCCCATCCGCGTGGGCGATCCGACCCCGAATCAAGCATCTGCCGTGTTGTCTTCCCCCTCGTCCAACTCGTATCGCGGTGCCCTGCTTCGTCCGTTCGTGTGACTGGCTCGTGGCCGTTGTCGCCGGGGGGAGAGGCCCAGCGGGATGAAACCGAATTGGATGCCTGCTGGGAAGATTCGCGGTTCGGTTCGGCGGGCGAATCTGCGCTGCTGAGCTGATGGCTGATGGGGTAAGAAACAGAAGTGCGTAGCAATTGGAGCCCGGGGCGCATCATTGGATCGTCAGTACATACGTCTTACGCAACCTCGGGTAGGTTGGCGCTCGTCCAACCGGCAGTTGGGTACTTTGGTCTCTGCACTGGTGCTTCGTCACTCTCGGGCTCCCGGCCCATTTGACGACGTTGATCCATGCCCTGCCATGCCATGCTGCTTCGCCCCGTGGCACTCACTAATCAAGCTGGAAACGGCAGGCGCGGCTGCCCGCCTCTGTGTCACTCCACAGGAAGGAGGTTCCTATGGAGGTTGCGACGCTCGACGATTAAATCCCACCCACACCTTTATATATCCTATCCTTTCCTCCCCCACCGTGGCCAGTCTTCACCTTGTTTGCCCCTGCGCGCTTCACCTTGACGCATTGGCATCTTGCCTATATATCTCTCTCCTGATCGAAGCTCGCAGTTCCATTTCCCTCTCTGCCGCGTCGCACCTCGTGCTTCAAGTCGGTACATCATCTCGCGTCCCCGCCAGCAAGCGCAACACCGCACATTACAAGCATCGCGACCTCGTACATCATACGCAACCATCCATCCATCATGAAGTCCTCGGTCCTCCTCACCGGCAGCTTCGCCGCCGCCGCCGTCGCCCAGAGCGGCATCTTCAGCATCCCCGAAGGCACCAACCTCGGCACCCCGATCATCATCTCCACGCCGCTGACCAACCCGCTCCGCACCTCGACGGCCAGCACCAGCGACACGGGCCACGCCTCCATCCCCGAGGGCACCGGCTCCCCCACCGTCTCCATCCCGGACGGCACAATGTCCATCCCCGAGGGCACCAGCAAGGGCACCATCTCGCAGTCGCAGGCGAGCTCGACCCCGACGGCCACCGGCTCGGCGTCCACCACCGGCGGCTCCACGCTCGTGCCTACCACTTCCGGCCCGTCGGGCACCGGCACCGGCTCGCCGACGACGACGGGCGGTCAGACGACGAGCGCGTCCACCGCCGGTGCGGTCGCCAACCAGGCCGCCGGCGCCGTGGCCGCCGCTGGCTTCTTCGCTGCTCTGCTCGTCTAAGCATCGCTCTAGCGTCACTGCATGCGCGCTCACTCACGGAAGAGTCAACCAAGTTTGGACGAATGGGATGGCAGATCCCCATGATGTAACTGACGTAATGAGGATATCGTTGATCCATGTACACAAACCAAAGACGCCAAATCTACCCCGTATATAGTATCACGAGAAAAAAGACCCGATACCCACGTTTGCTTTCTAATACCTTGCGCCGAGTGATACCCTTTCGAATAAATTAACGGCAGTTATGCCCTGCCTTCCCAGAGCTTCGCATCACACACCCAGAGCTGGGGCGCCTCGCCTGCCCCGTCGTAGTTGTAGCTCAGGTAGAGCGCATAGCGAAACAAGGCCTGCCGCAGCGCATCCGGCGTGATGTCCTCGCGGCCCAGGATCTTGCCCAAGTTGCACGCGCTCATCTCGCACTCCTCGCCGTCCGTCACGCTCCCTTCAGAGCCATAGACGGACTCTCCTTCACTGCTCTCTGAGTCTTCCCAAGCCCCGCCGGTCAACTGCGGCGACGAGCCGGCCAGTGAGTGCGTCCGCTGCTGCTCCCACGGCCGGCCGCTGACGGCAAGGTACACGGCGAGCAGGAAGCTCCTGGGCACGGGCAGGTCGGCGGGGACGCAGCACCGCGGGGACCAGATGGAGCGGGGCCGGCGCGTGAGGTCGGACGCCGCGGCGTCGAGGGTCGCGAGCGCGACGGCCGGGTCGATGAAGGAGGCGAGGGTGCGGAACATGGCGGGCTGGCGGGCGAGGACGGCGTTGAAGCGCCGGGAGGCGAGGCGGGCGTTTTTGCGCGAGGTGGGCGGCAGGTTGGCGAGGATTTCGTGGAGGAGCTCGGGCGGCAGTGAGTCCATGGTTGACTATTGGGTTGTGATGCAGGTAGAATCCCGCTGTGGTGGTGGTGGTGGTGGTGACTGGTGAGGCGGGTTTCCGCGTGTAAGTGAAATCGATGCCCAATGGCGGTGGGAGCGATTGCGGTGTCGAGGAGCACTTGGGGGATGGATGCAAGCAGCAAGGAAGCAGTAAAGATGCCCAAGAAGATGAGACCAGAGAGAAGAAAATCAGGTAGTATTACAGGGTGGACGGCATGGTAATCCCGCGCGCGATGAGAAGCCGAACCGTGATGATCGTGGCTTGGCCGTCAAGGTTCACCCGCCCACATTATACATACTAACACAAACACCAGGCCGTCCGAGTCCGAGAAAGTCGAGTCCCCGCGGAGTCACCCGTCCATGGGCCTCATACAGGAATAGCCGAGCCGAGCAGGGCTTATGGCGCTACGTACGTACAAGTACGTAGCACCACACCCCGTTGCTGGCCTCTTCTGAGGTATTCCCTGGGGAGGGGTGCGATGCGCCGCCGCTTTCGCTTGCTCGGGGACCCAGTCGCCGCCTGACGTGAGACTGGCGGCGGCGTGGGGAATCGGGATGAGCGCCTCCCGGGGGCCATTGGCAGGTTCGGTGGCCAGCCAGGGCATGAGGGCGGGCGCTGGGGCTGGAATGGCTTGGCTTGGCTGATAGGGCTGACAGGTGGGGATGGGCGGCGACTGCTGATTTGGATTCAGGGTCCCGACCGGACTCGACTCTCTCGTGGCTGCTCCCCATTGTCCACCAAGGTGTCGTCGCCTCTCAACGAGCGGCAATGTGTGCCGAGTGACTCGTGTGTTTGCGGCAGTCGTGTCTATTGTTTGTCAATGGGCGAAAGCCTCACATCGCGAGTCGTGTGCGCGTGCCGAAACCCAGCATCAACCAACGACACCCTCCGTCTCCTCCTTCCACCACCGCTGCATCGTCTCTATCCTCTCGGTCCGCACCCTCGCCAGCCTGCGCCCCTCATCCGTCTTCATCATGCCCTCCAGCCGCAGCAGCTTCTCGTCAAAGTGCTCCATCGTGTCGCTCAGCCCCCTGCCCTTGGCGCCGCCAAACGCAAACGTCCGGCCGATGCCCACGGCGCCGATGGCGTCGAGCCGGTCCGCGTCCTGCACGACCGCCAGCTCCGGGTGCGCGGCGATGAGCTCCACCACGCGCGCCGGGTCTTTCACCTCGCTCGAGTAGCTGACGCCCAGGCAGATGGTCTGCACGCGCTCGGCGAGCGCCGCGTCGGCGCCCATGGACCGCAGCACGTCGTGCACGAGCCGCGTGCCGTCCTCGCCCGGCTTGAGGTACTTCTTGTCGCCGACGTCGTGCAGCAGGGCGGCGAGCGTGACGACGCGCCGCGAGGTCGAGGGCGTGAGGGCCTGGATGTGCTGCGCGAGGGCGAGCACGCGCTGGATGTGCGTGAAGTCGTGCGACCCGTCGTAGTGCGACATGTACTCGCGCACGTACTCGGTCACCTGGTCGATGAGGCCGTCCTCGACGGCGGGTGTTTCGGCGGCCATTGTGACGTTGTCTGAGGGGAGCCTCCGTGGGTAAGTAGTGGTGAGTTTTGTTCGCGGAGGGTGATGCTGCTCAACGGGGTGCCTTTCAGTCGACGCAACGCCAGGCTGCAGAAAGTCGAAACCCCGATGAGATGGACGCCTGTGCCCGAGCCGATTTCTAATCAGAAGCGCGTCGTTTCGTAATTTGGCAGGCGTAGACCCACCGTCCGCTGCGCTGAGGGCGGAGAATGCCGACGCCGTTCGTGATGAGACGCGGGCGAACGTGTTTCGCGCAAGAGCACCGACGGGTGTTCACGTGACAGGGTGCCACGGACTGTGGGATGCAAGACTGCGAAGCGACCGCGAATCCATGCCATCTCACGATTCCGATGTGTAGGTCCATATGCCCCCAGTTCGTCAGGATATATGTAGCGTTCGTGCACCATGGTAATAGGTGACAGAGCGTCAGGGACCCAGGCGGCAGCGGTAGACACTATACATTCCGGCCCGACGATACCCTCACAATATCTCACAGCGCGACTCCATCGTGACTTTGTCACAGCTATAGTCACTCGATTCCCGTTCACGAAAAGAGGCACAGGAGCCAAGCGGACCTTGCTTCAGGCGTTAACGTACTATTCCCGCGCTCGGTTTCGCACTCGCTACGACGGCTTTGTGGGCCTCGCCATCGGGGTCTCTTTGCTGTCCGAGAGCTAGCGATCGACGGGGTTCCACCATCACGAACTCCGGCATAATCATTTCTTGCAAGTCTCATTGCCTGTGTCCTCATTTTGATTCCATATCCACGGCGCTCACTTACTCGTAATCATGGCCTTCACCTTGTACGACGGCACCATCGCGACGGCCAAGGCCGCCCTGACGACTCTGTCCCACATCATCGACGAAGCGCAGAAGCAGCCAAACTCGGAGACCTTCCCCCAGGCGCGACTATGCGAGGACATGAAGCCCCTCGTCTTCCAGGTCCACACGGCGACAAACCTCGCCGCCAAGATGGTCGCGCGGCTGTCCGGACAGGAGCCCCAGGACCTGAATGACGACCTGGTCTCGTACGACGACATGCGCGCGCGCATCACCGAGGTCTTGAACGCCCTAGCCAGCGCCGACAAGGACCTCGTCAACAAGCTCGGCGAGGAGTCTGCGCCGACGGTCATGGGGCCTGGCAGGACATTGGACATACCCGGCAAGGCGTTTGCCATGGGGGCGGCGATGCCCAACATCTTCTTCCATGTCTCAATGGCCTATGCGATTTTGAGGAAAGAGGGGGTGCCGCTGGGGAAAAAGGACTTTATCATGAGCTTCGTGGGGGAGCACGTCATGAAGGCGGCTCAGTAGGCGCGAGCACTTGAGCACCTAAAGCCTGGCCGGCGACCTGAAAACGGGCAAAAGTATAGCTCAAGCTGCGGTACTCCGAGGGAGTTATGACACGCTGGTCACCTCATCCATAGAGAGAACCGGATTCGATCGCGTTGCTACGACCATCCATCTGTAGTATTCTGGTTTACCATGTCAGTTGGTGGGCCGCGGACTGCATACTCAAGACCGCCATCACTCCGGCAGCTAACATGCATAAAGCTGTATTTCGCTTCAAGCCGGCCTATCGAGCCAATCCATGCAGAATTCCTTCCTGTGAAGCATGAGCACATCTGTATAAGAGACTAGAAAACCGAAGCCTCTTTGATCGCCCATCTGGCTTTGTACGTGACCAGGGCGTGCCACGAGGTCCAATGGCCTCGTCACAGACAGCAATGGTCAGGGCCTGATTCCAGACATAGAAGAGACCCAACAAGCCGACATCCAGGCGCGCGGGATTTGGAAAAGCAACGCAAATGGTGGACCTGGCCCTCCATAATGCATTTACACGGCAAGAGGCGCATCAATATCGGTCGTGTGCCCACAAGCCCGCGGAGAACACATCGCCGGTCATCAACGCGGCTTCCTCGTTACTGCCTACACTGAACCAGACTCATCACATATCATGTGCCTCGCATCGAATGCGACCTCCCGTTCCAAGGATAGTCGACCACTCAGCTGCGGCGAGTCTTGCCGGGCGAAAGAGGAACGATGCCGCTCATCGACGCCGCCCGCATATGTGGACGCACGACCTCTCTGGGATGGAAAGAGAAAGAGGGCAAACCGACGCGCACACACGAGGGGGATGCTACCGTATGACCGCTCGTGCATACCCGCCGGGGCTAATGGTTCTCGGTGTCATGCATGCGGAGGAACCACGCTACGGCTGGGGGGAGAGGGCATTTCGTGGACGGCTTTGCTGGGAGTGGCGGATAATGCCGCATGGTGGTGGTGTGGTCGACCGGGTCAGCTCAGAGGCCACGCGGACGGGCCGCGGATGGCGGCGGGAGCATCCAGGCCAGAACATCGAGGGAACTTAAAGAGTCGGCGCTGGTGATGAACGGTGTGCAGCTCGATGCTGCTGTTTGCCCGGGGACGGTACAGAGTCCAGACTGTAGAGCTCGCGACTTACACGGACGGAACGCAAGAGTCAAGAGTTACGAGAGCAACGCGCCCGAGAGATCAAGTCGCGATACGAACTGGAAACCCCCCTGTCCTGGGAATTCGTGTACGTACACGGCTTTCATGTTGAGCTCCGATTCGGCAAAGGGTGGTGCGGTCACGCAAGTGTTTTGCAGGAGCCGGAAGACCCAGGCTTCGATGCTGCTTTACGAGGAAAGGCGGGTGAGGTTGAGACTTGTGCAGGGGGAGTTGTGCAGCGAATATGCGTATTCGGATGCTTAGTCATTCGCGCAGTGTTGTGAAATTTTGTGGGGTCGGCGAGGTCAACCTCGAAACTTTCAGCCTCGCGCCAAACCACCACGACAGCTTCTCCATCACGCCCAAAGACTCCAACCCGCGAACCCGATTCACGAACTGCGCAGACGCCGACCCGCCACTGCACGTCCCCCCGACAAGCGGTTACGCATCGCGACGCGCCACGCAGTAGAAACCCTCAACCGCCAACGGACAAGATGAGCTTCGTCCCCGTCAACCCGCGGCCGATGCTGCAGGACCTCGTCGACAAGCACGTCTCGGTGCGGCTCAAGTGGGGGCAGACGGAGTACCAGGGCGTGCTCAAGGCCATCGACAGCTACATGAACCTGCAGCTGTCGGGCACGCGCGAGGTCATTGACAACAAGGAGACGGGCGTGCTGGGCCAGGTGCTCATCCGGTAGGACATGGCTCCCTGGGCGATGGGCGCGCTTGACTTTTGATACTGACGCGGGATCGTTTGCAGGTGCAACAACGTCTTGTGGATTCGGGGCGTCGACGGCACGGAGATAAGCGACGCTGAAATGAAGGATTAGGCGGATCGGACCGGCACATCGACGATTTGCGCGGGTCGAGACGAGCGAGCCGTCTAGAGTGCGAGGGGGTCGTGCCCGCGACCGGCATTGCGCCTCAAGGCAGCAAGAGTCGCGTGCTACGTCCGCTGCTCAACCGACAGACAAGACGGTGGTTCAAGGAGGACACTTGACAATGTCCACAAAGCCGGCTCTGCAGCAGCGATGCCGCCCCAAGCCTGCAGGTTGTCGCCGAGGATGGTTTCGCCTCGATCTTTGCGACTTTTTTATCTACTTTTGGCTTAGAACGGGGCATCTAGACCGGTGCCCCTGGCATCGACTTATTGGGAGTTATGGGCTTCGTATCAGAGGCGACGCGAGCTGGTGTGGTTCTGGGACGAGGACGCCGAGATGGGCTGCTGCGAGAAGATTTGTTGTTCGGGTGTCAGATACACAGCCTGCTAGATGGAGTCTCGCCGACTGCGGCAACAACAATAACGATTCACGCCATGGTATTCCTTTGGTGAGTGTGCACATGCGTCGTCGTGCGAGTGAGTGGAAGGCGGGGTTGGTTCTGGGAGCTCTCGCATGGCGAGGCACGACAAGGGAGGCAGCAGAACGGTCAAGTGTCTCGGAACTAATGTCGCTGCGGCGGTGTCTGTGCTCCATCGGCCTTGCCGACTGCTGGAGACTTGACCAGAAGGTCTTGTCCGTGGCATGGGACAAGCAGGATGCTTGCGTGTGCAACGCATGACATGCGCCTTTGTGCAGCCTGCCTACGTTCATTATACGGGCCAGACAGAGGACACCGGCACATGGACTGGCTAAAGCAGCGACGCTTTCTTGCTCGGTCTTTCCCCTCCAGCTGTCTCTTCCCTGTCTTGCCTTGTCGCTCTCTTGATGCCGACGCCCGCCCAAGTGTGCAGCGTGCCCACCACGCCCATGCATCGCAGAAGCCTCTCTCCTCTCCCCCATCGGCCAACAACATCTCGACTCACGGCGCGCCCCATTGGCGGCGCCCGGACAGGGCCCTGCAGTGTGACGCCAGTGGGGGCCCAATCAGGCGGCACAGGTAGACGCCGGCAGCGCGTCCACGGGAGCCCTCAAGGCAGTGGCCCCCCCCCGGGCGAGTGCCGCTACTGGCCCGCGCGGGCGTGCACTGCAGGCCGCTAACGCGCAGCGCCGCGCAGCCATTGCTGTGCTTAAGCGCCCGACCCCTCCCCTCCCCTCCCGGGTGTCCCTCCACTCCCGTCCCAGCTGCCCTGTCCCACCTCGTCCCCCCAACCACACATCGCGACTCACGGCCGACGACGTCCTGGCGATGCGATGGGCGGCGGCCCCCCCGCCCGGGACTCGATGCACCACCACACCCGGCCTCGTTTCTGGGAAGGCGTTCGTTCACTTGTGCAGTAGTAGCAGCGGTGGCGGGCACACGCACTCGACGGGGAGGGGTGTGCGCAATCCGAGCTGCGAGCGGATCGGCTCATGGACAAGCTGAGCAGGGACAGCGGACCAGTGACCAATGCCCTCCTCCTCTTCTTCCCTCATGCCGCGAGGATCTGGGTTCGCCTTAGCGGGCGAGTGAGCGGAGGTAGTAGTAGTATAACAACACGACCAACAGCCCTTCCTTCTCTTCTTCTCTTCTTCTTCTTTTCCCTTCTTCTTCAGCAAGTCTCGTCAACATCGAATCCCCCGTGTCCGGCTATTTTGCCCCCTTTGTTTGTTTTCGTTTTGCCCCTTTGCATCACGTAGAGCTGGTTCTCTACCTTTTTACTTCTAATAAACCACCGATTCCAAACGTCGTCTTGCCTGCCGCCCGCGCGCGTCCAACAAAACAAGCTTGCCGAGAGACCTTACCACTCTCCTCGCAACCCATCAGTTCACTTTTTTGCTGCTGGCCAGCTTGACGGACAGACGACCGACAACGATCAATCTTTATTTATTTATTTTTGAAACTCGCGCCGGATACCCAAACGGCCATCTTTTTTTGTGTGGACTTTTAAGTTACTTTTACTTGCATCCAGCTTCACTCGCACCTTGCGCGCTCTTCGAAACCTCGAATAATCGCATCGTTTCTACATTTCCCCCCTCCTCTAATAGCAGAACCTGTGGATTTTACTTGCTCGCCAAAACTCTTTTTCACCACCAAGAACCGCATCCAAGGACTCGTTTTGAGAACATTCAGCATCACCAGCACGCGTACACACGCATACACAAGCACGAAACTTGCAGAGATCTAGGCAGAAAAACCTCCAGTGTGAAAAAGACAAGCAACAAACATGTCGGCCGTCCAGCTCTCCTTCTCCCTCCGCGTCTCGTCCGGCGTCAAGACGGTGCACCTCCTCGGCTCCTGGGACAACTACGTCGGCCAGCTCCCGCTCTCCAAGGACAGGTCGTCGTCCAAGTCGGGCTCCTGGAAGGGCACGTTCCGCTTCCAGAACTCGACGCTCGAGGCCGGCCAGCGCTACTGGTACTACTACATCATTGATGGGTACCACGTCGCGCACAACCCCAGCGTCACGTCGACCACGGAGCCGACCACCGGTCGCGAGCTGAACATTCTCGACGTTCCCGCGGACAAGCACCGCTCCTCGTCCAAGACTTCGTCGTCGTCTTCGTCTTCGCACAAGTCCAAGTCCTCGTCGTCTTCGTCACACAAGTCGTCGTCCAGCAAGAGCTCGTCCTCGTCTTCGCACTCGTCGCGCCACCACTCGTCGTCGTCGTCCGGGGACCGACACCACCGGTCATCGCGCAACCGGGCATCCCTGTCCGTGGACATCCCCAAGGGCCGGCCGCTGTCCGTCTCGCAGATCCAGGCGCCCAAGCCCATGTCCCCGCACGCGACCAAGCACATCCTCGAGTCGGACTACTGCGACCCCGAGGCGCTCGAGGAGCTGACGGCTCGCTTCGGCAGCACGGGCTTCGAGGACGACGAGGCCGTCATCATCGCCAACTTTGGCTCCTCGCCCGTGTCGTCGACGGGGTCCTCGCTCTCGTACCGCTCCGACAGCTCGTCGCCCAGCTCCCAGCTCTCCGGGTACAGCACGCCCAACTCGGACGTCAGCACCTGCACCTGCGAGCGCTACGGCATCACCCGCAAGGGCGAGCGTGTCAAGCTCGACTGCGGCGGTGCGCACTGCGACTACGGCGAGGAGACGTCGTCGTGCTCCAGCGGCGGCAGCGAGGACGAGTACGAGTACGAGCCCCAGGCCGTCGAGTACTCCTCGCACCACCGCCACCACGGCGGCACCAGCAGCAGCTCCCGCCGCCACGGCATCGTCGTCGGCTGAGAGTGTCGCGACGACGCCCACGGAGCTGCTGCTGTGCCGACCCCGGCTGGAAGAAGGACAAGTTTCACGTTTCTTTCCCCCGACTGTTCATTCCCTGGAAGCGAGCAGATGGCCACTCGGCCCTGGGCGTCTCGCTGGCTTCGCCTCACTCCCTCGTCTTGTTGCTACTGTCATTGCTGCTGCTGTGGGGTGTCACTGGACACCGTCGTCATGACATCCCGTCCCATCTTATTTTAATTCCGCAGAGGGATACGGCGCCGCGCCCAAGCTGGTCCTTGGAGATCGCGGATCCGCCTGTTTCTGTTCCCTCTTGCGTGCCCCCCAACCCGACGAATGGGTCGATGCTGCGGCCCCCCGTAGGCGCGCCGAGCCCCGTGCGTGCCTACGGGTTTCAGCCCTCGTTTATTTCGATGGTTCTTGGATCAGAACGGGCGATGTGCTTCTGTCGCCAAGGCATCGCCCGTTCGACCGACAATACTGGAGCGTCTCGTCTTCGGATGGGACGCCGGCTCCAGAAGGAAATGAGCTTGCACGTGGTGGCGAACGCTGCGGTTCCTGGGCCGGACGATTTATGCGATGGCCGGGAGGTCCGCAGCCCGCTCACTGTGCGGAAAGCTGAGGAAGGGAGAGGGCAGGTCCAGGCACGAAACGTCAACGTCTCCCGTGTGTGGACTCGCATATCAATGCCTGTGGATAGACGACGCTTTGAATCTATTCAGCAAAGTGAAGATGACGCCCCACTCATGCCTGCCGTGAACTCCGGACTCATGTCTACGTAGCAGAGTCCTCACTGACAGATGTAGCACTGTAGTCCCGTAGGGAGTTGAACTCGAGAAGCAAAGACGACCGTCGAGACAGCCCCAAACGATGAGGAGACGTCTCGTGAGGTGGGAATAAATAAGTAAATACCCGACGCTTAATTGCGGCAATGCACAGACCCAAGCCACGCCCCATCCCGCAGTGGGCCATCCGCAGGAGCTTGCTTGGCTTGACTGGCGAGGCGCCCGCCGCACCGTCCCCGCCGCACCGCCGCCGTTGGGACATCGCGATGTAGTATGCGGAGCTCCACCGAAAGCTGCTGCCCAACTCATCACGGCCCCCATCATTTCGGATAATTGAGAGGACCTCAAGCGACTGCACTATGATCTTCTCCGGCGGGTCAGCAGAGCCCGCGTGGCTCCCTTCCCCGTTCGCGGAGTTGAGTCGCCCATCCCGCGAGGGGAGGCAAGGCCGTCACATCGTTCACGTTCGTCAGAGGCTTGCCTGCCTCCGTGATGGTGGTGCGATGGAAGGCGCCACGCCTTCGGCATGAATTGTCCCAGCGCGTCCCACCCCCAGCTGGTTCAGGAAATGGGCGGGGGATGGATGAGGTGGATGGAAGCTATAGTGGGGACCATGGCGGCGGACGTCAGTGCAGGTTGGCGCTGAACCTGCCGTCCAGGGGAGGAGGGACCCTGAGCCCCGTGGCGGGGTATTAGAACGGCGGCACCTTAACTACCGTTGCTTTGCTTTGCTTGACCCAAAGCTCCCCTGAGCCACCTCTCCAACATCGTCTCCTCTCTTCTCCCCCATCATTCTCTCACAGCACCTGAGTCCAATTCCTCCGAACCTGATCCGATATCATCGAGCTACCATCGGCCAACTCAACCTGAGGCACTCGTCGAAGTACTCGTGGAGAAGAAACCCGAGCAGAGCAGAATCAAGAAAGGAGGGCCAGGCCAGGCGCCCACGACCGCCACGACCGCCATCATGTCCGACGACCAGCTCATCCTCCCCATCATCGACTCCCACATCCACCTCTACCCGCAGTCCGAGGTCGACACGCTCGCCTGGTACACCCCCGAGCACCCGCTCGCCGGCCAGCGCTCCCTCGACGAGTACAAGGCCGCCACCGCCTCGGCGCCCTCGCTCCTGGGCTTCGTCTTCGTCGAGACGGACCGCAAGAACGACGTCGCCGCCGAGGACTGGGAGCAGCCCCTCAACGAGGTCCGCTGGCTGCGCCGCGTCGCCCTCGGCCAGCCCAAGGACGGCGAGGGCCACTCCCCCGAAGACGCCAAGCTATGCCTGGGCATCGTCCCCTGGGCGCCGCTGCCCAGCGGGCCCGCTGTCCTGGAGCGCTACCTCGACGCCGTGAAGGAGGCTGCTGGCGAGGCGTGGCCCAAGGTCAAGGGGTTCAGGTACCTGCTGCAGGATAAGCCGCACGGCACGATGCTCGAGCAGGACTTTATCGACTCGCTGAAGCTGCTTGGCCGGAGGGGCTTCGTCTTTGAGGTGGGCGTGGACCAGCACCGCCGTGGGAAGAAGCAGCTGGATGAGGTGGTTGAGATGGTGGACCGCGCGCACGACGGCGTCCCCGAGGACGAGAAAGTCACCTTTATCCTGAGTACGCCTTCCCTCGACTCACCCCAGCGGCATTGTCGATGAATCCCATGAGATCCTGCGAGTGCCTATGTACGAAAGCTGACCTCGCGAACCAGACCACCTCTGCAAGCCCGACCTCACCATCTACAACGTCACCTCGGACCCCTCCTTCCACGCCTGGCGCACCGCCATGTACACCCTCAGCAAGGCCTCGCACACGTACGTCAAGCTCTCGGGCGGCTTCGCCGAGATGCCCCCCTCGCTGCGCGCCCAGGACCCCGCCCACATCTTCCAGTCGACGCTCGCCTGGCTGGGCATCGTCCTCGCCACCTTCGGCCCCGCCCGCATCATGTTCGGCAGCGACTGGCCCGTCTGCACCGCAAACGAGCTCGGCGACGAGGCCTGGCCCAAGTGGAGGCAGGTCGTCGACAAGATGTGCTACATGGCGACGCTCAGCGACGAGGACAGGGCCATGATCTTTGGCGGCACGGCCAAGAAGGCGTATAACCTGTAACGAGGGGGAGTGGTGCGGACCGGTCCGGGGGCGAGGGCACATGGAGCTGGAGCAGGATGTATGGGAGCAGGGATATGGGAGGAGTCTCGCGGCATTTGGAACGACATGATGTCTTGTAGCTTGATACCACTATTTGGTCGATCCTCACCCCAACATCACACGGCGTGACTCCCGTTCGCGATCTAGTCATGCAAGTGTATATTTCAGGCACTCATGTTCACATTCATCATGGAGCGCAGCACGTCGCGGCGGCTGCGCTCATCAATGCTAGTCAGTCTACCGTACGCCGTCCGCATGAGGGAGAACAAGAAGCAGCAGCAGTAGCCTCAGCCACGCCGCAGACCAACAAGCCAGCCAAGACCAAGGGGGGAAATCATGGGAAGCAGAAATAAAAGACGGCATCATCTAGACGCCGTCCACTCTCCGAGCGCTGCCTCCACCGGCTCCATCTCTGTCCATCGTACATTGCCACTGCGTCGCCATCGTCTTCGTCGTCGTACCGCAGCAATACACACACAAGGCAGGGCAGTGAAGCGCGCCTACTCGGTGCGTCCGCGGTAGTTGCCCATCTTCTCAATGGAGCTCATGATGCCGCTCCTCGGCACGCCACCCGGTCGCGGGAGGCCACCGCCAATGCCGCTGCCGCCTCCGCTCTTGTTCCGCTCGTGCGGTGCCCTCAGTCCCGTGCCGGGGGCGCGGAGTCCGGAGCCGCGACCGACCGACGCGCGCGGCGTCTTGGCCTGCTCCGGCTGTCGCTGGGCCTGCGCCTGCGCCTGGTGCATTCCGTCGCGCTGGATAGGGTTCTGCACGGGGACTTGCTGTTGTTGAGACGGCGGGTGCTGCTGCTGCTGCTGCTGCTGCTGCTGCTGCTGCAGTTGTTGTTGCTTCGGCTGCGCGACGAAGCTCTGCATGCTCATCATCTCCTCCGCCAGCTGCACGAGCTCGCCCTTTTCGACGCGCTCCTTCTCGAGCATGCCCCTCAGCTGCTCGTTGTCCTTCTTGACCGTATCGACGACAGCCTCGAGGCGCTGCACGTCCGCGTTGAGCTCCTTAATGGCGGCGCTGTCGCGGACGGCCTGGACCTTGCGCTCCTCCACCTCGGACGCCTCCACCTTGGTCATGGTGGCATCACGGCCGATGCGCAGGCGGTCGTTCTCGTCCGCCAGCTCCTCGAGCCGCGACTCGAGCTCACGGACCTTCTTCTCCCAGCGTGACTCGTACGACTTCTTGAGCGCCGCCACCTTGGTCTCGTGCTTGCTCTTGTACAGGGCGTGGAGCTCGCGGGCGACGCGCTCGACGGCGATTTCGACCTCCTTGTTGTTGTTGGAGGCCGGAGACGCGGCTGCTGCCTTCTCGGGCGACGAGTTGCCCTTGTCGGAATCCTTGCCGGCACGCATTCCCGCCATCTTGCTCTCCGCCTCTTGATGTAGCATCTCCGCAGCCTCTCTGCGCTTCTCACTCTCGTCGAGTTTCTGCTCGAGCTCGTCCCTCTCCTGCTGGCCGTGCACAATCTCCTCCCGGACCTTGCGGAGGACGCTCTCCATCTCGCGGCCGCGCTTCTCCCAGTCCTCCTTCTCCGCCGTGAGGTGCTCCTTCAGGGCGCGCTCCTCGCGCAGCTGCTCCATGGACTCGCCGACGCGCTTCTCCGCGTCGCCGACCGCAGCCTTGAGGGACTGCACCTCGGCCTCCTTGCCGCTCAGGGACGCCTTGAGGGAGCAAATCTCCGACAGGAACCCGGACTTGAGGGACTCGAGCTCGCGCGGCGTAATGGACGGCACGCTCCGGGGTGTCGGCATGGGTGGGATGTCAAAGTCGATGAGGTTGCCGAGCGGGCGGCTTGGGGTGGAAGCCAGGTTCGCGGCGAGACGGGACGGTGATGGATTGTTGCCGCGCTTGGCGGGTGATCGTTGCGGGAACCTCATCTGTTCGGTAAAGTCCATCAAGAGATTTGTCGTGTTTCCGGAATCGTCATGGGAGGGTTGGCGCGTTCCTCGTGCGGCGGACAGATCGGGTCTTGCTCGCGGTGTCATACCACCGAGGCCAGAGAATTTTGTCGGGCTCTGTCCCAGCTTCGCAAACATGGTCATGTTCGGCACGGCCGAAAAGGTGCTAAACGTGCTGACCATGGTGTCGTCTGGCGCGGCGGTCTCGTCGGCCACCGCGGCCTCCTCTCCATCCTCCTCCAAGGTGCTCTGTTCGTCCTCAAAGATCTCAATCGCATGCTTCAAACCCTCGTTTTGCATTACCGCGTCTTCGAGGCTAATCGTCCGCTCGTGCGTCCTGCCGACCCTTGGTGTCTCCTCCGGCCCGCTGACCCTAACAGGGAATCGTTTGTCCGGCGACATCTTCCGCGGGCTGCTGCTTCGGCGCCGACGCTTCTCCCCCTCTGAGCCTGAGGAGGGCGAGGAGCTGCGCTTTTGGTCGGAAGACGAGAGGATCTTGAGTGGGGAGAGTTCAGTGCCGGAAATGATGCGGCTGCGTCGCGCGTCGGCCGCCTTGGACGGGGAGACGTTCTCCTGTCCCGGCGCGCCCGTCTCGTCAACGGCCGAGACAAACGGTGACGAGTTCTGCGTCGAGTCCTCGGCGGCCATTTCGACCGGCTCTCGGGGGTATGCCTTTACAAATTCGTAGTCGTCGTACCTCGTCACCGTGGCAGGGGCGGCGGGCGAGCGATTCAGGTTTGTCGCGCTTGCTGGCGTCAACGGCGAGGCCATGATGGGGGGAAAGGGAAGTCAGAGGCGCACGGGAGCACGGGAGCTCTGTGATAGCTGCGGTTCGCAATCGCACTCCTCCGGCAGCCAATATTCGGTGGTTCGACTTTTGGAAAGTTGACGAGTCGCGCGAATCGATTGTCTGGAGACGATGGACGGGGCTCGTTGGGGCAGGTGCGTCTTTGTTTATTCGTCGACCAGGCAACCCAACCAACCATAGCCGCTTACACACGCACATCACGTGTTTGACGGTCGACCTCTTACACACAATATACGAGAACAGTCTGTTGCCCTGTCACCGAATTTTCAAAGGCTTCCCAATAATGTCGCGTACAGGCTGTCTATAGGTCTCGCGGACGGAGACGATAGCCCGAGGGCTTGTGACTCGAGATGCCTGGCAAACACTGGCGTCGCCCGCCACCAGCAAGCCAGCCCGCGATCTCCCGACCGCTGGTCTTCGCACGCGACAAGCCCTTGCCTAACTACGCCTCATTGACGCTTTCGTGCACGCCATGCAATTACAGTTCTTACGTGGTACGTCAAAAGCTAGTCAAAGCTAGTCTTCAATCACTTTTATTGGTCATCTCATAAAGTCGTTACCTGATAACGCACCCGTGTCCAAGTACACCATCTCGGCGCTGTTTAACAGATGGCGACAACCAAGCGGAAAGCACAGTCATAAAGTCATCATCGGGGCCCTCCCCGATACCTCTGTCGTTTCCAAACACGTCTGCCCATCAAGAGAGCTCGAACCTTTAGAAGAAGAAAAAGCGTAAGGCTAGTCGCGCGGTCGGCCATCAACTCGTCGTTTCCCGCCTGAGTGTCGTAACAGGCCTGTGGTGCTTTTACTTCCTCTGCACTCGTGTCGTTTGCTGCCAAAAGCGGCCAGAATTCAACCGTGGAGTTCTCGCAGTCAAACCCTGCGCTCCCAAGAATTAAGTTCCGTCCGTCCGTGCAAAGCGTGACTCATCAGCCATGTACATACATGACCTGGCATCTCAAATAACATAGAATCGGTTTGGTCGTGTCTCGTCAACGTGTCTTTGATGCGAGGAAGGTTGCCGATGAGTCTGCGTGTACAAGAACAAATCCAAGGAAAGAAAACACAAGTATAACAAAGAGATTTGCAAAGTGCGCGGCTGCGGTTCAGGCGAGGCGTCGCTCGCCCCAACCGTGCCACGAGAAGACGCTCACCGCCTCGGCGGCCCGGCGACGGCCGAAGCTGGTCGGTTCAGCGCGTCGTACGCCGGAGCGGGGACCGAAGTCTCCATCATCGTCTTGCGTCGTTTAAGGTCAAGGCCCATGCCACCTGGGCCGTCGTTAGACCTGAGATCGTCATCGTCCTCGCGACCCCTCTTCATGCCACCGGAGCCATTCATGACTGGGGCTTGGGGTGCATAGCCATTGGCCATGGAGTTGGTCATGTCTGCTTGGGGGGCGTAAACGTCACCGCCCGGCGCGCCGTTGGTAGGCGCGCGATCATTCGTCATCACATTGTACAGGTTGCTCGACGACTGGATGCGAGGAGGCGTGCTGTAGCCCGGATGTTGCGGGTAGTACGGCTGGTGGGGGGCCGCAGTTCTGGGCGTGGCACGCCCAGAGGCCGGAGGGTGACTGGGGGATCCAGTCATGTCCGAGGGCATGTTGCCGTCGCTCACCAAGGAACCCACGCCCGGAGCCGTGTAGTTGTACGAGGTGCGCGAGGCATCGTAGGCACCGCTGTCATGGGTGTACTCGGCATCATGCTCATGGTCTGGCTCATCGTCGGCAGCTTGGTGCTGGGCACCTTGCTCCGACATGATGCCATTGGGCGGCTTGCTGTCATGCTGGTCGCCGGGGTGGCCCCCAGGAGCAGCTCGGTTCGACGGAGGCGCCATCTCGTTCTTGGGATACGAGCCAGGCTGCGCGTACATCCGATCCTGAGCACCGTTCGTGTTGCTCTGATACGGAGACTGCTGCGAAGCCGGAGCGCTGTACAGCTGGCGCGAGCCGTCATATCCCTGGGCGGCAGACGAGTACGACTGCATGCTCGACATTGAGCTGCCGGGCGGCGTCGTAGCTGAGTGGCATCGTTAGCATCAATGAGCGGAGTGACGGGAAATATCCTGCGTGTACATACCTTGCGTGCCATTCATGCCCTGCCCTTGCCAACTGAAGCCTTCTGACGGGCCCATGGTTCCCATAACGCTCGAGGCGCTAGTAGGAGGCGTGGGAAACGTATGAGCACGGTCGAGCGACGGCCGCGCCATGTTGGTCTGAGACGGAAGCGACGGCTGCGGGCCGGGAAGGGCCATGGAGTGGTGATGATGTTGCTGGATCGACGGGAGGCCAGGCGCGGGGGTGCGAATCTGGCCCTGCTCCTGTTTCCTGCGCTCGGCAGCAGCCATGACCTGCGTTGTTCTGCTCTGGTTCGTCGGGTGATAGAGGAGCGCGCCGATGTTGTGAACGAAGAGCGGGTACAACATCTCCGTGATCTTCTCCTTGTTGGCAAAGTCCAGAGCACGCTCGTAGGGGATCCTGTTCCGTCTTAGCGTTCCCGTTCCTCATGTCTCACCAACGGGGCGGGTTCAGCATACCAGACGCCCTTGAGGTGCATGGGCCCAATCTTCACAACATGGCGGATCTTTTCGCTCTTCAAAATACCGTCACGTCGCCCGCGCGTCATGCCGGCCACGTTCAACAGCTTGGTACCGTTGATCATGTGGTTGTCTGTAAGTGAACGTCGTCAGCACCATCATCCCCGTCTTCTGCCCCGCGTGCGGGACCGTCCTCACAAATATCCTTACCTTCGCGACGAGCTACACAGATACCGCGAGCCTCAACCTGGAAGCAGAGACTCCCCTCGTCCTCCCACAGCGTGGCCGTAACCCGGGGTTTCATGCCCGGGGGCGGAATTTGTCCCGTGGTGTCGAATCCCGCATATTGGTTGCCAATGTTTTGCTGTCCAGGAACTCCAGGCAGCGGCAGCACATTCTGCGGCTGGCCCATGTTGGACACAGGCGGCGCTGCCGGCGGCGACGTCAAGCCATTGGTGTAGCCATATTGGTACCCGCTGGCGTGATACTGAGCAGGACCAGGTTGCAGCAAAGTCGGCTGATGGTGCTGGTAGTGCGTCATGGACCCCGACGTGACGGTCTGTGGAGGCGGTGCCTGGCCAGCGGACATGTGCTGGGGGTAATACATGTCGGCGGCCTGATTCATGGCGTCGTAGCTCACGATTGTCGTGGGCGGCCCCGTGATGGCGTTGATCGGCAGGGTGGGCGACGGAGTCTTGGGTCCGTTTGACGACGCGGCCGACGTGTACGAGGACTGGGAACCTGCGTGCGAGCCGTTTGACGAAGCAATGGAGCTGAGCCGCGGCGAAGAGGTGCCCGACGAGTATGCCTGGCTCGGCAGAGGGAGGGGGAGAGACGGCAATCTGTCGACACTCATAAAAGACGCTCGCCGAGTAGCGGACGATCTAGTTGCGAGAGGGTTTGGTGGGACGCCGGCATGCGCTTCCGAAGTTGGGCGCACGTCCAGCTATCAAGGTCTGATTCAACCCTGATCTTGGAGCAACCGAGCCTGGTTCCTCCGACGGTTGCGAGTGCTCGCTGCGGGAGGCCTTGTTCGGCAAAGAGTCCTTGTGGGCAGACGAGGTGTCTTCGACTGTGGTTTGGACGCGGCGGCTGAGATCGCGGAAAGGATCCTGAATTGGCCTGAACAGAACAGAAATACAAAGGTGAGAGCGTTGAGTCGCTTCAGAGAAAGCTTTTCGGAATGCGTACTCGTCGAGGAGGCGTGTTAATCGTAACAGGGCATCAAAAACCAGAACTGGCTCGGGTCGCTACATGGAACGGTCGAACAAGACGAGTAGACGGGCGGATCGCAGCACGGCGGGAGCTGCAGCTGTGGAAAGGCTGCGCGAAAGAGCGTGGACTGGTAGGCTTGGCTTCGGAGCGAGGAGCGATCGAACGCACGGCGCGTGGTCGCGGCAGCTACCTAACGTGCAGCAAGACGCAGACGCAGACGCAGGTGCCGGAGCAGACTGGTGCACGAGGGCCGTCGAGCAGATGGGCGGCACGCAACTCGAGATGCCGACAGCGTCAGGCCAGCAGGTCGACGAAGCGGCTTGAATCGAGGGCAGCGAAGTTCGCCAATGGAGCTCGGAGACCGTGCAGACGTCTTCGAGCAAGACGTGCAAGCAGTCAGGCGCGATATATCCTAGCTGAGAGCGAGGCGTGGTAAGTATGAGGCGAGACGAGAACGACGCAGGAGAAGGCCGGTGCTGCAGCGCAAGAGACGAAAGGGATTCGATTAGCGGCGTCCGAGTTGGGGGTGAACGGACAGCGAAGGCACGGGGCAGCAGGATGCCAACGGGCATGCATGCAGGTCGGCTCGGCGGCAGAAAGCAAGCAATCGGCCCGCAGACGTTGAGGGCAGTGCAGTGCAGTGCAGTGCAGTGCAGGCAAGAAAGCTCAGACGGCGGAGAGGAAGAGTTGGAGCCGTCGTTTTGGAGAAAGCAGTTGAAGGCATGGCAAAGCAAAAGGCATGGATGAGGCGCAAGGAGAGTTTTTACTCACAATTGCTGTCTCGCAAGTCTGGTTTTGTCCGCGCGAGGTTTCGTCCGGTCTTCGTGCCTTGCAGCAGGCGGTCCGAGGAAGCGGGATGGATGATGAGGCGGCGGCGGCGGCGGCGCAACAAAGAGGCTGGCCCAAGGGTGGGAGGGAGGAACAGACGAGAGACACAGGACGGGCCAAGAAGGCAGAAAGCGCTGGGGGGGAGGCGGGCAGACGATTGTGACCTAGGGAGAGGAAAGAGAGGGAACAGAACGGAGTCCGGCCCAGCCTCGACGGGGGGGGAGATGGTTTTGTTTTCCTTTGGTGATTTGAGAGGAGGTTGAGGAGAGCGGTCGAGAAAGAGGAGGCAGGACAAGGCTTTTGCCCTTAACCTTTTGGAACCTCTTGTTCTCGCAATGGATGGGGCCGCACGGCGAGCAGGGGCATCATGCTAGGTAAACTGAGTTAGCGGAAGTACTTGTACGAGTACCTGGGACCTTGGGGCGGTAGGGCCAGGTCAGGTCAGGCCAGGTCAAGCCAGAGGGGGG